ATTCCGTCGAAGCGAACAACTATGTCAACAGTGGTGGAATCAGTGTGACCGTCGATGGATTTGACGTCAGTGATTCTAACGGGTGCGGTTTCTACAAGGCCGGTCAAGAGGACACAGGATGCAATACCAACCCGCCCGCGGGATCTATGCATGTCAAAGTTAGCGTGGGCTAAGCTTCAGAGTACGAAAATTTCATATAACGTAAGTCACATGAATGTTGCAGCTACTGAAGTGCTCTCGCTGACCACCAACCCACAGACTTCATCTGGTCTGGGGCAGCATTGCATGTATTTTGCTTCGAGTACCCTTGCAGGGCCCTTCCAGAGATATACTGCGAGCCATTTATACCCATGTATACCTTTGACTGGTTATATTGCAATCTCTCCAGCGGTAACTAAGCGGATATCTGGCATAACCTTTCAAATGTCAATGACCAAACTCTGGGGTTCGAGTGGTGCGCTGGCGTAACTCTTGTGTCATGTCCCTTTAGCCGGTGGTTTGGTGCGTATGTCTAAAATATCATTTACATCTTACGCGCAATAATGTATAGTGCTGTGACCTGTCGAAGCCTCCATGCACCGTGACATTCACCCCCGAGCGAGGCCTTGAATAGAAGATGGATGCGAGCTTCATGACCGACGTCTCGAACTACACAACAGGGCACGTCGCTGCCAACCAGACCAGCGATTTTAATCGCCGACAACGATCATTCAACACCCATTCTAGGCCTTCAATCCAACCAGGCAGCATGACAAGCTCCGCAAAACCACCGCACCCCCTTCCCCTCCTCCTCCAATTCCCCCTTCCGCATCGCGGTCCTCGCTCACCGTGCTCGCCCAAAGTTGCCATCCTTCTCGACAGCTCGCCCGCCCTACCCACTCCCCCACAGCCCAACCGTCCGCGTTTTCAAACCGACCACCCCCACCGCGTCCCGTCCAAGGCTCCAAGACGGGGTCCGGAGTCTGTGCGCGTGCTGTCTGAGCTATCTTCCTCCTCCTATTCCGCTAATCGTGGCCATCATACCCGAATCCTCCTTCCCCAGATGTCCCTTCCCACGCTCCCTCCCATCCAACCCCCACATCCTCCTCCTCCACCACCCTCCTTTTGATCCACCATACTCCCCAGTCTCCAACGTTATCGTTATCTTCCTCTCCTCTGTTGTTTCCATCTCGGATTTTCCAAGCTCCCGTATTCCCCCCCCCACAACGTCCCAGCTCCGACGGCTTTGGTTCCCCCCCCCGCAAACGATGGGAGTGAGTGACTAGCGCACCGTTGTGCCTGCCGCTGGCACATCCCTCTCTCTCTCCGTCGTTAAAAAAAATCACCAGGAGCCGCGCGTCGAGACTCTGCGACTTTGAGTGTGTAGGGGCGCGCGAAGTGGTGCCGGAGGTGTGGATGCGGGGAGGGGGATTGGAGGGGGGGGGATCGGCCGTGGAGGGGATTTTGGGCCTGGAAGGAGGGCGTGGTGGGGGATTGGGGGAGGATGGCGGGGGATTGGAGGGGATCGGTCCCGATGAGGTTTCTGAGTCTGGAGAGGTGGTGTGGTGGGGTGGTGCTTGGGATGGGATGGGAAGGGATGGGAAGGGCGGCGGGAGGAGGGGTGGATGGATGGATGGATGGTGTTGGTTTGAGGGAGGGGGAGGGAGGGAGCTGTGGGTTGTTCTTTTGGGGATATTTCGAGATGGATGGAATAGACTATTTGTTTTTGGTGAAGAGCCATCACGGTGTGCGGGAATGGGAGATATCTGATCTCAATATTATCGATCTGAGTAGTGAAGGGAAGCTGGGTTTTTACGTGGAAGATATTATTCTTTTGGGGGATTTCAAGTATGGAATAGCCGACTCGTTCTGGTGAAGAGGCATCACGGTGTGTGAGAATGGGAGATATCTGATCTCAATATTATCGATCTGAGTAGTGAAGGGAAGCTGGCTGGGTTTCCTACGTGGAAGATTATTTCTCTAGGGAATTTCAAGATGAAATAGCCGACTTGTTCTGGTGAAGAGTTATAACAGTGTGCGAGAATGGAAAAAGCCTGAGCTGTGTGTGACGGTCAACCAGTTTTGATATTTCGCCTGCTTTTTCCCCCCTCTATGCATGCATGACTTTTGCTCGATCCTCTTACTTTTGATGAAGGAAGTTCGCATTTGGCCCTTGTGATTTGAATTACTCATGTGTTAAGAGACCGTTGGACACGATTGTGAAGTTCATTCAACGCCATTCATACTGCAGTGCCCTACTCGGGGTGTGTGCGTCATTGATCTAGACAGTCTATTGGGCTGCTTACCTACCATATGGACCGTTTGCAAGGGTACGGTTGATCATGAAATGTGTTAACCGAACAGGTTAGGTCAGACCCAGGACTGCAGGTACCCGGAGGCCGCGTCAACGGAGAGATAGCACCCAAGTGAAGCCCAGATCTCGATCCCCAAAATACATCCCATCACAGTCGTTACGATAGCGTCAGGCCCCGTCACACTCACTTGTTATCCATTAAAGATATCATCCTCAAGCAATATGCGTACCTTTCTAACGGTTGTTATCCCCTCACTTCTTCTCTTCGATGGGGTCACCGCTCAATGCGCGGCTGGTACGGCCCAGGAGATCAACGGCAATTGGTATTGCTCCGAGGTGAACGCCGTCACATACGCGAGTTTCCCGGGCTTCGGTTCTTATGAAAAGATCACAGACATGAACGCGAATACTGGCGACTGCAGTAGCGTGCGTTATAACTACAGTGGCTCACTGTCTCCGTTGAACGAAGAGGTTGGTTCCCCTCGAGGGTGAAACGGTTTGATGGTGTTTTGCTAATTAGAGGTCTTCGTAAGCTCTCTTTACATATTCGCGGTCCCACTTGGCTGAAGCAAGTTGCCGTCTATATGCCCACAACTATCGCCAACGAGAAGCGAAGCACTGAACTGAATGGCCACCATCGACGGCATGCAGCCGCAGCCGCAGCAGTGCGCCATCACGGTGGGCATCAGCACCTTCACGATCGCCACGGCAAGGTCAAAGCAGTCGAAAAGTCTCGGCTTTCGAAGCGTGCTGTCGGTGATCTGGTATCCGCTACTATCGATGGTCAGCTTGTTTCATGGACGAACGTCTATGCTGGGCCTGGTGTCGCTACCGACGCGCCTGTGCTGGGAGCTATCGATGACACGAGTGCTTCGACTTCTGATGCTGACACGACCGAAGACACGAATATGACTTCTCAGAGCTCTACCTTGTCTTCTTCCACGACTACAAGCACGTCGAGCTCGAGTAAATCGAGTGCACCAGCAACGGGCGAAGGTTGGACTCGTCAGGCTTATCTCAACGCAGCAAGCGGTGCGGTCGAGGGTCTGATGTTTCTGAATCACTTCGGCGGGACGGATGGGGTTTCTGGGACCAGCGCTGGTGGACCAGCGTCAGGGAACTTTTGACCATGTGGAAACGGGATAGAAATGCTGACGACCGCAACAGCTTTGGTGCCTCTCTTTCCTACGCTTCCTCTGACGGCCAATCTGGCGCCGCCTCACCCCAAGTGCTCTCGAATGCGATGATTGAAGACGACACCGAAGTAATCATCATGACCGACCAAAGTTGCGACGACGGAGGCTGTGGATTCACGCGTCCTGGAGGGGTTGCATACCGTAAATCGCGCTTTCCCTATCTTTCCTCTCCCGACTGCTAACTTAGGGGCGACTTAGATGGCTTCTCGGGCGCCCAGAAGGTCTTTCTCCTCGAATTCTCTATGCCTCTCACGAATTCCACTACCTTCAATGGCGACATGCCCGCCATTTGGCTTCTCAACGCGCACATACCTCTGACATCTCAGTACGGCACCAACGCCGAGTGCTCATGGTACGTTCGTTTTGACACAACCTGTTTATTCTCCGTACCGCAACATGTGCCGCCAGTCTTGCTTCTGGAGCAAGAAGCCCACTTGATCTTCTGGAGCCATCTTGTCGCTCAAGTCAATTACCTCAAAGGAGACACGCTGACATTTCAACCTTCTACAGCTGGACGTCTGGATGTGGCGAATTCGACCTCTTCGAGGTTCTCGACTCTGGGAACTTTCGCTGCAAATCGACATTGCACATGGCACCAGCCGGAGGAAGCAGTGATTGGTTTCGGCGCCCTACTGGCGGAAGCATTACGGCTGCAGTGGTGATCGCAGGGGAGCATGAGGTCGCTGCCATCAGGGTTCTGGGCGATGGCCAGTCGTTTGATACGACTCTGAATGAGGACGTGGTGAATGGGTGGGTCAACGAGGAGGGAAGCGTGTTCAAGATGGAGGGTTAAGAACAAGGAGAAGGAGCGGGATAGAGTGTCGGATTGGGTAGACGTGTATGGCAAGTCCAAGCACCTGGCTCTGTAGCTGGTTTTTATACGTACGTACAAAAGCCCACTGTTCGTAGTCAGATGTGGTGCAAATTCAAAGACGGAACCATGGCTTCTTTGAGAGATTTGCAGAATCCCTTCGTAATGAAGTATGAGGCCAGGCTCGTCTCGTCTCAAAGACACTGACGAGACGCAATCACAAATATTTCAAAGACCATATTATTCATCGTTTTGTCCTCGAAAAAGTACAGGATCTAAGATCTGCCGTTGCGCCGTTGGGATAATATTTTGAAGCCTAATCTTAGCCCAATTCATCAGCGTCATCCGAGCCGAGGCTACTCGTACTCTATCACTCCCGCCAAGCACAAACGCTGGAGCCGGGGTTACACACCTTCAAAACAGACCTTGAAAGCAAAGCCCATTTATTGTGAACATTCACCAATCTCCTAATACCAACCGGCCGCAATCCATCCAATATATCCAGTACTTCTCCGTAACTAGCAAATCCTTCACCCGGAAGAACAAGGCAGCACTCACCCGCATGTCGTTTTTCTCCACCCCCAGCCGAAACACGAAGAGATAAATAACCCCGCGAAGACTGCACGCCAAATTGGCGGGAATACGCCGATTGAAGGTTTGAGGTGCTTTGTAGCCTTCCAGAGAATCAGTCTCCCTGATCATGGCGGCGGTATCACCGCCCAAGCCCTGGGAAAGGGCAAACGCAGCTGGTAGGTGTCCTGGTGAGCCCTACACAGTCCTGGAGCACTGCATCTTTTAGAACCAACGGGCTAATGGTAGTGAATGAACAGCTACCGGCGTATCCTCAACCTCGACCCCAAATCCTCACACCACAACCCCAATAACTTCGTCCTCACCGCCCGCTCTCCCGGACAAACCCTCCTCCCTCGCCTCCGTCGTAAATCGCAATTCTTCAACGTACTCCCCCATTAACCAAAACCGTTTCTCCTCCTCCCCTTACTCCGGCGTAGGAAGCTACTCCTCGCCCTATTCGCGGTTTGGCGGCATGGGCAATTCGATGTATGGCGGGGGCTACGGCTCCATGTACGGCGGCGTGGGAGGAATGGGGGGAATGGGAATGGGAGGTTACGGAGGAGGAATGTACGGTCAGCCGGGCATGATGGGCAATGGGGATCCGAATGATCCGAATAGCTTGACGAATTCGTTCAGTCAGAGCACGCAGGCGACGTTTCAGATAATTGAGAGTTTGGTCGGGGCGTTCGGGGGGTTTGCGCAGATGTTGGAAAGTACTTACATGGCTACGCATTCGAGTTTCTTTGGTGTGTTCCTTCTTTTCCTATGATCTTGTTCCTTGTCCACCCACGCCTTACTCCTACATGCTGATGCAAGACGTTTGCTGACTGTGGGGGTGATACAGCAATGGTACAAGTGGCCGAACAATTTTCCACCCTCCGTACAACCCTCGGTTCCATACTCGGCATCTTTACCGTCCTCCGCTGGCTTCGCACACTCTTCGCCAAAGTCACCGGCCGCCCTCCACCCGCGGACGCCACATCACTCACTCCCTCGGCGTTCGCATCATTCCAAGGACTGTCTCCGTCAGGTCCCTCTCTTCTCCAAAACGGCCAACCAACACCTTCAAAGAAACCGTTCTTGATATTCCTAGCCGCTGTGATTGGGTTGCCGTATCTTATGACGAAACTAATACGGAGTCTAGCGAGACAGAATAAGGAACAGCAGAATCTGTACAATCAGGAGGGCAGAATGATACTCGGGCCTGATGGGCAGCCGATGCAGGAACAGCAACCACATCAACCGATTGATCCTTCGAAATTGGACTTCTGTCGTCTGCTGTACGACTACACACCAGAAAGCATGACTCAAGGCGGTTCGCCTACCGAAGGTATAGACCTCGAGGTCAAGAAAGGCGATCTCGTCGCTGTGCTCAGCAAATCAGATCCGATGGGCAATCCAAGCGATTGGTGGAGGTGTAGAGCGCGAGACGGGCGTGTGGGTTATCTTCCTGGCCTCTATCTCGAAGGAATCCAAAGAAAACAGCAACCGCAAATCGACAATGGCGGGCGCGTGAACACCATGTCATCTTTAGCTGCCGCTGGGAGCGGAGAAGAGAGCAGAAGTAATAGTCTCAAGGTCGAGGCTAAGGGTCCAAAGGTTGAGAGCAAAGCGGCTGATATTTCAGCTGAGAGTTTCCAGAGGAGTCAGTTCTACAACTAGTTCCAAAGCAATTGTAGCATCGGCAAAAGCGTACATAGGGGAAAAGGGCAAAGGCGTTGCGATAGTCTTCCTGCACATAGGTTGGTTGCGGGGCTTGAGCTTTGGGTATTGGCTCCGAATCGAAAATATGAGCGGGCGGTACGCCCGTACCGTCATTGTTGGGGAGCGAATTTTACGAGGACGACAGGACTCAATGAAATATACTGCATCTTGTGCTTTGATTGTAATAACGATAAAGCTCAAATCCGCTTCCGCACTCGTCAAATGTACAAATATACATTACACGGCACTGGCCACCCTGAAGGGCGCCTGGGCGTTAAGGCCATGTTCAGTAGATCTACAGACCCACATCCAGGAGCAAGCGATCTATCGGCGTCGTACCCTACCTACAAAATATCTGTTGCTATCTCTTAGAACAGCATCAAGGGTCTCCATCCCTTCGGGCAAAGCATTTGATACCGTAGATTCTCAAATTTCCTGTTTTGGCAGACTCACTTTGGCATATGGTCCGGAACCGAAGCATTTTCCAATTCGGTTCGAGGGTGCTTGCGTCCGCACGGTGGTGGATCTGCCGGGAGAGGTTTTGCTGATGTATCTCAAGCTAGCGGCATACCTTGGTGCAGCCAACGAATGAAATATGGTGTATGGAGTATATGTATGATACAGATCCCCTCGGCCGAGGGGGATGAGTGTTGGGAGCCACGTTTGATGCTGCAGCTGTAAATGTCTTGGTTGGTTGGTTGTTGATGTATACAGTAGGGCCGTAGGGCCCACAGATCTCATCAATCTTCTCGTCTCATTGCGACTTTCCGGAGATTATCTGCTGGGTTGCTGTTGGCAACGGCCTCATCACGTGGGAGGTGTGGTTGATGGGATCTTCTGGGAGATGAACTGAGTTGGCAGGTCTTTGCGCATTGGACCGTATCATTTCCCGTGCGTCTGTGCAAAACAAGTACGCGGATCGATGATCTCTTCCCCATGAATCTTGCCATCCCACCCCGTTCCTCGTGAGCATTATTAATTCGGCTATATGTATGCTGATGAGGTCGTTGTTCCGCAAGAGCCAGTGCGTCTGAAATGGATGATTGTGTCACTCAAACGGATCCTTGGTCTTCTCGTAAAGGACTGTCCTATCGGACCCGGTAACGTGGAGTTCGAACCGGGATCCTAACTTCCGTTTCGGCTTGTAGTGGTTCCGTACCGTCTCCGGCATTGCCAGGAAGGGCGAGAGTCGCTATATTGCGGTATCCAGCCACCATGACGTCTTCGTATTGCACCTTCGTCAGCCCGATCTCGCTGATATGCAGCTCTTGAAGCCGCACATCTTCCATCAATACAAAGTCTTTATACTTTCGATGTATATTCGTAGCATCAATTCTTGGCTTCGACCGTTTATGCTGCTTATCCATTGTTGGGTCCCTGGCAAGGCGGCGAGTATCCATCACTCTTGTTTGAAGAGGTACTTGACCATTTTCAAAGGGTCTTAGCTTCATAAGGCCTTCATCTCGAAGGTCTGAGTTGACGCCTTGACAAAACCTTTGGAGAGATTTGGTAGGGTCTTCCAGTCTTGAGAAGAGTCGCAAGGCTCTTGGAAGATCTCTGGAATAATGTGAAAGCAAAGAATTCCCAATCCCGACGACGTGAGCAGTGAGTGGCCTGTCTTCGTGTCGCGCTATCGCTGACCTGAGTATCTTCAAAGCAGCCTCGACTTTTCTGCGAGTGGTGAGGCTCAATTCCCCGAGCGAGAGATGTAGATTAGCAGGGTGAGTGAATGCACCTTTAGGTATAACACCGGAAATGGTATCCTTTTCAATGCGACTGTATGATTTCAAGAGCTGTGGGAGCGATGCGCGAGTCACAAGTGGAATGCGGACGAAATGTGTCAACTTCAACGCTTCTTTGAAGTTCCCCAGCATCTTAGATGTAAGACTTGTCCAGATCTTTTAGTCCAAAGAAGATAGAGAGAATAGACAGGTGAGGAATTGGGAAAAAGAAGAAAGGGAAGTGGTAGACCTACTTTATTGTACCTTACCGCCTGCATCGCGCCAACCCGATCGGGATCCTGCCTTGTAGACCTGCCCATTCACTACTGATTTCCTGCACGTTTTCCCGGGTAGCCAGACATAGAGCTGCGGCCAACATTACTTTTGATATTGGGTAGGAACACGAACGGCGTCAGCTTTGGCACAATTCAAATATAGCTCGGCGGACTAACGGGAGCTACGGAGATGCCTTTTACCCCTATATTAATAAGTCCTGGGAAACTAAAAATTGCAAATAATATTGGAATTTCTTGATAATTAACCGATAATTTATAATACTCTAGAAATTCACAGTTTATTAAAAAATATTGAATTTCAAGCTTTTAATTTGTAGAGGATTCTAATTATTCGTTATTCGTTATTCTGTAAAATAAAAATCTCGTAGAATTTATGAATTTCTTTAAGATAGTCTTGGCGTTTATAAACGTCTGATCGGATAACAATCTGGGCTTCGAATCTTGGTACTAACATTAGGATAGATAATTCGTAATTTGGTGGGCTACTAGTGTTTATAATAAAGCTGTTACTTCTCCGTATTTCAGTCTTAAACTTATATAATGTAGTGAAACATGTGTATTTTTAGTAGTGGAAAAATTGAGTTAATTGAGGAATTTGTTATATAGAGACGGGGTAGAATTTGAACTCTGTTATTTTGCAGAAAGACCCTTGCTGATAAATCTTGCACATGCGGTTAGACTACTAAATTTTATATGTCTTACTATTCTCGAAGCCAGTTATTTGTTATGACATGGACGTTAGCCGAGGTACTTTTTAACATTAAGCGTATTTTCACACTTTGTAATTTTACTCAAGATATCCGAGCTAGAATTTTCTAAAATTTTAGAATTAACTGATTATATAGTAGTATAGTCTATAAAATTTCTAGATTATAATAAGTCGTGGTTGTGAGTTATTAGAGTTATTATTAATTTTGGGGTGGGACTTTTTAGTTGGGCTTATTAATATCCTTTCCTTGTGCTCGGGATGGACACGCTAGTAGGGGGATCAAAGTAGTTCCGGCGTCTTGGCATCATTTTGCACCTTGCGCGGGAGTAGCTCTGGCTGTCAGGTGCTTTATGTATGATAGAAGGCAAGGATTGTTGGGAGCGGTGGCATGGGCAAGCTAGCCCTGAGCAAGCTCATAGCGTAGCAAGACTAGTCCAAGAAGTAATGAACCGCTGCGGTTCGGTTGTTCTTCGGACATAGCTGTTTTCGAGCTCTTTGGTAGCTAATAATCGTACTTTTCAAATAACTGTCTATGCCAGCACCTTTATTCAGATACCTTTTTCGTCGCATATTAATCAAATGGTTATTATTTTACTCGTTTACATTCAACTTCTCTGGGTAGTTTATAGTGAAATCTTGGTGTGTGAGTAGTTTTTTTTGTTTTATAATTTTTGTGTGCTTGTGATCGTATTTGAGTGGTTTATTTGGAATTTTTTGATTTTTGATTTTGGGTGCCAGTGTGGGCTGTTTTTCCTTCCAAGAATACTTTATCAATAGGTAATACTGCACAGAGGATTTTGAGCCTCTTGAAGCGTTGCAATTCTACTGCAAATACAACAGTAATCCTCTAGATTCGAGATGCTGTAGACTGTGCGCTTAGCAATGGCCTTGCATGTTGCCCGTGACCACTATTCCAAAGCTAAGAGCTGGCGGGCTCAGCAGAGCGCTCTGGGATCCTTCAGTACCTAGTCGATTTGGTCGTTGTCAAGCCCGGCAGGTGCTCTTGTGGGACGTATCACAGGCGAACCTCACGGCGCTGTAGCTTGATTAGAATTTCGATGCTTAGACGCCCTGTTACTGATTGCGCTGATGCACCGAAGTACACACCCTTGAAAAATGACTTGGCTCAGTCTCAAAGGATAGGCCTTTGGGTCTACAGTACAAGGAAGCTATACTGGCCTTCGTCGGTCAGTTCACCGTCTGAGCTCGTCCTGAGACGTCCTGAGACCTTGTGGCCTTGCAGTCTGTTCTAAAACCTGAACATAGCCTCCTCATGAGGCAGCTATAGCGGTCCCAGGAGAATTTGCGTCCGCAGCTGAGACCTGTGCACCAAGAAGCCATGTCACCATGTTGCACCAATTGACGTTGTAGCCTTGTCAGAATCCGAGATTGATGTCCTTCACAACGCCCATGAAGTCTGAGAACGCGATTTTCCCGTTTGTGATTGCTGGTATCACGACAATCAAGCCTAATCCGCTCGAGTTTCCGCAGTAGCCCACCGATGCGGTATCCTCAAGTACTCAAATGAACGCGGTTTCCAAGTAATCCCGGGTAGAGGTACACTCGCGATGTCGTGGTACCTCTTCCCTATACACTGCTCATTCTCGAGTATGTCTTCTGATCCAAGTTCACTGATGCACACTCTATCCAAGTGAACATCGGTCCCCCATACGATATCCTTGAACTTTGAACAAAGGTCTCTAGCATCGAATCTTGGGCATCTGTCCCTCCTTAGATGCTGCAGGTTTGGTTTATTGCAAGGAATTCCGGAGCTGAGCAATTTCGAACTAGTGGCATTTGTCTGAAGAAACGCGACCTCTGATCTGTTCACCTGGCGAGCCTGCGAAGGGGTTCATCTCTCGAGGCCAGCATTGAAAAAATTCTGAGACAGACCAATACACAACAACTTCAAGAGACCCGTGGGCTCCTTCATGAAGGTATAGAGGAAGCCGAAGAACTTTGACGCAATGGAGTATCGCCAAGTCCAATCAGATCCACAATTAGCGGCCGAGGGCGGACTTGGTCAACATTTTCACCACTTAGCATCTCTGGTGTCAAGGTCGACGATATCCGGGTGTTTGAACGAGCCGCTTGAGCCTTGAGAAACGGCTTTGGCCAGTCTTGATTTCCGAGGTCCTGAAGCAGCGCGGTTGCATGCCTCCTACTTTCTTATGTCGGTAGACTCAGGGAAGCGATAGTGAGGCTCAAGCCTTGAAGTGGCCAGTAGGCTTTGGGAGGCACTGCGGGAGAGGCAGGGTCAATGGCGACTTGCCACAGAGTCTCTTGTATTTGGGAGGATGAAGTCTGGTTTAGAAATGGAATGCGGATTCGATGGGTCAAGCGCAACATATTCCTATAATCGTTGTGTACAATGGGGTTTCTGGGTCGAAAAGTCATGGCGAGAAGGTCCCGTTAGCGGACAGAGCTTGCTCCTTCATTCAGGTTGAAGTATGTTACCCGTTGGCTTTACCGAGGACTTCCGGGAGAGCAGCCTGGTTAGGCATGCAGGTGGAATGCACTCCACGCGAGACGCCAACCTTGACTTTTCTAGAGTATGGCCTGTTAGTTTGAGCATGGAGCTTAATGATCCTAATCGTTAGATATCGAATCCAGCTGAGCATTTCCAAGTGAAATACCACGAATAGAACACCAGACCACGGCATCTTATGCCAGACAATACCGATAAGGTAAGCTGTATTACTGTCCTGCCATCATATTGCAATTATACAAAAACTTCCCTCTAACTTATAATTGATGTCTCTTCACAGCGTCTCTCTCCATGGACAAAGTCTTTGGGGACCTCGTCAGAAGCTCTGAATGTTCACGCATATCACCTTAAATCATCCAAGTTCACGCAAGTCTTCGATGATCATACCTACGCTATTACGCGCATTCCAGAGGCCCCAATTGACATCAGCCGCGACCATATCCGAGAACCAGGAAGTCTAGCCCGCGTCACCTCATTAATCAGTTTGACCAATGCCCCCTTGTCGGGGATGGATAATGTGCCAAAAGAGCAGGGTAAGGGGCCTGCATATGGGAATGCAGGTGACACAGCAAGCAACTGGTTTTCGCGCAGCGAGCAGCGACTCCGGTGGCAGTAGGAATTCCGTTATGCCAAGAACTGGATATCCGTCGGTCACTACGCACGATGGTAGCGAGATGCGATGGTGGGAGCGCGTGCGGTCATGATGGAGATGGTGGAGACAGACAATGAGCATGAGCGAGGCAGGATGGTATGCAGCACAATGCATTAAACCACTTTAGCTTGCTTGTTTGCTTGCTTGCATTGCAAATCGGTGATACCAAGCAGAAAATGCCCTTCGTTCATCGTAAATCACTCAGTCGTAGCATCCATTGTCATTCCTCCGAGTCTGCTCAATCCTTCCCACCTCCTTCGTACTCTTTGTCCTTCTTCTTTTCCTCCTCCAGCTTCTCTAAAGCACCTTCACCTTGCTTATCTTGCCCACCCTCATGCTGCCCCATAGGATCGTTTTCAGAAGCACCAAGTAAAGCGGCAGTGGTTTCGGAGGACGTAGGGGGTGGGGGTTCACTCGCTGGACCTGTGCTCACACCGGCTGCAGAACTTGCGTTAGTGTGGGAAGGATAAAGAGGGAGAAAGTCTGACCTGCGTTATAAGATGCTGGATTCAGTGCCATTTATATTGATTATGCTGTTGGGCTCCTTGAAGCACGTCTCCCTGGGATCTGCACTTCTGGAGGATCGGTCCAAAAGCAGATTTACTGTTTTATTACCAGATGCTCGTTCATTCAACCGATCACACGTCAAATCAGCAGGATCGTGGATGAAATATGACTGAATTTGCAATCCGTTGGCAGGCTGGTGGTCGTACTGATAAGACGGCTACGGAGATCTACAAGTGTCAAATTGGCGCACAAAATTCGAGAAATACATATTGATGGTATCAGATGACAATCCCGGCATTCATTTTCCGCACATCCGTTGCTTCAGACTTCAAAATATTGGTGGAAAATCCACGACTGAGGCTTCACCGATGCTGTATCGACATTGACGAAACACGTACATTCCCTCGATTGCAACTGCTTCTACAGTTTGACACCATGGCTTGGAGGGTTTTTACTGCTCTGTTCCGCAGGAATCTGGGGCTTCTTGACCACCACTTAGCACGTGGACTAGGAAAGAAAGCAAATGCAGATGTACCTTCGTTCACAGTCCGCAGTGTTTGTATCGGACTATTCGCCATGATAGAGATATCTGAATGGAAAATGACCCGATGTATGAGTATGGCCCAACTTCAAGGATTCAATTAATGTTGCCATTTGGAATTCCACTCGCGGGAGCATCGTCCGGCGATATAATCGAGCCTTTCGAAGCTTCTTTAGGTTTGTTTTCCGAAATCTTGCCAGTATGAAGTCTCGCTTTCTTTGCTTGCCGTTTCTGCTCCCTCTTCGAAATTGGTTTTGGCGTGGGATTGCCCGCTCCGGCTTCGTCCCCATCCAAGACACTAGCCTTCCGCTTGCCCTTCTCTTGCTTGCCTTTCGCGAATCTTTCTGGCTCTCTCTCAGGCTTTTCCCCCCCATGGACCACATCGATTACCCCTCTGAAGCTCCTCCTTTTCATCTCTGCGTGCACCACAGCACTCCTCGCCTCTCTGTCAATAGCTTCTACACCTTTCTCCTGCCCCAAGCCCCACAGTACTGCCAAATTCACTACATCCGCTGGCCCCCGACAAGCCAGCGCTCTTTTCGCTTCACTGCTGATGACGATACCTCTACCTCTTGTTGCACGTATCAATTGCGTAGCATTGCTGATCAAATTCCTCCTTGACGCGCCTCCATCACTATTCAGAATTCCCGGACCGTAGCAGATCTCAAACTTTACGCCTCTCTGTAGGGCGTTGGCCATGGTCTTGTGCTTGAAGTAAAAAGGGAAGCGTGTGCTCAGGTCAAGAGAAATGAGATCGCATTCGAGAGCTTGACAAGCTTGTTGAAGTGATTTTTCGTTGTCGGGACGAATAGCCAATAGATCGTAAGCCGAATTGAGAGCTTGAAGTCGATAATTTTGGGACGGATCGGATAGGTGGAGGGTGCAGCGGCGAAGGATGTGAAGAGAATTTGGTATCGTGAATGGGAGAGGAGTTGGTATCTGATTCGAGATTTCGGCGGGAACCTTGCCAGTTACGGCAAAATCTAATGCAATGGTGTTATAACCCACTCCTCAAGGTCAGCGTCTTCTACATCCTGCGGACCTGTACCGAAGGACACTGACGTTCTGAGAGGAATGCCAGTGTGCGTTGCAGCTCTCCATGGTTCGCGATGTATGGAACATTGAGATCATAATACATCCTCAACCCTCCCCCTCGCCCCCTTGAGCTCCTCCACGTGAAACGTAGTATGACCCAGTACAGGTGTTGTGCTGTAAGTTCTGCGAATGCGATGATTCCTCGGATTCAATTACACAAGCGAGCGCACTAGCGCGCGGGCCTAGCGGCTGCATCCAACTTTGTCGCCCCACCATCACATCACTCTCGGCCTTCTGCGCTCAGTCATCTTTTGGAAGACTTTGGTTTCGACATTTCAACCATGGACGATAGAGGTCTTTCATGCTAGTACGGCGGCAGTAAAACCCCAATCAATTGCGCATTGCTGAGATCAAGGAAATATGGCGCGGGTATACGCAGATGTCAACCAGCATATGCCGAAGTCCTATTGGGAGTATGACAGCGTCAACATCACATGGGGCGTGTTGGAAAACTACGAAGTAGTGAGGAAGATAGGTACGATAAGCCATAGGTGGATGCTGCGCCATGTTTACCAGCGCTGATACTGCGCAGGTCGGGGAAAATACTCAGAAGTTTTCGAAGGCATCAACATTGTCAACTACCAGAAATGCGTCATCAAGGTTCTCAAGCCGGTCAAGAAGAAGAAGATAAAGCGAGAGATCAAAATCCTGCAGAACTTGTCAGGCGGGCCGAATGTCGTTGCGTTGCTGGATGTCGTGAGAGATAGCCAGAGCAAGACCCCGTCCCTCATATTTGAATACGTCAACAATACGGACTTTCGAAGCCTCTACCCAAAATTTGTGGATTACGATGTGCGATACTACATATTTGAGCTGCTCAAGGTATGCGCGAGGCTGCCAATGGACCATCAGGCTATCATGGCTAACGAATGTCATTAGGCTCTCGACTTCTGTCACAGCAAAGGCATAATGCACCGAGATGTAAAGCCTCACAACGTCATGATAGATCATGAAAAACGAAAGGTGAGCTCAGCTAATTATTCAGCATGTTTCAGGGCTAATAATTCGTAGCTACGTCTCATCGACTGGGGACTGGCAGAGTTCTACCACCAAGGTACCGAGTACAACGTCAGAGTAGCGTCAAGATACTTCAAAGGGCCGGAACTACTGGTCGACTTCCAAGAATACGACTACTCCTTGGACATGTGGTCATTAGGAGCTATGTTCGCCTCCATGATTTTTAGGAAAGAGCCTTTCTTCCACGGCAATAGCAACTCAGATCAGCTGGTCAAGATTGCAAAGGTGCTGGGAACAGACGACTTGTTTGAATATTTAGACAAGTATGATATCGATTTGGATACCCAATACGATGATATACTCGGGAGATTCCCAAAGAAGAATTGGCACGGTTTCGTCAATGCGGAAAATCAAAGATTCGTGAGCAACGATGCCATAGATTTTCTGGACAAGCTACTGCGGTACGATCATCAGGTATGTCGCCTTCATCAGTCTGCCATTCGCAGTTCATCTTGACGAAGCTAACCTTGCATCCAGGACCGATTGACCGCTAAGGAAGCGATGGCCCATCCGTACTTCAGTCCAGTCAGGGCCGCAGCATCGTCGCAGAACCATGGATCCTCCATCCCATAAGCTCTCGAACTTAACACACCCTCTGCTCCGCACCCTCCTGCCTTCATAGTCATAAGCCACTCGACTCACCCTCCATCAAGCTCGCATCACACGACCAAATCTACGGTAAACGCCCTGTATGAGGACTGGGCAATCCCACATCGAGAGCGCGCGTGCGCTTATTATCCCCTACGGCATACCATACCATAGCATTCATACGGCACGCCACCAGCCATCAGCTGCCAACTTCAGAAGATATGTACAGAGGACGGTTGGACGGCGTCTTGCCCGGGTTACAGGGTCGAAATCTGGAGGTGGCTTTCGCAATAACGAGGCGTTGGCTTTTTCCCAGACAATCCTATACATAATTATTGAGCAACAATTTTACAATGAAAATTTGAGCGGACTACATCAGTAGATGCAAGAGACAGGTGATCGTACGGTAGCTACCTGGAGCTAAACCTACATTAAAGATCTTCCGTAGTGTCGGGTGTAGCCGCCTCGCCGCTCAGGGTCCAAGATCGGCCAAGTCGTCTTTCGTCATGCCGTTCCTAAGCAACTGGAGTCGGACAACAAACGCCCCGACTCGACCGATTAGCAGTCATATCAAAGCGAATACGAATGCGCTCTCAGCAACTACTTCATATTCACTCATCGACTGAATGGCCATATAATCAAGGACATTCCCATGCTGTAGTGGTGTGGACGAATTTCCATCTCATTTCTACGACATGGCTGAAGTCCACGCTTTGGACGATTACTACTTGGCCATTACTCTCTTGATCACCATAGCATACCAGCTGTTCTTCTTCTCCATCGCCTTCTCTCTCAAATTCGACAAGCTCACAGGTATAGCTTCACATTTGCGAATCACTTCATGTCAATACTGATCCTCTGTTCCAGACTTCGCTGGCGGCACCAACTTCGTGGTACTCGCAATCATAACCCTTGCCTTCTCCGGCCACCATAATGCGCGCCAAATCGTGGACTCACTCTTCATCATGATCTGGGGAGCGCGCCTCTCTGGATTCCTCCTTTTCCGCATTATTAAGACTGGCAAAGATGACCGCTTTGACGATAAGCGGGACAAATTCTTTCCATTCTTGGGCTTTTGGGTGTTCCAAATGTTCTGGGTCTGGACGGTCTCGCTACCGGTAACCATCCTGAATTCGCCCAATGTGACAAAATATCGTCAGCCCGATTTTGGCACTGGAAGAGATATTGCCGGAGTGATACTATTCACCATCGGCTTCCTTATGGAAAGCGTTTCGGACATACAGAAATACCGGTTCAGGAGCAGGCCAGAGAACAAAGGGAAGGTCTGCGATGTCGGACTCTTCGTTTGGACAAGACATCCGAACTACTTCGGAGAGATCATCATCCAGTTCTGTAAGCAGACCCCTTTGAGCATTCAGGCAATATACTGATAATGCTAGCTATCTTCATGATTGCCGTATCGCCTGCAGCATACGGATACGTCCATGGCGGGGCGTACAGTGCTCTCTACGCTTCGATCCTAGGAGCCTTCTTCTTGACCATTCTCCTCATGTTCGTCTCTGGTTTACCACTGCAAGAGCGCCCAGGAGCGAAGAAGCGTTACGAAAGTGGCAATCACTGGGAGTCGTTCTCTGAGTATACAAAACGCACAAGTATTCTGATACCCTTTCCTCCCCAGCTGTATGTCAGGATGCCCATAATTTTAAAGAGGACCATTTTCTTGGAGTTGCCTTTGTATGTTTTTGATCCTGCAAAGCACGCAGATCAGGGGAAGGTACAAGAACGGCAGGCTGAGGAGGGAGCTGCAGATTCCAGCAATGAGCAGACGCAGGACGGCCATGCGCATGAGTAGATACCCATTTGTAGCATCGCAATTTCTTTCTGCTGTCGGCGAATCTTGGCGCAGTTTGCAAAATATAGATACTTGACATGGCATTCTATTTATTGATCATCCAGTTGGGTTGATTGTCGCTGTTACCAGAGTATGCCATTCCGGCTAAGTACTTTAGTAATCCGGCATACAGATCGAAATTAAGCTATTACCCCTGATTTCATAATCCTTGAGAAAACCGAAAATTAGCCGTCCGGCTGGCACCCCACACACTCAAAATCGTATTGTAGACCTATAGGCCATTAATGCTATTCCCACAACTAATTAGAACTTCAACTTGACCAAATATAGACCGCCCTACACGAAATAAGGTTATTCCACGCAATTTTGACTAAGAAGTAGCTAATATCGTGGCTAACGCTATTAAAGAAAGGCGTAAACCGCCGAAAGAGGTTAAATCCAGGTCGAAATCGAAGAAGAAGCCCCTCAAAAATAACGCTATTTAAGATATCCTTAAATATAGTCTTATTATTAAAGAAAAGGCTTTTAAAGCACCTCTAAAGCCTCTAAAGCTTTTTACCTATTTAATTAATACTAGTATAATATGAAAAGAGAAGGATTTACGCCCGGGCGTTAATAAGTTAAATATATTCGATTTTTATAAATTTAATAATAAGGCTATATAAGCTATCGAAGAAAAGATAAGTAAGAAGAACTATCGAATAATTCTAAAGCGTGCTATTATAACACTCTTATACGTCGGTAATATAAAAGCTATAAATAGCCGATATAGTAACGAGTCTAAATAAAAGTTAGTCGATATTCTCGCTATAAAATAGCTAAAGGAAAAAAGAAAGAATATTACTATAAGGATTATATATATATATAACTCTAAAGACGATAATATCTCGTTAGAAGAAAAGTCTTCTAAAGAAGAAGCTTCGCCAGCGAAGAAGTATAAAACGAATTAGCCTGCTATCGATAATAATTCGTTCTTAAACGAGTCTTCTATCTCTTACTTTTCTTTCGAATCCGAATTCGACTCTAAAAAGTAGAAGAAGAAAAAGAAGAAGACTAAAATATCTAAACTCGATAGTACTATCGCGAAGTAAATGGCGTATATAATAAAGATGAAGAAGCTTTAAAAGAAGCTTAATTAGAAGAGTTATAGTATTATAAAGAACTATAAATATTTAAGAGTCGGCTATTCTAGAAATAGCTATTATTATTAGCAATTTAAAGGCTCTAGGGGTATATACTATTTACTATATATCGAGTAAATTACTAGATAAAATAAAGCCTTAGTAAGAAGTAAGAATTCTAGTATTACTACTAAAAATCCGCCTTAAAAGATTCGAACTTAATTAAAGAAATAATATAAAAAGAATTAGAAGATAAAGGTCGAGTCGAAAATAATAAAGAAGAAAGAATCGATAGCTACTACTACTTCTACTTTAGCTTTTACTTTAATATCTATTAATATATCGCTTAGTAAGCTAAGTAACTCGCCTTTAATATTAGATTAGTAGTAGTAGTAGTCGCTATAGTATAGTTAGCCGTCGTAGTATAGCTAGTAGCCGTAATATAGCTCGTTTTAATAGTAGTTATAGTATAGCTAGTAGCCGTAGTATAGCTTAGTTTAACAGTAGTATTACCTATATTAGCAGTAGTAGTTTATAAAATATTTACCCTTTTAGCTAATAATTTAGTAGCCTTAATTTTTTCCTACGTAGTAGTATTAATAGTCTTAGCCCTTTAAAGCTTAATTACCCGATTTAATTAAGCTTCCTTCTTATTCTATTATAATCAATCGATCATCTTTTTAAACACCGCTTTTATTAAATAATTCTATTCGAGCAGAGGGTAATTAGAGCGTGTTACGTAAGATATATTTTGTTTAATATATTCGAAAGAGTTCTAGCGAGAAAGCGGCGTTTATAAACGCGCTTAAAAAGATAAAATAAGAGGTATATATACTAAGATAAATACGTTATATATCGATAACTAAGTAGAAAAATATAAAGGTTTTAAAAGAACTAAGTATAAGACTAAGTAGCGAGGTAAAAGTATTTATAAAGGAGGTATAAACTTATACTACTATCGTTACTAATATAGACTATAGCTTTTAAGTATCTAATCTATTAGATACGCTATATAACGCTACTTTAATAAATAATAATAATCTAGATAAAAAGATATCTATTAAGAATAAAAAGAATGTTTAGATTAAATAGATATAGAGGTAAAAGACTAAAGCGAGTATAGAAGAAAGTATATATAGTTAGAAGTTAGATAGAATAATACTTTAAATTAGCTTATAATTCGATTATTCCTCGAATATAGCTATTTTAAAGCTCTTTCGAGGCCTATATAATTATTCTACTTTCATTATTTTTCTTTTATATTTTAACTATCTATCCTCTATCGCTTTATCTTCTTATCTTCTTACTTCTTTAACTAATTAATTATAGAGTTTATTCTTATCCTTCCTCTTTCTCTTCCTCTTTCTATTTAATATTATTTAGAGTTACTACGAGTAGTATAGGCTAATAAGAGATAATTCTAAAACTATATTATAGGCGTATTTCATCTTATTTTACCTCTATATTATATTCTTCTACTCGCGTATTAAGATCTATTAATAAGTCGAATAATAAGATATTTCTAATATAGTTTAGCTCTCTATAGCGTAATATATAAAGAGTATAGTTATAGAGCTTTATTATTATTATTTTTTTTTTTATAATCTAATATCTAAAGGTTCTATCAAATTTTCTTAAGGCCTATAATAATATTTTTTTAATTTCATCTTTATTTAATAAGAAATATATTAATTAATATTTGGATTTAGATTTAAATATTACTATAGTAGATAGAAATCGAGAAATCTATATATCTTTATATCGAAGCTTAAGAATTAAGATTCGATTAGCGTTAACCCTATAGCGGTAATCCCGCTATAGCTAAAATATTATATATATTATATCTTTTATTTTAATTAATGCTTATACTATTTCATATTCTAAATAGTATAAATTAAAGTATTTAATAGAGCTTAAATACGCTAAAGAAATAATAGAAATCGAGGGTATTTTAATATAGTAATACTAATAGAAAGAATATCTACCTCGAATTAAGCTAATATAAAGCTTAAAATCTTATTTTCGCCGCCTTAAAGTTTATTCTTTAGAACTATTATATCCTTCGTCTTTTATATATAATTCTTTATCTTTCTTATAATACTCGCCTATCGATATTTCAGCGTGTAAAAAGTAAGCTTTAATATATATTTCTCTATTATACGCCTATATAATAAGCTCTAAATATTACCAAAAAAGCATATACTCCACCAGCTCGAAATGCCTCTTTAATTAGACCTTAAGAATCGAAAAGAACTTCTTAATAGAATTAAAGTTAGACGAGTATAGAAGTAAATATAAGAGCAAAATACCTTATATCGTATATAATCTTTTTATCTTAGCATTATAATATATAGAGTAATTATTTATAACGAGAATTGATTTTAAACTAGAAAATAAATTATAGCGAGAAAGAACTTCGTTCTTAAGAAATCATTCAAAATGAAAATTATTAATACTACCTTAATAGATATAATAATAAAGAATATTATTAAAATAGTACGCCGATAAAATACTATATCGTTTAAATCGTTTAATAAAAATAGAAATCGTTAATCGAATTCCAAAGTCGTAATAGCCTCGCTTCCTTTATATTATATACTTATTAACTACGCTCTTATTTAAAAAAATAAGCTAATTATATATAAAAATACTAATCGCTAGAAAGTACATATTATAATAGAGTTACGAGCGTTTTAAAGCTACTCGGCGAAGGCTTTTTCTACTAATTCTTATAACGTATAGTATTCTTAATATTATAGACGTGCTAATAATTAAATCGAATCGATTAAAAAGATTATATTATATCTCGTCTAGATAGGCCTATAGCTTACTTTTAATATAGACTTTTAATCTAATTCTTACTACTATAAATATCGCGAATAGTCTATCTCTCTTAATTATATAAAGCGCGGTATACGTATTAAAGATTAGAAGGTTATTAATAATACGATATATAATAGTAGATAATATATCCTTAGCTTTAATAATAGCGTTAACGCTTAGTTCGAACTGTATATACTACTATATACGATTTTTATAAGTAATCGTCAGCGGGGAAGATATTTTAAAGCCTTCTATATATCAGCAAGAGGCCTAAAAAAAGCAATATTAATAGTTCTATATATATAAGTAATCGCAGCCTCACAATTGCCTCTTTGGGTGTGTATTTAAGGCCTTGGAGGGTTGTGGGAATGGCATTAATGGCCTGCAGGTCTACAATACGATTTTGAGTGTGTGGGGTGCCAGCCGGACGGCTAATTTTCTATTATGAAATCAGGGGTACCCCTAATTGCATAATCCTTGAGAAAAAAAAAATTCCCACAGTTCTGGCACACCCCAAAATCAAAAATCAAAAATTTCAATTTTTCTGTATAGGTTCACAACCACAATTAATTATAATCTGGAAAATCATCAAAATTTAATAAATAGAGTGTAGATTAGATTATAAAATTCTTAAAAGATTTAAATTAGTCGTTATATTGTAAAAGAGAATAATAACGAATTTTACGAAGTACTCTTGACAGCTTTAGAATAGCCGAGGTAAAAAAAAAAAAAACCTTGGCATTTATTCAGATGATTTTTCAGCGCACCCTCGGCAATGTCAAATCAACATTTTATTATTTTACTTACGTTATATAAATTAAATTTTTTAAAAATTTTTAAAAAAAAAAAATTGGGTAAAAAAAAAAAATTTTTTAAAAATTAAAAAAAAAAAAAAAATTTTTTTTAAAAAAAAAAAAAAAAAAAAAATTTTTTTTTTTTTTTGATTTTGGGGTGTGCCAGAACTGTGGGAATTTTTTTCTTTCTCAAGGATTATGCAATCAGGGTTAGACGCGACAAGCGATTGCGGGCATTCTTGCCGATGAGGTCTGTTCGACCTCAAGACCGCTATCATCTTGCAGTTTGCACCTCAAGGGCCGAAGCGGATGCCATACTGTTGTGCCACTGCTCGTACTTTCGTCCAGCGCAAAGGGTCTTAAGGTGAGTCCAACACATTGCGTGGCCGAATACAGCGTTCTGAATTTCCCACCGAGAAGTCGCATGCAAATGGATGCTAAATGCTAACCCTTAGTGTCAAGGCGGAGGACTTCACTTCATAGAATTTCAACCGCCAACCTTTGCGTATTGAACCAGCAAATATTGCGCCCCCGGGCCTAGACAATGGGTCATACTTTGGAACTACATCAAACATACATCGACTTGTGGAAGTTTCTGGAAACTCCCTATAGGCTAGGAACAAGGGAAGCAGTAAGAGACGTTCCGAGACATCATTCAAATCAAGCTCCACCCCTTGGTTTTCAAGCGCAACCTATCGGAGCCATCATGGAGGCCAAAGAGGTCATCGAGAAATCCAAAGCTCTCTCAAAAGCCACCGCGGCCAAAGACCCACCTGAGAATCTCATTCGCATCCTCAATGATCTGAAAACCGGTGTCAAAGCGGACGAAGATCTCCTTCGTTCTACAAAAATCGGCGTGGCCGTTAACCGCTCCAAGCAACATCAGAACCCTGCAGTCGCCCGTCTAGCTAGTGAGATCGTTAAGAAATGGCGCGACGACATCAACAAGCTGAAGGGAAGCAGCCCCTCAGATAAGAAAAGCCCGAATGGTACTGCATCTCCTGTCCCAGCGAACACTTCGAATGGCAAGCCCAAGCTCAATGTACCGCCTGCGGAGCGCGACTGGAAGAAAGACAAGGTGGACATCGCTCACACCAATCAAACCACGCGTGACGGTACTATCGGTCTAATCTACAACGGTCTCGCCTACATGTCCACCGATGCATCATCAGACATCCTGCATAAAGCTGCAGCAGTCGAAGCAGCTGGCTTCGCAAAGTACGGCCCGGAGAATAATGCGAGCTACTCGTCAAAGATGCGCAGCCTCTTCATGAACCTTAAAGCCAAGTCCAATCCCAAATTACGAGTAGATGTCTTGAATGGCACTATCTCCGCCGAGCGCCTTGTCGTCATGAGCAATGATGAGCTCAAGAGCGCAGAAAGGCGCGCAGAGGATGCTAAGCTTATCGAAGAGAATTTGAAGGACTCCCAGATGCCACAGGTACAGCCACCCTGCTATATCATCCGCTCATACCAGCGAAGGGGATCAATCATTACTAACTGGATCATAGGTTGAGAGGAGCATTAGCACGAGTCTGGAGTGTAGCAACCCCAAGTGTAAAGGTAACCGTGTTCCCCGCATGGCCCCTTCCCAGGCTTTCTTCCTCATGAAAAGAGACTGACCCTGAGAAACTCTAGGCCAGAAGACAGTTGCTTACACGCAAGCTCAAACCCGCTCCGCTGATGAACCGTAAGATTTACTCTCTTACTGCTACCAGCATCATGCTAACGTGCTTTCACAGGATGACTACCTTCTGCGTAAGGACCTTGATCTCATTCAAATGCTTTGATAACTGACCCATACCATAGGAGTGTACGAAATGTGGCAAGCGCTGGAAATTCAGTTGAGCTTTGGGGTCCCCACAGCATTGATGAAGCATTTAGCATGGTCTTTCAGGCGTTTCGAGGCGGTAGGATACCCAGAGACGAGATGGTGCAGCCTTGGCATGATAGCGGTCTTCCGGTGGCATACTAGCAATGAACAGTTAATGTCATAGCTGCAATGCTTACCAACGTGGTTAAGTCGTGCACAGTTCTCTTAGAGGACGAAGAGGAGGCATACTGGGCGATGGGCCCTCGCTCCAGATGAAATCAATTGATGTCGCGGGAGCTTGATCCGAACTTGTGGGATCCCTCGAATTCCAAAGGCTAGACAATGCGGAATTCGACGGGCGTGAGCCCGGGGATCTGAGGATGGTACACTTGTACGGTATCATCAATGTATGCCTCAAGCCGATATTGCAACGTCTACCCTTCCCGTGCACCTAGAATTGGCATGCGCATCCCCTCAAAACGCAAACATCTTCCCTTCCTTCGGATTTTCAATCAGACAAAGTGCCAAGATTCTTCGCCTGGAGTCTTGATCCACGCGTCCTCTGCCCTTGAAGCTGGTGTTTGCGCTTATGAGTCACCCCCGTAAATCGTGCCCGGCTGTGGTTTCTGGTGCCCTCAAGCGGAGGAGTCTCGGGTTGTCAATCATCCTGTGGGTTCACATGCAGTAAAAATGGGTACCAATGGGTTCTAAAGCTGTTTCCAACACTACACTATCTACGCTACACATGGGTTCTTTCCCCTTCAGGTATACATACACGTGTCGTCCACCCCCCAGGGCACGCAGCATCGCAGCGTTTTACCCTTACGTCGAGATCATGACCGAGGAATTCTTATACCTATAACTTCATCAGCGCTCGTCCCCTTCCCCATGTAAAAATTGGAACGATTAGGAGATTTACCAGCTCAACATCGGATTCTCCCCACTCTTCGTCGCCGTGTCCTGCACATACGCCCATCTTGACAAAAAATCCGAATGGCTCATTACCTTGGTCAATTTCCCGGTGATGGCTCTATAGATATCTTCAATGGTTGCAAAGTCCGTAGGAAAGAGGATGTCGAAATAGCCTTGTTGGACCTACCCAACGACCACTTGTTAGCAAAGCTTGTTTCGGGATCGATGGAGGGGAAGTAGAATTTACATATGGCGTAGTTACAGGCACGACCCTTCGCTGAAACCTCGTTTGCACTACGGGCGCGTTAACACCCTTGACGGCATCGGGTAAGGCGTGGAAGTCGGAAGTGAGAAGCTCGTGCTTGGGGAAATAGTCCCTCAGGACGTCGAAGAATTGCATCAGCCGCGTGGGTATGTACTCAGGCAGAGTCAAATTTGGGGCGAATGGTAACCTTGACTTGAGGCTACGCGTAAACCTGGATTCTCTGAGCGGGTGATCGAACGGGCGGGAGCACGCTGCATCCCGGACTTGCAGGAAACGTGATGCCACAGGGTCAATTTGCTTGGTATAGAATTCGTAAAAATCCCCAGTATTGTCGACGAGAACAGTGCCTTGCAATGGCTGTTCAGTGAAGGGATCGTAGCGTATACTGTCATGAGCGAAATTGTCGAAGACCTCGAGAGCGAGGAAGTAGCAGGGTGCAGGTACGTAGGTAGCCCAGGAAAATATAGACTTGTTGATGATTTCCACGTGCTCAGTGTGACCCCTTGAAGAGGCATTCCGCGTGAGCTGTGTAGACTGCAGCGCCGCGAGCGAAGAAGATATCTCAATGACTTTGAACTTCGTCCTAGCATACACATCCGGGTCAAAGTCGCGAATATAGTCGAGCATATTCAACATCAGCGTTCCATTCCCCGCACCGAGCTCATATATTATGAGGTCGTCTAACGGATAGTGCATAAGTTTGTAGTTCGTGACAAGGTACCTGGCAATAGCTTCGCCATAATACGGTCGAAATAGCTCAGTAGGTGTATGCCATAATTGCCTGCTCTCATTGGGGACTTCATCATCGAGTTCGTCTTCGAAGACGGTGTAGCGATGGCCCAACTGTCTGTGGAATTCAGGCTCATTGGCCATTTTATTGAAATCGAAGGGCTGGCTGGGGCTGAAGATTACGACTTGTTTGGGGAAGTAGCCGTAGTGTGGATTATAGAGACTGTCTAGACGGCCAGTAAGCATAGGCTGAAGATGTTTAATGGAAGACAATACCCTCTATAAAGTCGCGTGCCAGCATCTTCACCCTCTTAGGCCTTTCCCTCCGACTCCTTAGCATATCTGAGGTGACCATCGGATATTTCTCATAGTCCCTCAGCTTGTCCGGTGGAAATATATCCGTCCGCATCTGCCAATCGCTTGTCTGTCTGCTATCGTCATCTCCATCATCTTCCTTCGAGCTTCTGTAGTATCTCCGCCCAGGCGCATTGAGTAGAAGTCGTCTGGATGTTGGAGGGTAGAATCGCAATCTGGAGCATGTCTGATGGGATAGCAGACGCTGGAAGATCTTTGAAGCCAGCGGCGAGTCCATGTCGCTCCTGTCTCCGTGCCCGGCATGTGGGCACTGGGATGTTTGAAAATGGGGGCTGTTCGGCGTTTACGGGCTTGCCGCGCTTCTAGAGCTTCAATCCATGCCGCATCCGGAGCCTTGCATAAGTATCTCCCAACTCATCTAAGCTTGTACAGTGATGCCATGGAGAATCGACCAAAGCTGTATGCTATCACAGCATTCGTAGCCGGTATCCTTCTGACGCTCGGTTACAAAGATTTCTACCCTGACCTTGAGTGGTGGTTTTGGAGACGGCGCAAGGCAAACAGGACGGTGGCAGGTGCTGGACTCCAAGACGGTGGTCAAATTAACTTGGAAGATCATGAAAAGAACGGTCCGGCCACAATGGATGTGCCTGAAGGTATAGAAGCTTGCATCGGAAATACTCCCTTGTTCAAGATAAAGTCATTGTCCAGCGAGACTGGGTGTGATATACTAGCCAAAGCAGAGGTAAGATTTAGAATCCTGCTAGCTAGCAGTGGTTTGTCTGATCGCCTGGTAGTTTCTCAATGGCGGTGGAGGCAGTCCGAAAGACAGAGTAGCCCTCGGCATCATCAATCTGGTAAAAGCAAATATTCAATTTTGTCGTGCAGAGTCTGAACCTTTTTCGTAGGCTGAGGAGCAGGGTCTCTTGACACCTCACTCAGGAGACACTATCTACGAAGGCACTGTAGGATCCACCGGAATATCCCTCGCTACAGTCTGCAGAGCAAGGGGCTATCTGGCGTACATGTAAGCTCCTTCCCTCCCATACTTTCCGACTTAGTCTCGATCTTCTCCATCCTAAATCATCCCATAGCTGCATGCCCTCAGACCAAGCAACCGAGAAATCCTCCCTCCTTCTCAAACTCGGCGCGGTCGTCGAGCGTGTTCCGCCAGCTCCTATCGTCGACCCTATGCACTTCGTCAACCGCGCACGCACCCTCGCCGCCGAACACACCGCCGACCCTAATCGCTTAGGTCGCGGCTACTTCACGGACCAATTCGAGAACGAAGCTAATTGGCAAGCTCACTATGACGGTACAGGACCCGAAATCTTCCGCCAGTGTGGAGGAAATTTAGATGCCTTTGTTGCTGGCGCAGGCACTGGTGGGACAATTGCTGGTGTTGCGAGGTATTTGAAGCCGAGATTGCCGGATGTGAAGATTGTGCTTGCGGATCCGCAGGGGAGTGGGCTGTACAATCGCATTAAGTATGGAGTCATGTTCGCAACGACGGAGAAGGAAGGGACGAGGAGACGATCCCAGGTCGATACAATTGTGGAGGGTATTGGGATCAATAGAGTCACGGCCAACTTTGAAGCTGGGAGGGAGTTGATAGACGATGCTGTCAAGGCGGATGATGAGCAAGCTCTAGCGATGGCTAGATGGCTTGTGGAGAAGGACGGGATTTTTGTTGGAAGCAGCAGTGCCGTCAACTGTAGGCGCAAGCTCACTTGTATTACTCATACAGAAACTGACTCGAAAAAGGCATCGCTGCAGTAAAAACTGCACAACAGCTGGGTCCTGGACATAGGATCGTTACCATTCTTTGCGACTCTGGAACGAGACATATCTCAAAATTCTGGACAAGAGCAGGAACCATTGGCGGCAAGACAGAAAGCAAGCTAGAAGACGTCATTGGTACGCAGAGTCAAAATTGATGAGAGTCGTTCCATGTGGGCAGGGTTCTACCATCGAGTCGGCTCTTGGACCTCATGAACCCGCTCAGTGCGCCAAGTTCAAAGACTATAAAATGCCTTGTCAGATCTTCAGAAATACAGCGTTACGCATTGCATTCCAAATGTACCTTTTTGACTCCTTTCGTATCAGTCCCGTCGGGGCCGCAACCATGTGATTGAAGGATTCAGAAAGCCCAACTCATCGCACGTCCTGAATTGAACGGATAGAAACCATTATCTGCAGAATCGCGGTGGTATGCTGCTATTTGACTCTCGGAAGCGGTACTTGGCCGATACCGGAGATCAATCAATGGTCAACAAGTACAGAGAGTATAATCACCTGTTTTAGAGATAGGACAGCTCGTCCTCACTGAAGTCGTCAACTGCTGTCCATATTGAGGAGAAAGAATCGGAGACGATCTCTTTCTTAACCTTCCTTAACGTCGATCGAGCTGCCGCAAGCCTCTTACTCAGTGGATGAGAACCAGACTCGACGATGTCAGATTCTATGGCCTCCTCGATCTGCTTCCGCACTGGGGTCGCTACCCCTGGAGTCACGCGCAAAGGCTGCGAATCAGGATCTAAGTTGATACTCTGGATGACATTCTTGGGCTGCTTCCTTGTTGAAGTAGCTGCGCCTGGAGTCATGCGCAAAGATTGTGACTCGGTGTCCAAGATGATAGGCTTGGTCGCTTCTCTCCCGAGTTCTTGCACTGAAGTAGCTACAGCAGGTGTTACGCTCAGAGGCTGCGAGTCAGCGATTTCAGGGCCCAGAGAAGACCTGACATCGTTGAGGACGAACGCTGCTGAAGCCGCATACTGGCTCTCTGCTGCAGCAACCGAAGGCGACTTAGTGGGAGTGCGGATCGCAAGAATCTCATGATCAGGCAAACCCGGGCATAACTCTGCGGGTGCGTTCTCCACTCTAGCAGAAAGCCGTCTGATGAAAGCACGGTCCGTAGTCTCCGTGGTGGGCAAAGGCGATTTAATTTGGGGATGGCTCAACGGACTTTCTTTGGTATCTCCACTCTTTCTGTTCACGTTGCTTGTTGCAGACAATGGAATCACAACTTGGACAATCTGTCTTTTGGCAGTAGTTTTGCTGGTTGCTTCGAAGTTGGGCTCATGGTATTCACTTGGTTTGCCATGGTTAGGTGGCTGTGCTGAACTGATTGAAAATAAATTCGTCGGTCCAGTCTTCTGTGGTCCTTCTGTCGTTGACCTTTTTTTCTGGATATTGTTTTTTGCCTCAGAAATCGACCCTTCTTGCTGTGATGCGGATTGGCTTGTTCTAAGTCGTTGGAGAAAACTTGAAGTTTCCATTGCCATAGTACTCCGAGGCTGTACTTTTGGGGGGAAAAAGCCTTCACTGTACTTGTCTGCGCCCTCAACATTGGGCTTAGCCTTGATAGACTTGGTCGGAGAAGATACCCGAGCTTCGCAGCCGTCCTCGGAGACGACTTCGAGTCCTTGGTCCGGAAGCACGACTACATCGTCTTCGATTTCGAATGGCTTTGAAAGGCTATATGACTGATCTGTACCGGCATAAGTCTCGTTTGGGTTCGACTGAGATGCAAACTCAGCTATCTTGCAACCACCATCCACGTGACGAGCAATGTCAGATGTTCGACGAGCGGATGCCTCTGGCGAGTTAATGCTTTTGGTTCTTCGCGTTCCCTCCTGGTTTCGGTATATTGAGCTTTGGTCAGAGCGATTGTGCACCTTTCCAACTGGATGGTGGTGGTCACTGGTCCTGGCAGAAGGCTCACTGGCGTCGTCCAGTGATTCGTCCAGTGATTCGCCCACTGTGAAATTCTCTTTTATCTCGCGATCCCTCACGCTCGAGAACGGCTCACCCATCGTGTATCGAATGTGAGCTCCACCATCATCAGAAATCAAAATCGGTTCGTCCACAGTGTAGCCAATGGGTTTCCCATGGTTACGCCCAGTTTGATACTGAGAAGTCATGCGGTGATCTCCAAGTTGTTCCATAGGCTTGCTCAAGCTCCGAACAAAATTCCCCTCTTCTAAAAAGCCTTTATTCGATTGCTGCTGGACGTTCTGCGGTTTTTTGGCTCTCGAAAAAGTATCGTGATCATACGGCTCTGGGCGGATTTTATCAGGACCCAGAGAATTTATGTTAGGAGACAAGCTGGGAAGCGGTATTCTGCGCCCCAATATCTTAGGCAACTGACGCTTTGAGCTCGCCTTACCATGGGTGATCATGTAGGTCCAGTGAGATGCAATAGAGCTACGCTGCCGCTCTGGAAAGTAGGATTCCATGGCCGCACCCGATAGATTCGTTGTAGTCTTTAGATGAATCAAAAGCTCTTCTTCCTCCTGCGTCCATTTGACTATCCTCCGGGCAGCGGGCTCCGAGTTACTCAAATCGAAAACCGGTTCGTCGGCACTGTTCTCTTGACCGCGTGCAAACGATAGTGATCGCTGACTTACTGAGTTGGCACTATCGCGTCTCCGCCGTGGAGGTTTCTTAGCCTCGGGTGTCCATAGCGAAATACCTGCTCGCTCATCGTCGGAATACTCTCGCATATTATCAACGCTGGTCAGTCCAACTTTATCTCTCTCCCTCTTGAGTATGGCAATGTTCGGCAAGGGCGGTGCTCTCCATGCTGGCTCGATATTTGGCTCGTCTGCGAAAGCGGGCTTGTCCTTGAGGAGACACGAGGTCTCCTGAGCACTTAATCTATTATTTCTGTGTGATGCCCACTCAATATCGCTGCTTGCCAACTCATCCTCATCGTCATCTGAAGGGATTGAGACTGCTCTCCTAGACTTCTTGCCTAATTGGTGTAGGTGGGACTCAGCTGGGACATCGCCCATAAGACTGTCGGCGTCAAAATCCGACTGCCCTGAAGCTTCTGATTCCTCCATGGCAGCTGTATCTCCTGCCTTGGATGATTTCAGAGCTGCAAAATGTTCCTCGCGGTACTCGATCAAAGAGTGGTCGTCTTCGTCATCGGCCACCTCTTCGGATGAGTATTCGGCGTCCCCTGCATCTCTCTCATTGGTCATACCGAGAATATGACCATTGTCGACCACGATTTCCCCTGTCGCCATATCTATCTCATCGCCTATGCCATCAAAATCTTTCCCATATTTGTCAAATATCGATTCGAAGATCGATTTCAATCGGAAGTCATTCTGAGCTCTCCGCGCATGAAGGTCGATTTCTGGGTAGCTGTTTCCTGAAAAGCGCCGCCTTTTGAACGGTGGCTCCATGCTCTTGTTGCAAGTTCCCTGTTAGCAAGAGCAAGTTATTGTTGTCAGAAGCCAGTAGCTAAGTTGTTTTGATGATAGCATTGTCGAAGTAGTGTTAGTCGCGTGCAGTGTAAATACCGAGGGGTTGCGCGTGTATCGGCCTATTTTCGGCCTCTAAACAAGAAGTCAGCGTTCAGCAGAGCCAACCCATCGAGATGAACTGCCAAAAATGCCGAACACCTCTGAAGCTCGATAGCTCGCTGCAATACCTCAATCCGGCAGCTTTCGACCTGTTGGTAGGTATGTAGCCAAACAGCACTGCTTTTGCGCACAAAAACTGAATGGTTCACAGGATCAACAGGCCATTCCAATGATCAGGCAACCAGTACATCTCGGGTACCATACCCTCACGAACGCAAGGATCTCTACAATCAGGTAACCCAAGATGCGACATCTCCAGTGTTCAAAAGGGCCATTCCTGCTGCTCGGCAGGCGTTCGGCCCCCAACCTGCGGTGGCTGCATCAACGAAAGCCGGCTTGAAGGACAACCCGGCCATGTCCTTCGTGATGCTTACAGACTCGCAAGTCGTTCCTCCACAACATACGTTGGATGGTAACGAGGAAACGCGGAAGAAGCAGGGATCAAGAGTAGCGCACAGTACTGCAAATGAAGCCTCCAACGAGCCAAAGCAAACACTGTCTCACCAGATCGAGTCGACCACTCGACTCTTCGAGATTCTCTCGTCCCACTCTGACATAGATCACCCTGTTTGTGCTGAGTGTACCGATCTACTTCTGTCACAGCTTCAGAGTCGTCTTTCCGCGTCTACCAAAGAACGGGACGCCTATATTGCTTTCCTAAAAACCATCAACAACACCATTCCGTCTTCATCCGAGATCTCAAAAGCTCAAGCGTCTCTTACTTCATCCAAAGCCGCCGAAGCGAAGGCGTTTTCCGAGCTCTTGGCTCTTGAAAAGGAGAAAGCAGCCCTGGACGACGAGGTCGCGACCTTAGAAGCCGAATCTCTCGCCCTGGATGAGGAGGAGCAGGCTTTCTGGCGCTCCAGGAATGCGTTTGCACTGACCTTGTCCACCCTCCAAGACGATCGTGATGCCCTCAATGCTGCTTACGATCATGATGCTCAGCAGCTGGAGCGCCTCGAATTAACAAACGTCTACAATGACACGTTTTGCATTTACCACGACGGGCCCTTTGCTACAATCAATGGTCTGCGCCTCGGGCGTCTTCCGCCTCAGCTAAACGTAGATTGGTCTGAGATCAACGCTGCATGGGGCACAGCTGCTTTACTTCTTGCGACAGTGGCCGAAAAGCTAGGATTCAGTTTTCGAGGCTACAGGATCAAACCCATGGGCAGTACCTCGAGGATTGAGAAAATAGAACAGGGAAGCTCTGCTTCGAGGCAATCAACTTCCGGCAGAGTGACCAATTTCGCTTCCAACCCCAACACGCACCAAGAACCTCAGCAACCCAAAATCACCGCACTTGACCTGTTCTCGTCTGGCGATCTTCCTCTAGGCAGGATGCTGCTCCATCGCCGCCTCGACGCAGGCATGGTTGCCTTCCTTGAATGTTTGCGTCAGCTTTGTGACTTTGTTGAGCAATCCTCCCACCGAATTCCCCACAATTCCAACTTGCCTGTCATTGACAGAGGTTCGCCTGCGAGTGATGCAAAGGTAGCGAAGCTGAAGGTACCATATTCCATCACAAAGGACAAGATCGGGGACCCAGAAAAGCCTGATCTGATCGCAAGTATCAAGCTTGGAGTCAGTCAGGATGAGGCATGGACTAGGGCGTGTAAGTATACGCTGACCTGCTGCAAATTTTTGCTGGCATGTGCAAGTAATGTGGGCTGGGTTGGTCAGAGGATGTGAAGGAGTCTCAAGAATCATCGGAAGGAATTTGCCACAGAATATGTGATTTCTGAATGTACATACAACACAAGCGCCTCCGATCTTCTTTCTCTATGTGCCTATGTCTAAGCCCAGGGGCCAGCAAGGTCGGGTTGTCAGGATAATTGAAATTACCGAGACGCGCTTACCGCGGTAAAGCTCGTACGCTATATGCTCTTGAGCCTTGAGACTCTCGACTCATTTGAAATAAAATACATTCATCCTCCGCACCAAGTATTGGACCCTCGGTCTGGCAACCTCTTCCCTCCGTCTACCCTCATCTTCAATCATAAAGATACTTCACCGGGCGCTGTGGAGGCGCGCTCGAACGATGTCCTCCAAGTCCCCTCCTCCAATAGCGAACGGCCTTACGGCCGCGCCCAAAGATCCCGAGAAAGAACGAAAGAAGGCCGAAAAGATTCAAAAGTATAACGAGAAGAAGGCGAAGGCGAAGGCTGCCAATGCACAAGCTATACAAGGCCCTTCGAAAACCATGGCCAAAAAAGCCAAGCAGGATACTTCCATGGATGAACCTTTACCGCCCTACATAGAAAAGACACCGCCTGGGGACAAGAAGGGTAAGTTGTCGCATATGCGCAGGTGACAGGACTCTCCAACTGAGTTTCTACTAGTTTTGCAATCACTGCATGATCCTCATCACTTGAACTACATCCCTAAGGTGGTAGAATCCGGATGGTACGACTGGTGGGAGAAGGAAGGCTACTTCAAGCCTGAGTTTGAGCGCGATGGCAAAGTGAAAGAGAAAGGCTACTTCGTCATTCCGACACCTCCACCAAACGTAACCGGAGCTCTACACATGGGCCACGCTCTCCCTAACGCTTTGCAAGATAGCCTAATAAGATGGAACCGAATGCGAGGGCTAACGACACTGTGGCTGCCCGGCTGTGACCATGCCGGCATTTCTACTCAGACAGTGGTCGAAAAGATGCTGATGAGGCGAGAAGGAAAGACGAGGCATGACCTTGGCAGAAAAGCGCTGGTAGAGAGGATATGGGATTGGAAAGAAGAGTACCATCGCAATATCAACGGAGTGCTTCGGCGCATGGGTGGTTCCTTCGACTGGACGAGGGAAGCCTTCACTATGAATGCAACCTTCTCAGCTGCTGTAACGGAAACTTTCGTAACGCTACACGAGGAAGGTCTCATCTACCGGGCTAATAGATTGGTCAATTGGTGTACTGCGCTTAATACGACGCTCTCCAACCTTGAAGTAGATAACTTAGAGTTGAAAAGTCGGACGATGCTCGATATACCAGGGTATAAGAAGAAGATCGAGTTCGGGGTAATCACTCATTTTCTCTATCAAATTGAGGGAAGCGAGGAGACCATAGGTACATGTATATTGGGGTAATCCGCTGGTTTCCGTTTGCTAATCCTCCACTAGAAGTGGCTACGACGCGGCCTGAGACCATACTTGGTGATACTGGCATTGCAGTGCATCCCAAAGACGAGCGATACAAGCATTTGGTGGGGAAGTGCGCGACACACCCCTTCCTTGGACGACCGATACCCATCGTCGCAGATGAATACGCGGATCCAGAAAAAGGAACGGGTGCAGTGAAAATCACACCAGCTCATGACTTCAACGACTTTGAAGTTGGACGTAGGAACGGTCTAGAATTCATCAATATACTTAACGATGATGGTACTCTTAATGACAACGCAGGAGACTTTCAAGGTATGAAGCGGTTCGATGCAAGGTATGAGACCATCGAAGCTCTCAAAGCCAAAGGGCTTTACGTCAAATGGGAAGACAACGAGATGAAGGTACCCAGATGTCAAAAGTCGAAGGACGTCATCGAGCCTCTCATGAAGCCACAATGGTGGTTGAAGATGAAAGACGGGTTGGCACCTGCGGCGATCAAGGCTGTAAGAAACGGCCAGATCAAGATCCGACCAGAGTCCGCAGAGAAGAACTATTACTCGTGGATGGAAAACATCAATGATTGGTGTTTGTCGAGACAATTATGGTGGGGTCATCAAGCTCCAGCATACTTCATCAACATTGAGAACGAGACTGGTGATGGGAGTGACGGAGAGCTATGGATCACTGGGAGGACAGAAGAAGCGGCAGAGGAGAAAGCGAAGGCTAAATTTCCTAATAAGAAGTTCACACTTACGAGGGATCCGGACGTTCTCGACACGTGGTTCTCTTCTGGTCTATGGCCATTCGCGACATTAGGCTGGCCCAACAAGACCCACGATTTGGAGACTCTTTATCCTACATCTGTTCTTGAAACCGGCTGGGACATCCTTTTCTTCTGGGTGGCTAGAATGATCATGTTTGGCATCAAAATGACGGGGCAAATTCCTTTCCGGGAAGTTTACTGCCATGCCCTAGTCAGAGATTCGGAGGGTAGGAAAATGTCGAAATCCCTGGGGAACGTTATTGATCCTCTCGATGTGATGGAGGGTATCTCGCTTTCTAGTTTGCATGAAAAGCTAGAAGCGGGAAATCTTGATCCAACAGAGGTCGAGAAGGCCAGGAAGACCCAAAAGACAACGTTTCCGGATGGAATACCAGAATGTGGCGCAGACGCTTTACGATTTTCTTTGGTCAATTACACAACCGGAGGTAAGACATCTGCATCTACTGATCAGGGGTAGACTCATCTAATCTTCACCAGGTGGTGATATCAACTTCGATATAAAGGTCATGCAAGGCTACCGCAAGTTTTGTAATAAGATCTACCAAGCCACTAAATACGTTCTTGGCAAACTCGACTCCTCCTTCATCCCCCAAGGGCTGCCCACTAAAACCGGCCAAGAATCGCTTGCAGAGCTGTGGATCCTGCACAAACTTAACACCGCCGCCGCAGAGATTCACACAGCGTTCACCCAACGGGAGTTTTCCCAAGCAACCTCGATCACCTATCAGTACTGGTATAACCACCTTTGTGATGTGTACATTGAGAATTCTAAGGCTATACTACAAGCTGGTACTGCTTCGGAGCAAGAATCGGCCAAACAAACCCTTTACACTGCCCTTGAAGGCGGGCTCACGATGATCCATCCTTTCATGCCCTTCCTGACCGAAGAACTCTGGCAGCGCCTACCCCGTCGTCCTGAAGATAAGACACCTTCCATCGTCAAAGCAGCCTACCCGCAATATAACGCCGAGCTCGACGACAGAGATTCCGAAGAAGCCTACGAGCTTATCATGTCCGTCGCGAAAGCTATACGCCAACTAGCAGCCGAGTACTTCATCAAGGACTGCGCAACCACCCACATCCAACTATTCACCCCTTCCACCCTCTCAACCTGCGAATCACAAATCGCGGCCATCAAGTCGTTGAGCGGAAAAGCTATGCTGGGCGAGAATGCATCCATCTCCATCCTCTCGGCCACCGACTCGAAACCGGCTGGTTGCGTTGTGCAATCCGTTTCTGCTTCCGCGGCCGTATTTTTACTCGTCAAGGGCCGTATAGATATTGACGCTGAGATCAAAAAGGGGAAAGAGAAATTAGCGGCTGCGCAAGAAGGAATGGAGAAGAAGAAGAAGATAGTCGGAGGCGAGGGGTGGGAGAAGATGAGAGAGGACGCCCAGGAGACGGAGAGGAGGAAGTTGGCGAATGCGGAGCAGGAGGTCAAGGTGCTGGAAGGGAGCGTGGAGCAGTTTGAAAGACTGAGGTTGGAATGAGGATGGGTTCCGATAGGCGAAGAAGAGGACGAAAAGAAGGCGACTGGTTTGAAGTGGGCAAGAGGAGACAGAGAGCAAGAAAGGAGAGGGGTAGATGCAAGGTCAATCTTGTGTCCATCAATATACACAGATGACGATGCCTCGCGTTCGAGAAGTACGTCCGAAGGACTGTGCACATTTGCAAGAAGGGCTCCCCCTCCTCGATCCAGATCCTCGTGTCTGAATCCCATCGACCCATCCAAGGCTAAGCCATCTCGTTGAATGATCAAAGATATGAGCGTAAGGCGCATCGAGACCTGATCGACAGACAGGGTTGACAGACGCTGATGTCGAGAATCAAGAACCTGCAACGGCGCCCCCCGAAGCTCGGACCTTTTGTGTCGTTTCTAGGCATCTGGCTCGATTGTATAGACATCTCAACAGATATCTAGGAAACCGCATTGTTGATTTATCGACTGATTGATCGATCGCTCGCAGAGAATATATAAATCTACTCTATCGGTATCTATCATATGCGTTTTGTCCGCAACACAGTAAAAAGGGGGATTCTGTAATCATACACCCAAACCTTTTCAAACATCGTGGTACGCATCGAAATACCCTCGGCACCTAGAAACATTCGCCGCCTCACTCTCCCATAGGATTTCTCCCGCGAGTGGCGCAGCACGCCAAAAACACACTTATTTTGACCCAGCCTTCAGCCTCGTTGTAGCGTAGGCCGCGCCCACCGCGCTAATTGCACCAATGAATAGACAAACTGCAATAGCATTCGGCCCATCAGCTGCCTTTGCCACATCCTCCTCTCCCAGATCCTCATGTAGTTCCGGACTCTTGCCCGGTTCGAGGATGGAAAAAACAATCATGCTTATGAACGTGCCTACAAATTGCGGCAAAGTGGTGAAAAGATTCAAAATGCCGAGGTATATACCAGCTGTCTCGCCGGTTGAGGAGTCACCGCCGGACGAATCGTCGTCTCGGTCGAGATGATTGAGGCGTAAGAATGTTGGTGAGGGCGCAGGCGAGGAGAAGTCGTCGTTGGAGTTGGAGAGGCGGCGGTAGGAGGAGCCGTTTGCGAGCATAGTCGAAGGCGTAGTAAGGCGGTTTATCTCCACCCCCATAAAGGCGAAGGGTGCCCAGCAGGCCAAGGCCCAGGGGATACCGCAGATACTCACGATAACTGTAGCCATTTGCAAGCTTCGCACAAAAGGAGCCATACACATGGCACCTGCGAAGATGATGTGGCTAACTTGCCAGGCGGTCAAGAGGTCGGGTTTGTATTTGTTGAGTGCAGTGACTATGGGAGCGAAAGGTCCTAGGAAGGCCGGCGGCCGCGGGGTGAACGGTCGAGAGCGGGAGGTATCCGGGGATTGAACGACGAAGGGTAGGAGGATGGACGCGATGAAAGTGATGATGGAAAAGACAACGAGGGACAGGGAGCCAACACGGCCAACGTCGCCGAGGGCGTCTTTGGAGGCGGAGGCATTGGTTTCGGGGTGGTAGCGGAAGTAGACTTCACCGACCCAGGTGGTGGAGTAGAAGAGGAAAGGAAACCAGCCTGTAGATGTAAGTCCTGCTGTTCGTGGGAAAAGGGGGATTTTGTTACCGATCCATGCCCAGAATTGGACCCAGCAGATTGCTTGTATCCGGTCTGGTAGGTGCATGGTAGTCTTCAAGATCTTGCTTATCATCTTCACTGCCCCTGTCTTGGCACCGTCGTCCCTGCAAGCGTGGTTAGACGCCATAGCACATCCACTATTGGAAAGAGAGCACTACCTTGCTGAGATCAAAACCCGCTCTTCGACAGCCCACGACGTGATGGCTATGGCAAGGAGAAAAACAAAAGCAGCAATCACGGTCAATTGCTTGAACTGAGAGTCCCCCAAAACATTTCCGAAAATGCTGACAAGATCCAAGGTTCCAGCGCCATAGCCTATGAGATGGCCAATGGCAATCATCCTGCTTGCTTAAAGATCTCAATATTAGCGTACTCTCGAAGGCAGGGAAGCAGCGCGTACCCCAGGCAGAACCAAGCTGCTGCTTTGCAATTGGGAGAGTGTCGACGATGAGACTTCGGCATGAAGACTGGACTGGATTGTCACATAAGCTGTGCGATCTGTCTGTTCTATGCGAGCACAGCACCAACCTGCATTGATAGCAAAGTCCACGGCGTAGATACTAAGGACAGCCAGGGCGATCGTGCATGACCTCGCCTGTTACCCATCATAAGCTGGAGGCCCCAGAGTACACAATTCCCAGTCACCAACCGTTTCCGGCTCCCTTACAAACAGCCGCACTATCTCCCCAGTCCACCCTAGTACCAATAGACAGACAGCCACGATCAGAGATCCCCCAATCATGAATGGTCTCCGTCTCCCCCATTTCGATCTCGAGTTGTCTGCCAGCACTCCCACCACCGGCTGCATGATCAGTCCTGATAAAGGTCCCGCGATCCATACCAGCGATGTTCGACTCTTAGTGAGGCCGAGTTGGAGGAGGTAAGGGGTGCAATCTGTCAATTGGCTCAGTGAAGCTGCTTCTTGTGTCGTCGTGGAAGAGGGAAGTCTTACAGGTCATCTCAATGCCCCAAGTAAACCTATACAGGACTCGTAAGCTTTCGGGTGAGCCATCTGCAGCAAAGGCGCACTCACTGTAAGCCGATCAGACTGAAAGTCAACAGTGCCATCCGAATGGACTCTGTCGAGCCTTTGATTGATGGGGTGCCGGCCCATGATGCCGCCTGAGGCATTGCCTCTTCGATCTTTCTCATATGGGTTCCTAGGTGTCATCTAGGCCATTTGAACGTGGATTATTGCTAGTGGCATGGACTAGTCTCCGTTATGCAGGGTGACACAATGCGCTTGCTGATGGAGCAGATCCTGGTTGTGGACAAACAGGCAATTGGACGTCCTTCCGTCCTCAGATGAAGCTTGATTGATATTGGTATACAAGTAACTTACACAGGCGTCAATTACGTGGTCTCATCATTATTTCGATTTCCAACATACATAGGTGTCTCGGCTTTTGTTATCAGCCTCCAAGGCTGGAAACATGAAACCGCCTTATCTAAATTTATGAAACCTGCACTACTGGCATAAACTTATACACTTTTCTTGGCGGATCTATGCCATATCTCTATACCTCGAAAGTTCTTAGAAGAATCAATCAATGATAGCTTCTTGACTTGCAGTAAGATAGAGTTCGATCGTCAATAGAACCTCGACTGTACTATTATCAACGACCTAGTACCAAAATCTAGATGTCAAGTCTCCATGCCCGCGGCAAGATTTAGCTGTTGGGTATGAAACCTGAGAAGGCAGGAGCGAATTACGGGTGTTGAAGGCCCAGTTGATATTCCCAAGGATAAGCGGCAGTCAGTACGGAGGTAGCCCTATTTCTAACCATTGAATCAAGACATTGGTCCACTTCGCGAATGTCTTGAGCTAAGTCCACAATCCCCATTTACTGTGAAAGCTTTGAGCAAGGTTTAGTCCCTGGTTTTAGAGTGGTGAGAGATGACCACCGCCATAGAGTCACGGTCTCTGTGTGCACGTGCTGCTTGCTAAAGCGCAAGACGGACTGCAGCCAAAAAGGTTTTTTCTTCCGTTGTTGCAGGATTGTGGCTTGATCGACGGCCGCTGGATAGGGCAGGAGAACATGCCTGAAAACAGGGAGACGATTGCTGAACGAAAGAATTGACCTGCCAAGAACATTGATGAGAGCAGTGTTGCCCTGCGATACAACAGGTTCATGACCCCGTCCCTGAAGAAACTTCAGAATCCACAGAGTGGTGAATGAAAAATTGGAGTGGGCTATTGGAGGTGATGAAAGAAACAGCTTGGCAAGGACTGGCGTTCCTTCTCTGTGGGGCACGTCTAGCATCGGCGTTCTACAGCACCAGACCGAGCAGAGCTGGAATCCCAGTAAACAGTTTCCGCGCACGAAGCTTCGACGTCCCCAGAAGCCTTCTGGACAATACCTACACTATGCTGAGAATCGGTCCTCTGGGTTTCGGGTTGAGATCGGAGAATTGAAAGTGGGGGGGAGATACTTAGCCAATAGAAGACGTTACCAAGAAGGTAAAGAACAAGACGGCCGGAAGATCCAGACAGCTGCAGGCTAAGTGTCGCGCAGAGAAAAACCCTCATGATGATTGATGGGTGGATGTTGAAATCTCTAGGTAAGTACAGCAGAATCACTGGGCTGTGGAGACCATGGAAATTGAAGGACTGAAAATGGACTTTGTTTTGAAACAAGTCGATGCCAAGAGCAGTAGCGCCTCGCGCCAAGAATAAGGCTGTGTTTCAAGCTTCGTGCTTTTCTACCTGCGCAGACTCGCAGAGCATCTTGCCCAATTCTTTGGAACAGATTCAAAGGGAAGTGGGCTGCACGGCCATGCAGAATGGTAGAAGTGCTCTCACTCTCTAGGCTTGCCTATTACCGTGGTCATTTCAGCTCTCATGTTGGGTTTCTCCTCCTTGCTCGATGCTGTTTTGCTCAGACCGTGGTCCTGCACCCCTGCAGCAATGCTACATCCACCGACTATAGGGGGAACATAAAGCCGGAAGAACCATGTTCTGGCTTACCGCTTATCGTGCCAATGAGCTTCCCCTCTCACCGCTGCCAGCCATATATGCATCGGCCGTAGCTGTTTGATGTTCAACCCGGAAATGCTCGGCTTGGCAAGATTACCTTAACATCTACCTGCAGCAATATTGCATCGGTAGGCTGCATCTCCCCACCTTCTGCATGATGCAGGCAGGCACAATGCAATGTCCCTTTTCCAGAGTTGATACCGCGAGCCTGCGACAAGTCGCTGCCGAATCCCCACAGGCGATGAGGTCTCGTGGGCAAGTGCCTTTCTTTGGTGCTTTTGCAGATGAATCTGTTTCAATCGCTCGTAAAGGCCCAAGTAAGACTGCGAGACACGTGCGGGTCGAAGTGACCTCTATGCCTTCATGACAGCGAAGAGACACGTTTGTCTCGATTACTTGGCACATCTACAACCTGTCAACGAGGACCATGAGACTCAATATGGTATGGGCACACCCCTCAAAGAAGCAAGAGAACCCAGGTCATTTAATTCTAGATTAGACTCTCAACTCCGGCCTCTTCATTTCCCAAATTTCCCCTCACGGAAGCGCCTCCTCCTTTTGAGGGGTAGTGACAATGCTCCAGTGTGAAGTCTTTCCAAGAGGGTATATAATATAATCCTGCGTCCTCATTTTCTTCAACCTACATTACACATTTCGCGGACGGTGTCTTCAAACATTTGCATCTTACCACAGTCCTTCAGCTCATAAATATCAAAAAGTCACACTCATTCAAGATGCACTTCTTCACCTTCCTATTGACGCTCGGCTTCGCCCTGTCCGGTGTCCAATCTATCCCGGCCCCCTCCCAACCCTTCCCTGAGGTCGATCCTGCCTCGAATCCTCTCAACGCAGCTCGTGCCCTTCCGAGCGGTGACCTATACCCACCCCAGCCCCCAGGAGCTGGCCCGGGCAAGCGTGGACTCCTCTATAACACCGAGTCCAATGTTGAGTGGAGCAACTTCTACGTCGAGAGTCCCTACGTCACGTACGGGAGCAATGGGGATGTCATACGTGGCGATGAGATCAACGCCTGGTTCTCATACGTTCCCACCATAACGGTCGATGCCAAGCTGGAGAACAGCGACTGGAACGACACCGTCCCGATCTTGATCGAGGGTGGAACTAAAGCGATGTTCGCGTAAGTGCTCCCAACATTCAACAGAACCTCTCGATCTCTGCTGACCGGGTATACAGTTCGAACGAACCCGACAACCCATCGCAAGCTAACCTCACCCCAGCCCAAAGTGTCACCGTCTACAAGAGGTTCATGCAGCCCTACTACGGCACCGTCCAACTCGGCACTCCGGCAGTCACCAACGGTGGAGGTCAGGCAGGCTTGACCTACCTCGACGACTTTGTCCGCCTATGCACCGGTTGTGCTTACAACTTTGTGAACGTGCACTTCTTCGTCGACCGGTCCGAGATGAGCGTCACTCAGTACATTGAAGCGCTGACGACCTACATCGACGTCACCGTACCAGCAATCCAGGCCAAACACGCGCCGCTGGTCGGACTACCGATCGCCGTCGGCGAGGTGAGTATCCCTTCACTCAAAATCTCCCACCGGCTCGCGCCACCGACTGACATCCTCCCAGTTCTGGCTCACGGGCGCTTCGGAGGCCGAAGCCGGAGCGCTGATGGACGAGCTCCTCCCCTGGCTCGACGGCAACGCCAACGTCCTGTTCTACCAAGCCTGCGGCGGCTTGTTCGAGGGCGGGTTCGTCGACGCTGCCGGGACGGGACTCACGCCGGCCGGAACGGCCTACGGCGGGCTGGCCCTTTGAGCGGTGATGGTGCAGGGGTCGTGTGGAAGCGAGTTGCTGGACGACTGATTGATTGATTCATGCACGCATGCGGGAAAGAGGCTCGGTTCTGTATTCTGACGCGACTAGGGTGAGGGTTGATACCCACGTAGTTGCGGAAAAGTAGAATAATGAAAAGGATTCCCTTTGCAACCATGATCGACCTGAACCCTCCCAACAATCCTTGCGTGACCGACTCTCCGGGAGACGATGTTGAAACACTGGACGGATGCAGGCGAGATTGTAGATACAACAATCGCGCACCTATTATGGGAAAAGTCCAATTGAACACACCGAAATGGGGAATCTCTCAAAAGCGCAATCAACCCTCGCACCCCCGCTCCCCCAACCTCCCTCCCCTCACCCCCTCACACCCCCGCCTTCCCCACCCCCCTCCTTCTTCCCGCCCCCAAAAAGATGCTTCGCCTTCTCCTTCAACCCCTCATGCTCATGCCCCGCCGGGCGATCCCGGTGCACGTTGCCTTCGCCGCCCCTGCCCGTGTGGAAGTTCTCATACGCGGGCTCGGGCCGCATCGCCGTCTCGGGCACGACGTCGTCGTCGCCGGGCATCGCGCTGCCCTTGCGGGGTTTGAGGCTGGGGGATTCCATATTGCCGGCGCCGCCTCGCTACACGTGCGCGGGGATACTGGTCAGATGGATAGGGGCTGCGGGCGGTGGATGCGGGAGGTGGTGGTGGTGGTGGTGGTGTGTTTGGAGGAGAAAGTTGGGGGTTGGGGGGGGGGGGGGACGTACGCCGGAGGAGTAGGGCCCGTCGCCTTGGTCGCCGATGGGGCCCTCGCGGACGATTTCGCCGTCCGTGTAGGCTTTTTCGTCGGGCTCGATGTTGCCGGCTCCTGGGGTGGAGGGATGGGTTAGCGATTGTCAATCGTGAAAGGGTGGTCGAAGAAAGGGGCTCGGGTTCGTAAGGGGGATGTTACCGCCGCGGCCGTGGGAGACTATTGGCTCGGAAGACATTGTGTGATGTTTGGGTTTGGCTTTCTGATGGGGATCTCAGTGTACTGAGGAGAAAGTAGTAAGTGATTTGTGAATGTGAATGGTGGGTTGCTGGAATGGAATACCTGGAAGAGTAAGGCGCTGGGTTTTTTTATCTTTAATTGCAGGTTCGATTGGAGTGAAAAGAGTGGAAACTTGATACTTTCTCCATTTGAGGTTTGCATTTACCAGAACCATGACGTCGGGACGAGGGGAGTGGTGGGGCAGTTTTGGGATGATGTAATTAGATAGGGTTTACAGTGGCAGATGTCCTGCTAAGATATTAAGATATCGATATTGAAATCACGGTTAATTTAATCGAATTTCACTTCGATAATTTACAGTAGTTAATTGAAATGGATCATCATTAGGTAGTAATTATAATTTTTAGTATTGACCGTGGGCAAATCCAAAGACGGGGGGCGGAGCTAGCCCCGTGGCCGGACAGCCAGACAGCCTACAGGCCGCCCAATGCTAATAAGACAAGTAGTGTAACCAAAGATGAAAAAACAAGGTCCTGATTGAAGAGCAGGTAGGAATACAAGAATACTAGGTCCGAGAAGTGTTCAAATATGACTTTGCATTGCTTTTTTGTGAGGGCACTGACGCCTCTCACTGCCACTCCTTTACCGCGAGGTTATATGATGAGTAGGAGAGTGCTGATAGACAATCATCATTGACTTTGATTGGACCAAGCAGTCCGTTTCCCAAATGGCGATTGTGTGCATGATACTGTGCAGTAGTAAAAATATACTGAGACTGTGCAGATTCTGTACATTACTCACTCCCAGCTGGATGGATTCTAGGACTATTATGCTCGTCCAATTGAGCACGTAGTACATCAAGTGTTTACATCTCCGTGTTCGTGAAATGTGGTTGAGTCGGGAGTCTGGCTCAAGGTCCCTCTAGAGGTGTACTTAGGGACCCCGAGCATCTTGAAGCGCTTAATCTATATTTGGCGGGTACCTTAGATCCGCCCCCAGAAAGCCAAACCAGGAAATTTGGACCAGCCCTGTGGTGTATTGTCTATAACGACGTGGTCCCCATAAACAGAATTCTTCTGAGTATATTTGATCAGTCAATCACTGGCGCGAAGCTCATGTACGTCCATGATCTCCATGCACTGGGGCCCCCGGCATTTTTGCGTCCCGGCTTCTTGCTACAGAAGCCATGACCTTCCCCCTCCGTCACAATCCCTCCACAATACTCCACCCTCCTTTTCATTGCATGAAGAATACTGTAATACATTGAGAAAAATGAGATGAAGGCTGGAAGGGGTTGCGACAGGGAAGAGAGTTGGAGGGTGGAGAGGTCAGTATCTTCGAGAAGTTTGGGATTGATGTTTTCTTGGCCCGTTTGTGGGACCGCCGGATGGGAATGGAATCATGGGGTATGTCTATAAATTGAAGTGCTTGCAGAGGATATAGCACGATAGCAGGGTCACATCGTCATAAGGTTCCGATTAGACAATGCATCTCTCTCGACAATGGCTCATCTAGAACCTCTCGAGCCTCTCTCGCGGGCCGACGAACAGAACGTCAAAATTAGCACACAGATCCCTCCAAGCATCCCGCAACTTTTGAAGGTGTTTGAAGCACCACTCGCATCGGTCCTCGAAAAAGCAGAATCAATCGATCTTGCCATCGCAGATGTAAGCGCGCTGAGTCCCTGGCAAGGCGTTTTCGACCACGTCGAGGAGCGTGGATCCGATTTGATATTGTGGACATTGTCTGTACCGACCGTGATAGTCGAGAGTGGTAGATGCGAGGTGCGCTTGCTTGTGAGACGAGAATTGCCGAGACCGGTACGCGCGAAGCGTGAAGCGGCCTGTATCAGACTAAGGAAAGCAGCTGACTATGAACTCCTCAGGGCCACTAAATCGTGCTCCGTGGGCGGCGCGTCCAGGGCGCATTTTCTGTCTTCCCGGGGCTTGGCGCTAGGCGCATGGGAAACTCTGTTGGATTTGATACTATGTATCACGGAAGAGAAACAAACACGGCTTCAGCGATACCATATGTACTACATACATGCGCCACACACCCTTGAAGTTCAAGCTTGTAGGGTCGGAAGCCTTCGAAATGCGCACAAGCTCCTCCTATGTACCCTTTTTCCAACTCGACATCTAGAGGTTTGCGGTCTGTTTAGGCGGTGGAGCGGCGCCTCCTGTGGTTGGGAGACCCATGAAGATCTTGAAGCTATCGTAGATACCCCATTCTGATCACCCTGTTAGCATCCGTAGAGACCGTCGATTCGAGAAAAGACTTACGCAAGGATGTCAATGTGCCTATCATGAAGATTCTTAGCACGAGACCGTTCCAGAGGCCACCAAATCCGATATCCTTGTAAATGCGGCCCGTGGCAGCTCCGAAGGCCTCTCCAGGCTGGCGATTTGCGTTGAGCTTGCTCACCATGACATCTGCTGGATGAGACACGATGGCACAGAGAATACCAGCTGAAAAGTGTCAGCCATGAATGAAATTCACTCAAATGTTGAGTATCAGGCATACCAGCATAGCCTCCAGCGAAAGAGACAGCGGTCTGTGTCCCTCTGCCGTAATCTGACTTCTTGCCGGGCATATAGCCATATATCATCTCAACGATTGTCTCGAAAGAGGCGAATTTCATCATGGTGTACGGGATTTGACGGCCCCATAGAGGATACAGACCTTTGTAAAGCCTGTCGAGCCAAATTAGCATAACCTTAAATATGAAGTTCAGGCCTTATGCTCACCCTGCGGTGCCCTCCTTAGCAGTGATTGTTGAAATTCCGCTGAAAGTCCCAGAGGCGAAGGGAGGAATGGTGGTCTGCATTCGCACCTTCACAGCCTCAAATGGACAAAGTGCTATATCAGCAATGAACTCGGCCGAAGCGCTGGCGGTGAGGTATAGCGATGTCTTGTATTTGTAGGCGTTTTGTTCTCCAGCAAGATCAGAGTAGAACTTCTTGAAGAACTCGTATCCGCCGTACTTGAATGCACCTTGCGCCTGGATCCGATGAGTGCAGTCATTATTGTACCTCTTTAGAAAAGCATACCGAATAGCCAAAGAACGTTGGACCCCACCCAGTGAAAATACCACGAACACCCTCCGCTCGACCAATCTTGCCCCAAGCCTCAAAGTTGCCCTTGTACATCTTCGAGTCGACCTGACGACGGCATTTGACCAGGTCCAATGGGGTTACGGCAGTATGGGTCAACCCCTGCCATACTCGTGAGCTACCAACCCTGTGCTGGCGTTTCGGCTATACCCACACAGGCAACAAGACCTCCGAAAATGCAAGCAGCGTAATATTTGGCTGAGTAGAGCTCTATCTGCCCTGTTTTTGCTTGTGCTGCTGCGCTAGCTTTCTTGATCTCCCTTTGGGCTTCTTCACTCAAGGCATTGGCCTTGCTTTTAGCATCTTCGGTGACGCTCCATATCGAGAACTGGGGTCTTGCAGTTTTTTTCTGCAAAGGTTTGGGGGTCGACTCCTGCGATCTGGTAGTCGTCAATGGGTGTCTGCAGGAGAAGACCTCATTGATATCGCTCGAGGTGGGGAAAAGCATGATAACCCTGCTACTCTCAGCATATGCAGCCCATCAATGTCTTTTTTCATTCCTAACTCACACTTTCGCAGATACCCAACTTCGCAGCAGTTTCTCGATTTGCCAATGGCAAAACAAAGACTTGAAGCTTCCTGGAAGAAAGGAAGGTGGGACAGCTTGGCCAACAGCACTAAACCTTTGACGTAGGATCACCAGCAGGGGTCATTGATCAAGACTAGCATATCTATTTCGAAAAAAACAGCAATACCTTACAGGCGGGTATGCTCTTGTTTATATAAAGTACAGAGATTGCATGGAGACCAAACCCTCCAGGATCCTCCAGGGTGGATCCGAGGCTTTCCGAGTGCGTGATATAGACCGCACTGGGGCCGAGATGTGAAGCTGAGTAATTCAATAATGATGAGACATACACTCAAACTTTCATATTCATGATTCGTTTTATGATTCGTATTATCAGCGATGAAGAGCAAGTTTTACACTGGCAATTCGGGATCAAAATTTGTTATTTTGGAGTTACACAATATGATAGAAATTCACGATTTTCCCTACCCCTCGTACGCTGAGGGATGCTCCCACCCATGGTTAAAAATCAAGCGAGGCAATTATACCCGACAAATTCCCTCATACAATAATTCGACGTCGACATTCCCTTGCTTTAGACTCTGGAATATGCATCGGTGACTACGGAGGCGCAGCTGAGCAGCAGCTTTGTTGACCATGGCCTCCATCGTACAGGCACATAATCTTGCGCCATCCCAGCCCCTAGCCACTTCTCAATGGGCACATAAGTATCGTGGGGTATGTTTGCCTCGGTCCTGGAATCGCAGTGATCACTGCAACTATAGAATTGATATGCGGTCAGGCTACGGTAGAAGACCTCGACCCACCTCCCGCACTCTCCTCAAAACCAACAGACTCCATCTCCACCGCTCTCATGAATGCATACGAACGCGACTACACCCATCTCACAGTCGTCTCTGAAGACACCCGTGCTCTGTTAGGCTACCTCAACATCCCTCGGTTGAAAGAACTGTTGAAGAATGGCACAGTCAAGGACTCAGACTACGTCGAAAAAGCCATGCAGAAGTTCCAACGGAGAGGCAACGTCTACAAGGTCATCACCATGGACACACCGCTGGAGGAGCTGGAAGCGTTCTTCAACGGAGGAGTCAATGAAAACGGACCGCAAGACTTTGCGGTGGTGACGGATGGGAGTAGAAGATTCGTGCTTGGTGTGGCTACGAAAAGTGATTTGGAGGAGTTTGTGAAGAGGAGACCTGCATGAACAGCGAGGGGAGTGCTAGGATGAGCTATGCATGTTTCACGAAGTCATGAGAGGCTCGAAGAGCCTCATGCATGTGGAGGCGTTTGATACCATGGTATGGCGTGGAAGAACTGTCTCCTTTCTGAGGCTTCCGGTAGGCATTTCACTTCATTACTCAACTTGGGTAAACCAAACATCGCCGAAGTCTTGGGGGTGTTGCTGCAACATTGTTGAAATTATTGGCTGCTTGCCTTGACTCTGGACCCCTGAAGTGAAAGTTGCCCAAGTTTGCCAGCAGTCAAAAGGGAAGCTAGTCGAACAGAACCTCACTTTCCTACTTCTATCCTCACCAAGTACCCTCAAACATCCAGCATCTTCCCAAAATCTGAACTCATTTGGGCATTGTTCATGGGCTTACTTCCCAACGTCTCGTCGTCTACAACCTACACTATCCCCATCACGTCTACCACATTTAGCGAATTCGCCAGCTACAAGTCCAAACATTCACCGGCTCCATCTCAAACCATGTCTTCTGACGCCGACATGGACTCAGACCCCTCCACTCCTCCAAAATCAAATAATCCACCCTGTATGTTCACAGTCGAACAATTTCAGCTAGCAGCCTCATCCCAAGAAACCGACAGCGAACCCTCCGACGTCTACATCGTGCGTCCCACCGCGATCTGGGACAGTCTCCAGCGCTTCAAAGAGGTTATCAGTACGTACTAGCCCGCCCGCCCGCCTTCCCTCACCCCCTCACCACCAACGTCCACCCAGTCGACGACGAACGCTACCGCATGCACGACGTCGTCGCCGCCGCCCGCCACGACCTCCCCAACTCCCCCCTCTGGACCGCCCACGTCCTCGAGATCCGCGGCCACACACCGTCCGGCCAGGTCTCGATCCGGGTCTTCTGGTTCCACCGACCCGCGCAGCTTCCCCCCTCGCTCCGCCACCCCTACCAAGGCCGCCACGAGCTCCTGGCCTCCAACGCCATGGCCGTCATCGACGCAACGGCCGTGGCCGGCCGGACGGCCGTGTCGCACTGGCGCGAAGCGGACGAGGCCGTGCCGGCCGCGGGTCTTTTCTGGAGGCAGACGTACGACGTCCAGGCGCAGGCGCTGAGCGTACGTGCTGCATGCCACCGCCCCCGTCCCCCCCCCCTTCCTAATCCAATCTCTTCATTCTCCAAAAGAAAAAGAAACCAAAAAAGCTGACACGCCCCCAAAAAAAAAGCCACTCCACACCCCCTGCCCACCCCCCTGCATCCTGCACCACAACCCCGACGAAACACTAATCAGCTGCCCCTCGCCCGGCTGCGACGCGCGCATGCACGAGTCGTGCATCCTCGACGCCACTCGCTCCCGGCTGCAGGCGGACGCGGAAGCCGAAGCCGGCGGGAAAGGGAAGAAGAAGAAGAAGAAGAAGAAGAAGAAGAAAGCGAAAAAGGGAAAGGGGGGTCCGTCTTTGGAAGTGGAAGTGGAATGGATGGACGAACCCTCCGAGGGCTACGGTGCTCCGGTTACGGAAGGACCGGTGGAGCCAGGTGGACGGGACGGGCATTTTTGGCTGGAGGAGGTGTATTGTTTGGGTTGCGGGGGCGTGATGGAGGTGAGGGTGTCTTGAGGGTGAGACGTGTTCGGCTGTTAGGTGGTATTCAGGGGTGTGTGACTTCGGTTTGTGCTGAGGGAGCTTCAGCTGCTGCTGAGTGAGGAAGGAGTAGGCGGTTCGGGTCTCCTTTCACAGAGTGGCTTAGTGAAGGGTTAACTGAACAAGAAATAGTTAGAACGTCTGGCTTCTTCCCCGATTGAATCGCTATTCCATTGGCCAAGTACCACTGAGACCGAAGTTTCATTACAAATGCATACAGCGCGACATTACAAGTCATCGCCCAGCAATACTAGTATTGTACACCCTCTACAGGTGACACGGCCCAGAATAACAGAAACAATGCATCGCTCATACCGCTCAAATGCCAGTATACTCATACAAGCTCCTCACTCCAAGGCCACCATCAAGGCCACCATCTAACCCTCTCATAGCTGGCGATTATCTCCCTCAACCTCTCCTCCGTCAATCTTTCCCTCTCAATTATCCAACCCAGGACGTCTTTCGCCTTTCTAGCGTTCAAGCATAGATTGCTATCTTTCAACAACTCCTTCTCCATGAATGGACTTAGTGGACTCCCTTGGCCGTGATCTATGCCTGCCTTTTTCATCATCTCGGCCCACGGCTGCAGCACATCGTCGTTCACATCATCAACGACGCTGTCGAGATTCATTTTTGCGAAGGAAGATATGAAAGAGCCTTGAAAGCCAGTCCTGATGTTGAAGATGTTGGACACAATGGTTGCAAGCGTTTCCTGCTTGGTATCCCCATTGTCCACAATGTTGAAAGCGCGATCCGCCATGTTGCTCTGCTCTGTTGGAGGGTTTCGCGAGCACCAATCCGCAGCCTTCCAAGCCGCAGAACAGACATCGAGAACGTGCACGGTATTGATCCGCAGTTCCTTGGACCATAACCACTTTAGCTCCTTGTTGAGCTCCTGGTATACCCGTGCTAGACATAGCCCACGAGCAAGAAAACCAACGTCGTATTCACCGTAGACGTGAGCTAGGCGTAAGCAGACGTACTTCAAGCCTTGCTCCCTGGCAAGCCTCTCCAATGCCTCCTCCGCTTGCAATTTTGCTCTGGATATCTTGAGCCAAGGTCTCAGCTGCGCGGTCTCTGTGCAGCCACCGGATGATATTGTGGAGGAGTTCGGTGACTTATAGACTATGCCAGTACTGAATTCGATAAAATTCGGCGAAGGTCTTATCTTCGCGATGTGTGTAGCAAGATTCGTAGTAAGAGCAGTAGCACGCAGAGCGTAGATCGAGGGTTCTTGTGAGTAGCGTGTCTCCCCTCCGCAGTTGAAGACATAGGAGAAGTGGCGACCTGAGGCAAGCGTGAACATTCGGCCGAGGGAAGTTTCTTTGCTGGCATCCGCCTGCATGAATTTGTCTTCCGAACATGCCTCTGCGAACTCTGGGGGCAGACGGGCCAGTTGTGGCAGGACTTTGTCGACCAGGCGGACCTCGGAAGCCAGGTTGTTGCGGTGGATGTAGAGGGCTAGGAAGCGGCCGATATAACCTGCAATTTGGTGAGATCAGCAAAAGGTCGACCTCATTATGGAGCCTTGGGGGCAGGGGGAAGAATACCCAGGCCTCCTACGATCAAGACCGCGGGCTTGTCGTCACTCGGCCCAGCTATGGTGGGGCCTGAAAAGGTGTTGGCTGTGCTTAAGTCTGCCATTGTTGGTTTTAAGTTCCTGAGCAGTGAGACTGATCGATGCCTGCAGACTTCAGCTAGGAAAATGTAGCTGAAGAAGTCAAGCTCTGATGAAGCAAGTAGTATGAGATATGACAAGTGTATGGCGCATGAGCAGGAAGGAGCATTGATTGCTTGAGGAATGTGTCCAAGGAAGAGGGACAGAGAGCTGCAGCTTTATATCAAGCGCGAAGGAAAGGCAGGAGCTCTGAGCTGAGATGATCTGACGAGAAAGGCAAGAGTCCGCAGAGATTGATTGGGCATCAATGGTGTCAGAGAAGCCCCCAAGAAGCTGACAGTGCAGCGAGTAAATTAGACAGTGGCCTTCGATAAGGGCGAGGGATTATTGATCATGCAGTTATGGTCCATGTAACGTCGCTCAGCGCAGGAACTCTGCACCTAGAGAAAAACTGGAGACGTGTACGTTACAATGTTGGCTTGGGTCGTGTGACTGCTAAGTAAAGCTGGTGTGAAGAATGTTTCAGGTACTGCTGCGTAGAGAGGAAGATGAATAATATGAACAGATAAGTAATGCGAAGATTAGCAAGGGAACAATGGGGGCCTCGGGAAATGAGGGATGGGAATTTTTCAGTCGCAAACATGCGTCGAGGCAGAAACATATGGCATCATTGTGCATGAAGAGACCCGCCCCCCACATCACGGGTGGGTTTGGTTATGGGGTTGCCTCGTGGCATGATCCCACCGGGTAAGATGAAACAAACAAAACATATCTGTTTGAGGGAATCATTCCATCTCTGAGAGAGTAGGGATGGTGCATGCTGCAGGTATCTCGCTCTGACGGACAAGGACTCGGACTCGGACATGGTCAAGCTAAATACCTAGCCAGTCTTGATTGTGCCGACACGAGAGCACAGCAGTATTTCTCAGCAACAATCTCAATCCCTTTCTTTTCTATTGATGACTCAAGCATCAATCGCAATGCTTGCTCTATGTACAAAAGAGGACTATGCAGTGAAAAGACAGATGTTCTAAAATCGATGCACCAGCTTTTCCATGCATGCAAAGATCCTGCGAGTCATTCCGTGCGAACCGCAGGCCATGCGATCCTTAGCAATCTGCTTTCCAAAGTAGCCACCACTCATGGACCGCCTTCACCCCATGCCAGCTTCCGAAAGGACATGGCCCTCCCGTAATCCAAGCCAAGCCATGCAATATTACTGCCGTAGCAATCCTCAAACTCCCTGTCTTGAAACCGTGGCAACCCGCAAACCTGCTTTTCAGAATTCCCAATCCTCGTCCACCGACTTGATTGCCCAATCGAATTTCTCCCGCAGTGTTTTGGAGAAGAATTTCTCGATGGGCACATCAAACTTCTTGGAGAAGACCACCGTAAGACGCGGATCGATGTAATTCTGCGAGAATTTGTAAGCACTACCCGAAACATGAAACTAAGGAAGCACTCACAATCTTAGACGTTCCGAGGGCAACCTCTTTGTTATTTTCCTTGTCCTTGGCCTGGAAGAGCATGTTGTTGACGCGTTGGTCCAGCTTTGCCAAGTTACCCTCGCATTTCTCCACGGTGGGTCCCTTGCCTTCGGCCTCCACTTTGCCAGTCTTGTTCTCCTTCTTGAACTTCTTAGCCAATTCATCAGCATCTTCAAGTCGTTCCTCAAGCTCCTTATGCTTCATTTCCTTTCCGCCGTCAGCTGTCAGCTTCTCGTTCTCCCTCTTGAACTTCTTCTCAATCTTTTGGCGCTCTTCCTCAACCAGGAAATTCTGGTGCTCGTGTATCCAGGTCTCCTCCAATTCGTCGTCAAGCTGGAAGTACCCATCCCCTTCTTCCTTTTCCTTCTTTTTCTTGATTTTGGGATCGATGTTAAGCATCATCTGCTTCATTCGCCACTTCTGGTACTTGAGGCCTTTGATACGGTCGCCAAGCTTCTCCATCTGCGACTCATGTCCTGCGGCAACAGTACGCTTGTGATTGCAAAGGATAGCTACCTTGCGATTTGCCTCGTTGTAATCGACAATCTTCTCCGCAATGCTACCAGTCGACTTCATGTTTTGAAGCAACTTCGACATGGTGAAGGACGCGTTGTAAGTACGGAACACTTTGGCGGTCAATCCAGACATGTAATTGGAGAGATGCTTGTTAAGTGCACTGGTCTGTAATCATTAGCACAGAACCAAGCAACCAATTGGGATTACGCACCGTGAGGCGATCGAAAATTTCGTCACCGTCCGTCTTGGGAGAACTCTTGAAGATCTTTAGATTCTTGAAAACTTGGGCGTCGACTTCTACCTCGTCGTAGAAGCGAATGCTGTCTTTACCGAGAAAATCGAAGATGACCTTATTCGGAGGCTTGAGAGTAACGTGTTCGAATTTCAGCGAACAGCAACCGACCGTATCTGCCTCATCCTCGCCTTTCTCATTGCCAGCACGTAGTGCAAATTGGTCGATTAGATACACTGCTGTTGCTCGTTGACGGTTCGCCATGACTTTGTCTTTCAACTCGGCAGTGTAGTCTTTGCGTATATGATCAATATGTTTCTAAACAATCAGCTCCACACTCAGATCCGTCATTAACCGACCACGTACCTTGAGCTCTCGTGCCTTCTCAAATTTCTTAAAGTCGCTTTGACCCTTGACATCAGAATTGGCAGCAAGCATGACATACTTGTAGGCAGCGTTGATATTCTCTTGCCACATCGCTAGCCAGGTGCCTTCTTGATCATGCTTGATCTCTTTCCAACTGTAGCCTTCGGGTGGCGCAGGCACTGTAGCTTCTTTGCCGATATTGATGGTGATTTGTTCAGGCTCCACCCTCTTCTTGACTCTGCCTGTCTTTGGATGGTCGCCGCGACCCCGGAAAAGACCGGGAGGCTCCACACGAAAGTTCCCGACTTTTTGCTTGCGGTTGTCCCACATACAATACATGTAGGGTGCTTCAGCAGCATCTTTGTCCGCCTTTAGCTGTCTCTTTTCGGCAGCTGAAAGGGCCTTCTTCTCCATGCGCTGTGCGTCGTAATAGTTGAAGATAGGTTGAAACCCGCACTTGCTGAACTCCTTGATGTTGACCTTGTTGCCGTTTCTGTCAGTAGCTCCGCCAGTCTCCTTCAGCATCTTCGTCAAGTCGTCGAAAAAGTTCTTCTGAAAGGTCGGATTCTCGACATTGTGAGTGGAGTTCAACATAGCTCCGAAAAATCCAGCGATCTCCTCAGCTTCAGGTGCCATCCTTACTGGGTTTCCATCGTACAGCATTTGGACGTTCTTCGGCAAGGGTTGGTATTCCGGAGGGAAGACTACACCCGCATGCTCCAGCGTAGTCCATTTCTTCGTGCCGTCGCCTTTAGTAGGGTCCTCCCACCAACGGTACTCCTCCTCTTCGGCCTCAGCTTCTTCATCTTGTTTCGTCTCCTCTCTTTTCAAAGCTTTGCCCTTTTTCTTTGGGGTCGACGTTTCAGCCTTCGAGTCGGCGTTCTTTTTGGCCGGCGCTTTCTTAGCGAGAGGCACATCATCATCTGACTCTTTTTTGACATCATTGGTTTGGCTTTTGCGCTTCTTCGATGGAGCTGCAGTACCGTTTGTTTGTTTCTTTGGGTGTTCTTTCTCGTCCTTCCGTATCGCCTTGGCCTCTTTCGCAGCACTTTTCTGGATATCGGCTTTCTCTTTGGCAAGTTTTTCGCCTAAAGGTGCATCTGAATCTTCAGATTCGCCGATGGCTGTCTCAGACGCTTTGACAGGCTTTCGCAGCAACGTTGGCGACTTGTTTTTAATCTTTTTGGACACAAGTGGGGCATCGTCAGAGTCGGATTCCACGTCGGCCTTGTTTTTGCCTTTGGACAGACAACGCCGCTTACTCTGTGACGAGTCAGCAACGTCAATTCCATACTTCACATGGTTCTCGCCAACAACGCACCAGAGGTTTTCCTTCCTCGTCATCCTCCTCACTTGCTTCCTTGTATGACTTTCTGTTGCCCATGCTGCTGCGGGCTTTCCGCTTTCCATTTGCATTGCCGTTGACCGCCGGCCCATCAATGTCCATCTCATCAACTGGGCCATTTCTGATGGAAATTCCGGGTGCCCCGTGTACGGCTGGCGGGTTTGCCTTGTCCATTGTCTTGTCGACGCTCTCGGAAATGATGTCTTTGGACTTGAGAGGATGTCCTGATGTAAATACCATTAGTAAAGGGGATCTTGCAGACGGTCAAGTGAGGTAGAGAAGTGAAACAATCAAACGTAGAGTAGGCGGCTTGCGCTATTAACGGCCCAGCCGAGTCCTAAATCAGACGAATTATTGCAGCGAGAGGATAACGTACCATTCGTAACGCCGTTCGCCTTATGAGTTGTAGCCAGAGGCCTGTCATCGTCTGAGGAACTCATTGTGGCAAGATGAGGTAGGATGCAGGCAGTGAGATGTTGCCAGCACTCAAGGAGGAGTCGGGTCTAAATACTCCCGCTGAATGACAGCTAGCCGACGCGACTGTGAAGGAACAAAACGCTTATATTGGGCTTGCACGGTGGAGCATGTCGGCTGGAGTGTGGTGTAAGAAAAGGTACGTGTTGAAATTATCTAAAGGAATGTAGTGAAGACGTGGAAAGTAAAGGGTCCCAAAAGTGAATGAATGGAAATGTAAAGTAGGACTGACTGAAGGCGGCCTCGTTGAACCCGCCTGGCGCCCGCAAAGTTGTGGGAGAGCTGCGCTAGTCCAATACTAGGCTAGCTCCTTTTCGAGAACCTCAGTTGTTCTGGCACTTGGCGAGCATAGCTGGTTCTTCAGCGTCGGTAACAATCAATTGACCATCATTTTCTATACTCCACCCGGGGGTCAGCTGTGTTTTCTCAAAGTATTTGAAGGTCCTTTGTTCACGATGCTCTCGCGAGCTGTTCGGCCAGCTTTCAATGCTGCAGCCGTGGTGTCCGCCCGGTAAGCTCTTTGCCTAAGCAATCACCTCGCCAGCTTGTCCACGGCGAATTCTAGAAGGCTGGAGAGACACAACAAACGTTTCTCCGTCAGACTCAGCTGATGATCAACCTGCAGGCCCATTGCCGCAGATGCCGCCGGCTATGCCACCCTCCGCGAAATCGAAGGCCGTCTCAAATCCATCCGCAACATTGAGAAAATCACAAAAACCATGAAAATCGTCGCCTCCACCAAACTCAACCGAGCTCAACGCGCAATGGTGGACTCTCGAAGCTACGGAGAGACTTCCAACACCGTGTTCGAAAAGGCAGAGACCAAGCCTATCGAGTCCGAAGATAAGAAAACCCTCATCATAGTGTGCTCCTCGGACAAGGGTCTTTGCGGCGGTATCCACTCTGGACTGTCAAGAGCCACGAGGAGGATGTTGGAGAAGAAGCCGAATTCGGATCTTGTGGTATTGGGCGAGAAGTCGAAGGCGCAGCTGGGTAGATCGAGTGGAAAGAATATCCAGCTGAGCTTTGCGGGCGTTGGAAAGGACGTGCCGACTTTTGCGGATGCACAAGCCATTGCGGACCAGATCTCGCTGCTGCCGACGGATTATGCCGATGTGCAAATCTTGTACAACAAGTTCATCAACGCAACCAGTTACGAGGCTACGCCAATTGAGGCGTTTTCTGAGGAGGCCATCCGCGAGTCACGTAATTTCGCCCCTTTTGTTGTTCTCACAAGTACTTCTCTGACTCAACTTTCAGCAAACTTCGCCGCTTTCGAGATTGATGACGAAGTGCTCGCCAATCTCCGCGAATACGCCCTTGCCAACTCCCTCTACTGGGTAAGTCGCCTTGCCTTCCTAGCCCATGCCCCTACCACTGTGCTGACTATCGACTAGGCTCTCGCAGAAGGCCACGCTTGCGAACAGTCCGCCCGACGCAATGCTATGGACGTAAGTAACCCATGCTTCCCATCCACCCTAGAGCTACCGCCAGCTAACATGCGCATTTCGTAGAACGCCTCCAAGAATGCAGGAGACATGATCAACAGGTTCCAAATCCTTTACAACCGTACCCGCCAAGCTGTTATCACTGGAGAATTGGTCGAGATTATCACTGGTGCCTCCGCTTCGGAAGGCTAAGTGGTGTCATGTATATTAGCTATTAAAGACTTGGGCAATCCTGTTTCATTGAGTGTCTCGAAGATTGTGAGCATCATTTGTGGCAGGATATTTGATCAACGCAGCATTCGAAACTTGGCATTGACATCCGTGTTGCTACCGAATGCTAAAGCCACTAAATAGTCTCATACCTAAGGTTCTATTCGACCTGCTAATGGACACGCTGCGAGGGTATAGTACCATCCAAGGACCAAGTATCGACACCAATATCCATGCCAAGGCGACAGCCGCGCCTGAATTCCTACTTTAAAATCTCTCTCTGCTCCTGAACACATACCCTGAAGCCTTTCTGTCCTGGAACAGATACCATCAAAACACATTCCTTCCTATTCGATCCACCAAGCTCCCACATACCATTCGAGCCGCGTTGTCCTGAAACACATCCTCATATACCAATGCTGCTTCCAACAAAGCGGTAAGTCGTCCAGGAATTCTGCCATTGATTGGCAAATCGTCAAACCCTTCAGCCAAGCAATCAATGATGTCCAACAAGCACATGCTCCTCCAAGCACCGAGCAAACGACTCATGCCTGAAACCGAGCAACCGGAAAAACTTTAGCCTTTTGATTCCGATGACCAGATCCTTAAGCATCTTCATTTCGGCCTTGAGCATCACATCCGCTGCCGGGCCTTCTCTCTTCATTCGACTGTCTGCTCTGTCGGTGGCTGGTGCGCGTTGATGGGCTCCTTTGTCCTTGCTTGGTGAAGTTTGACTACATGTGATCATTATTTTTAGGTTCGCGTCCTTCTCTATCGATGCTGTTCGCTTCTTCTCCACCATCTCTTCCTTTCCGACAATAGCAATTTCAAGCTTCAGCAAGCCCTTCAACTCCACCAGCGCACGAGCCACGAGTGGAAATTTAGCCCACAGCTTATCAGCCCAGTCAATCTCAAGCTTGATATCCGTGATCATTTGCCTCTTGCTCCCTGACAAAGATAGGAGATGCTCGTCGAAGTCGAAGGAAGTGGCTGGCGAAGAAGTGGTGAACGTGTTCTCGCCGTACAAGATAGGGACGCCAACGGTGTGGAAGACTTTGCAGACCTGAAGGACCTTTGGCTCAACGTGGGTGCGGTATCCTCTTGGTATGGTGATGAAATCGTGCTGGAGAATCAGTGGGGTGGACGAGGTTAGGAGGTTGCGGAGGATCTTTCTGATGATGCTGAGCGGAAGAGTGAGGATCGTCGAATTAAAGGTGTTCACCGAGACCGCGTTCGCTGGGGCAAGGCGAGTGGGCGCGGTTTCGGTGCAGCTCTCAAGAAAGGCGTCGAGGAGCTGGCTGTTATCTTCCTCAGACGATATGGTGCGTTCAGATTCCGTTTCAAGAGTGTGAGGCTGGACCTGAGGGGTGGCAACTACCATCAACGGCATAATGACGGCCATGTTGAACGGTGGTGTGATGAACCCTTCTGAGAGCGAGGTGATTTTGCTTTCACTTGGAGCTGGACCTTTCGATACAGGATGGCGTCACAAAGGGATGGAAGAACTTGCCATGGAAGGATGGTAGAAAACGTGTCGAATTAGGAGATCACAGCGCTGATACCTTAAGATTGGATAAGCCCAAGTGTCAATAGAAGGTATCAAAGTGAGGTTCGAAGACAGTGCCATTGGCCAGGAATGTAGTCTACCGGTTTCATGTCCGCTGGGTTGTCATTGACCAGATGTTAAAACGAAGTTTAGCTTCCTCACATGAGAAGGAGATGGATGCTGGCAGCGACGACGGAGGCCGCTAGTCCTTCTGACTGTGGGTGTTTGCTTCTTCGCTGGCGCTGGCAGGGTAGTGGACATTGAGAAATTGATGGGCAGGAACACTTCTCCTAGTAACGTTCAGAATAGGCATTAAGATTCGGACTTGACATGCACTCCAGAGCTTTTGTTACCTGATTTTCGTCGTCCTCGGATTTGCTCTGGAGATGAAGGAGCGCTCTCGGTGCTCCTTCCCTGCTCAGATTCACCTTGTCCATAGAAAAGACTCATCTTCCAAGTACAACAGATTACAGCATCGGGGTCTTAAAGCAGGAATTCACCGATGAGTAGTTGTCGTGCGCGAGGGAGTTGAAGTGGACGGACTGAATGATTAGCATGCTTGCACACGCTTCCAGGAGCACATGGTTTGACTTCTGTTCTTGATCAGCCGTTCGGTTCTTGAACTCAGCCCTGTTATTTGGATGAACTATAGGGAACGAGGACTCCTCCATAGAAAAAAAATAAGCCGTTTTCCAACAACAGATTTTCCACTCATACTCTGGTAATGATTCGGTCCTCAAGCCAGAGGTACGTCTATTATTCGAGAAACCAACAAAGATGGAAAGAGCAGCTCCCTCCATGGCAGATTGCTCTGCACTCTTTCCAAAAAGTTTTGTATCAACCTAAAGTAATTTCACAATCGTCACAGTCCTTCCCAGTCGTCCAGCAGAGCTCCCAAAATGGACCATCTTACCAGCCTGAATCATGCACCCGGCAGTAGACAAACACTCAGCATGCTGTGCCAAATCGTCTTCCCCTTTCCTTCTTTGCCCCAAGACCATGGTCAAAGTGAAATACGTGCAGCTCCTCATTGCTTTGTATAACTAGATAACGCTCGTCTCCATCGATCTGTTTCCATCGCCATTGGATTCTCTGCAGATCAATTATCGCACTCCAGCTGTGCGAATCGCCGGAGACCCAAATTTCTGGGAGACCAATCGTACGCTGTATGACGGAGTACTTGATGCCGGCTGACTCGTCATGAACTACTTGATTTCGGATTCCGGGACCCATACCATCGTATCGCCAACATGTTGCTCTCTTTGGCGTTGAGGGATCTGCGCATTTGGAATCTGTGTGTTGCCACTGATGGGTGAATGTCGAATCCCTTCCAAGCCTATCTTCCCAACTTGATCCAAGACCCAGGACCGGAATACCCACTATCCGTTCCCAGTACACTTCTCTGGGATTCCTCCTACCTGCTCCATAGCCGTGGCCGACGTGTGACCCCCTTTCGTGATTACACCCTTCTTCGAAAAAGTACACACAAGCGCTTCCATCTAGGGCGATCTTTCTCAAGAAAGGCGTGTCTCTTTGTCGAATTGTTAGAAAATCGAGGTCGACGTACGAGAGCTTCTTCACAAGGCGTGGCCCAAGAGAGTCCTGGCTGCTACCAGAAGGGTCGTTGGATGGACGGTAACTAGAAGGTTGTGAGATATTCCAGATAAGCAAGGACTCGATTGGCTCGTTTTCACCCCAAACCGAGCGGTTTGTTTGCCGAATGTAGATGGTATAGTGTGTCGTAGAGTGGTCAGAAAACCAACAGTCCTGCGCGGACAATGGGAATCCTAGATAATGCAGTTTCCATTCACTCCGAAACGTTGCTTTCCATTGAGGGAGCCAAGTGAAGGAGACTTGGGCTGATTGGACGTCAAAGGCAGTGACATAATGCCGGTGGACAAATCCAAAATCATTTAGCTTGTGATAGGGTATCCACTCTGCCCAGTCAAAGACGAGTAGATTATGCTTCAGGCGCATCCTTCTAACAATACGATCTTTAATGTCAAAGGGCACTATCGATATCGTGTCTTCTTCGATGTCGAGCAACAGGTAGGCCTGCATCTCAATCAAATCAGGATAGACCAGCAGGCCGGAGTCGTAAGTCCATTCCGTTTCCAAGAGATCCGTTGGTACCTGCTCCTCAAGCCGCACATTTACATGAACACTTCTGCACCGGCCAGTCCGTCTATGGTATCTGGCCCATGGAAAACCGGAATATGATGGTGTCGAATATCTGTTTGCTTCTCCGAGAGATTCTTGAGTCCACTACTCAGATCCCGCTTCGTGACGGATCGAGGTCTCCCAGATTTAAGAGCTCACTTCCTGGCAAGCACTCTGTCAAAAGTTCTTCTCCAAACATCTCGGAAGTGACCGAAGTCATTCTCCGTTGTTCAGTCGATCTTTTGTTTCACTTCCAATTCTAACAGCGCGTGCATGTCCTGAGCTTCGCCAAACTCTCTACCGAGAACATCTCGAAGAAACGATTCATCTGTAAACTCTCTGTACCATGTTTAAGATACAAGACGTCAGCGAACAACGTCAATAGGATCGAGATAGCGTGTGACGGTCAGATACAGGTCCGTTGGCAGATCTGGTAGATCAAGATCAAGCACCGTTCCCATGTCGTCAAAATTTTCAGACTTCTTCGAGTCACGAGTAGATGAGGAGATCGAGAATGATATGTGCTGACGAGTGATAGTCTCAGATAAGATGAGGAAGCTGAGAATGGGAACGAGTTGATCTGGCTTGAGAGGAGATCAAGTATGATACACCGCTAGACAAGCCAGATTGGTTACAAGTATATGGAAGCCGGATTCGTCTACTCGTGTTCTCGTTGAACAGTAGGTAGCTAGGTTCCTTGTAATCGTGAGGTAGTACTTTGTTGGGCTGTTGATGATTGGACTCCCAGGTCGAGAGACTTGAAACAACCGAATCAGGGCGTTCCCTGAGCGTGAGTACAACCCTTCGACCGCCTCGAGTAAGTTTTGACCGTTTGATAACGGAGGTTTTTCACATTCCATATGCAAGTATCTTCGCATATGTAAATATTGCCACTAGTTGTGAGTAGGCATCTCTACATTTGCCTTCGCTGCAACAGCATCCTCGCTCCTCCACAGACTAGTCACAGTCTTCGTCTGCGTGTAGAAGTTTAACCCGGATTTCCCGTAGAACGTATTCGCACCTCCGCCAGCCACACTCTTCTTGTTTCCAGTGAACGAGAACATGGGTAACGGTACAGGAATAGGAACATTGATTCCAACTTGGCCGGCTTCAATGTCCTTTTGAAAGCGGGCAGCTGAGCTGCCGCTTCGAGTGAAAATGGCTACGCCATTGCCGTACTCGTTGGCATTGATCGTATCAATTGCATCATCCATGGTGTCAACGTTCAGGCAGACGAGGACGGGCCCGAAGATCTCTTCTGTGTAGCATTTCATGTGGGGCTTCACATTGGCTATAACGGTGGGTCCAATCTAGGGAGTGTTAGCATTCCCCCGCAAGAGCCGCTTGATTGATCAAGTAAACCTACCCAATTGCCATGTGGATATTTCTCCGGCTTATAGCCTCTCCCATCTAAAAGAATGGTTGCTCCTTCCTCCTCGGCACTCGTGATGATGCTTTCGATCCGTTCTCTCGCCTGGGGGCTGATAAGAGGACCCAAGTCTGCGCCCTCTTCGAAGCCGCCATTGACGTTGAGCTCCTTGGCTCTCTCGGCGACCTCAGGAAGCCAATCTTTCGTCTCACCAACCATGACAACCGCACTCAATGCCATGCATCGCTGGCCAGCAGCACCAAAGGCAGCCCCTGCTATCGCATTTAACGCTTGATTTTTGTTCGCGTCAGGTAAAACAGCCGCATGATTCTTTGCTCCAAGATTGGCTTGAACCCGCTTGCCTTTGGCAGAGCCACGACTAAAAATGTATTCGCCCGCTTTATTGCTGCCGACAAAACTGATGGCTTTGATAGCTGGCTCGTCGATTATGAAGTCTACAGTCTTGGCAGATCCGTGGACGATGTTGATTACTCCATCTGGGTAGCCAGCTTCCCGAGCAAGCTCAGCTAAGATCATTGCTGCTCCAGGGTCGCGCTCTGATGGTTTAAGGATGAGAGTGTTGCCTGTAATAGTAGCGATGGGGATTGACCACAATGGTATCATAGCTGGGAAGTCTGCAACGCATTCTTGGTCAATTGGTGTTCCAACGGCATTGGACTGCTATATTGGACTTACTGAAAGGACATATAGCAGCCACCACCCCAATGGGCTCTCTGTAGTTCCTCGTCTCCATATCCTTTGCTACTTCAAGCACTTCCCCCGTCAATTGCGTTGTGATCCCGCAGGCTGTCTCAGCAACTTGCAAGCCCCTGAGAACATCACCCTTTGCATCTGCAAATGTCTTTCCTTGTTCCAATGTGATACTCGCCGCGAGCCTATCCCAATGCTGCCGTATGAGCGCCACGAACTTGAACATGATCTGCTGCTTGTGAAGTAGACTTGTAGCCTTCCATGCTGGAAATGCTTTCTTCGCACTTTCGATAGCTGCATTAAGTTCTTCATCCGTGCTCTGGGGGACTCGGGTAACAAGATTGTTTGTTGCTGGATCGTAGAGATCGATCCAGGATTCAGTCTTTGAGTCGACGAATTTGTTGTCTAGAAAATATGGCGTGTTGCCCGGCAACTTAATTTGCTCATGATTCGTAGGATATGTATCTGCTGCTCCTATAGCAGTAGCCGGGGAGGCTTGGAGGCGATTGCTGGAGGCATGTAGCCGTCTGCGGGCTGTTACACATGTAGGCAATCTAGGCGGAGGGTTTGCATAGAGGCATGTGGATGCCCGAGTTTTCAAGGCTGCAGTTGTGCGCACCAATACCCGCTGAGAGACCATTGCAGATTGTGGTCATGTACCCAGATGTGTATTGACGCTGATGGAAAGATGTATCGAACGTGAAGGTTGTGGCTCGCGGGGGTGACGTTTGCGGGGAAGCCCGGGGAGTTTCCGCGGCACCAGCGGCAGCTCCTCCGCTTGCCTCTTTGCGATTTTTATAATGAGACTTGCGTTTCACACGATGATAGGAAGAGGCTTCCCAAAGGCTCCGAGGTCTTATATCTGCCCATCATGCTCTAGGTCGTTCGAGCTGCAGTCAAGAAGACACGCGACTGCGGCTTCCCCAGACGTCTACGATGTAGTATGTGTAGGTGGAGGACCTGCAGGTCTGAGTCTACTGACAGCATTGCGTATGTATAGCTGTACGACCCTCTCAAGAGCACCGGACTGACTCTCTTCTAGGATCCTCCAAAGCCACTTCGCATCTCAGGCTCGCGCTAATCGAGTCGCAAGACCTTGAGCGAGCGCGAACTTGGAATCTTCCTCCAGATCAATTTTCCTACCGCACCAGCTCTCTTACCCCCTCTTCGCTCTCCTTCCTCTCCCAAATTGGAGCATGGCCGAATGTCGATACCTCTCGGGTCCAACCATACCGGCATATGCGCGTATGGGATGGCCTCTCCTCCAATTCACGTATATCTTTCGACGCCCTGACATCAGAGCCACCCATAGCCTCTATGACTGAGAACCAGAACCTTTCTCGCGCTCTTATTACAAGCCTCGATGACCTGCCTACCATATCTCTCTTCGACAAAACATCCGTAGCCGACATACATCTCGGCCCTCCACTATCATTTCCAGCAGAATCGCCTACATCCCTTGATCTTTCCTCCTACCCTCATGTGACTCTCTCCTCAAATCATACCATCGCCGCTCGTCTTCTCGTTGGGGCCGATGGCCTGAACAGCCCTGTTCGCACGTTTGCAGGAATATCCACCCGTGGTTGGGACTATGATCGTCACGGTGTAGTTGCTACGCTGAAGCTCCCACCAGGAACCGGTCACAGCAGGGAAAATCCTCAACGAGTTACAGCATACCAACGTTTCCTACCCTCGGGCCCCATTGCCTTCCTGGCTCTACCTGGCGACTACGCTACATTGGTGTGGACTACGACTCCACCGCAAGCCACGCGGCTTAAGGCGTTGAGCACGGAAGACTTCGTAGCCATGGTCAACGCCGCTTTCAGACTGGATGTGGTCGATCTGAATTACATGTTCACTCTCGATTCTGGCCAAGTCGGCGAGCTGGAATGGCGAGAATCGGTCCACCCCGGCAATAAAGCAGATCTCGGTGGAGAAACGCCTCAGCATATTGCGTCAGTTCAAGAAGGCTCGATTGCATCTTTCCCTCTGCGCCTACGCCATGCCTCTACGTACACTACCAACCGCGTCGCTCTTATCGGGGACGCAGCTCACACCATCCATCCTCTCGCGGGCCAAGGCCTCAACATGGGCCTTGCGGACTCCCACTCATTAGCTTCTGCCGTTGAACATGCGGTTCTTCATGGAGCAGATATAGGAAATGAAATTGCATGTCTGGATAGATACAACGAGGAGATGTGGATGAGCAATAACAGGATGCTTGGTGCAGTAGATAAATTACATTGGCTCTACTCTGCAACGTCAGGGCCAGTGGTGGGATTGCGAGGTTTGGGTCTGAGGACTGTCGACGCGCTCGGCCCGGTAAAAGGGTGGTTTATGCGACAAGCCGGAGCGTTGTGACGACTGACGAGGCTCTCAAAGGAGGCTCGCCTAGAACATGGCTATTTTAGCGGGTCCAGGTACCAGCCCAGCTGCCTCTTTGGGTTAAAAGGGCCGATGATCCCGGTTGGCTAAGGTACACGGGTCTGCGGGCTTCAAAGTCTCCATATCCACGTGCGCTGTCCACGTTTTTATTCTACAGGTAACAGTCCATACTCCTATATCGACGAGCGAACTTGCAACATGTCTTCAGACCAAGCTGAGTGGTCCTCCAAGATATATAAAGAGGCTTGCTGTGCCAATGACCACTTGCCATTTCCGTTCGGTCTTCGAGAAATACATGGCCATCATAATGCTCTCTTCGGTCCTGCTATGGGCCTTTGCAGCAAGCGGGTTGATTTCTTTGAGCGTAGCGGATAGCTCCAAAACTCCAAGCTCCTACATCAATTATACTACAGTCACGGGATACTTCTTGCAAGATGAACCCTCGACCAATGCTAGCACCTTCAATTTCATGACCAGAAACTTTGGCCTCATCAATCGCACATACCCAGCCGATACCACTCTTCATTCCCACCATAACCTGACTCAATGGCAGCGCTTCAAGCACCAAGTTACCCAGCTCAATCACGAGGCTCCGCCTGGCACCGAGTACAGACTGCTCTATATGGGCCGACACGGTGACGGCTACCATAATGATGCGCAGGCCTACTATGGCACGCCCGCATGGAACTGCTACTACTCTGAGCTCGACGGAAACAGCACCGTCACTTGGTCCGATGCTCATCTATCTCCACTGGGAGTCAGCCAGGCTCTGGCCGTCAATGAGTTCTGGGCGTCAGAGATTCAGGATCAGAAGATTCCTACACCTCAGAGCTACTACACAAGCCCTCTAACAAGGTGTCTTCAGACGGCAAATTACACTTTCAACGGCCTTGATTTGCCGGCTAGACATCCTTTCATACCCCTGGTCAAGGAGTATTTCCGTGAAGGTATCAGCGGACATACCTGCGATCGACGCAGCAATGAGACCTACATCCACGATATTTTCCCCAGCTACAGGATCGAGCCCGGTTTCACTCAAGATGATGAGCTATGGGTAGCTCTCCACGGCGAGACTAGTACAGACCAAGCCGTCAGGTCTAAGAGGGTCCTTGACAGCGTCTTCTCTACAGATGGCAGTACCTACATATCCATCACGAGTCATTCGGGCGAGATTGGCTCCATATTGAGTGGTCAGTTGCTCTCCCGAAGCCCTCTCAACTTCCCACTAATTGTCATTTTGTGCAGTCCTCGGTCATCAGGCCTTCGGATTGAGTACAGGCGCTGCGATTCCCGTGCTCGTGAAAGCCCAGACCATTGGAGGCGCATCGGCCACGACAGCACTTCAGCCGTATACTGCGCTGTGTACGTGCACATCGCCGCCTGCGGTGACCGCCACCACTTCCGTATGTGCGTACCCGCCGGCCGAAACTTCACCGGGTATCTAGTCATGAATTCCGACTATTAAATCAATACATTTCTAGCCGAACATGCATGATTTTTTTGATTTTTTTTGCAGATCTAAAAAAGTCCATGTATACTATACCAGGCTTTCGCACACCGTCTTCACATACCTCTGTAGGGTGATAGGACTCAAACCTCACACTTGTCCCCAGATGTCTCCATGAAAAGCATTGTGAATCATGTTCGGCTTCAATTTTCTTCTTCCCTCCCCACTTTCCAATCATTTCCCCTTTCATAATAATCATATCCACCATTATCGTATCCGACTCATCACCTCCACTCCACACCCTCCCCCACCACCCCCCCACCCAAAAAACTCCCTACGATCCAATCGGCAGAACCAACCGTACGCATCGAGTACAGAAAAAAAGCCTCTCCATCTCATCCGAAATTCTGTCCGGCGCGGATCATGACCGCACATCTGGACCAGAGTGAGCTCCAAAACCCTCACCATCAACACTCCACAGCTCAGACACCAAATAGATCGTCCGAGCCAGATGCCCGGAACGGTCAACGCTCGATCCCACCCACGCTGATTACCCCCCCCCCCCCTCGTTAACCCTCGTGCCGCGTCACGAACCCCCGACGAAGCCAAGTGCGCCGCAACGTTCCGCGGGACCTGGGCGGAGATTTTTTTTCGGCGGCAAGCGTTTCGTCGTGAGAGGAATACGGCATGAGCGGAATCCTTACGGTTGGAGAGACGGGGTTTGGTGAGGTGGGCGGGGGGAGGGGGCGGTGGATGGTTGGTTGGTTGGGGTCGTTGAGAGGTGGATGAGCTCGGGATGTATGGAGGGGGGAAGGGGGGGGGCCTGAGGCGAGCGGGCTTTTGGATGGGCAGTTCAGCTCCTCGATAGATTTTTGATTTGAAATTATACGAAAGGTTGTGAAGGAGGTGGTATTTCGTGGATGGGCGAGGTAGGGGGAGAGGCCAGCGGAGAAGCAGAGTCGGGTCCTGGCTTGATAATGTTGAGTATGACTGCTAATCAAACATATTTAATTTACGTTCGGGATAAAGCCCCCAAAGGCGGCATTCGTGACATCGAAAAACTCTCCCTCCATCTCATCAATACCTCGGAATTGGCCTCGTGGCTTGACGAGTCCTTGCCTGAGCTCCTGGAGCTTCTGCCGGTGCTAGAGTAGTCTTTCGTTCCTCTGCTACTTGCCGCATGCGCCCAAATCCAAAGCTGATCGAAGTCCACGGCCATGACGCCTAGAGAATTCATCTCATACCGCCAGTGCTGCATTCCCATAGCCTTGCAAGATCGCTTGCGAGGCCCTGTCTTCCTCCACAATACTGCGAACGTACATCGAAACTTCCGGAAGATTGTCATGTGTGACCGTGGTAGTTGCGACTGCTTTGACGGAACATGAAGCAGGCCGGAACGTGCCCCCCTGCCTGACAAATCCATGCTTGAAGTCGTGGAGATTCTGCTCGTGATACACGCCAATGAGCGTTAAATGTCTCAATCCGCCTGTCGGACGAAGTTTTTTCAGGAAAGGCGTAACCTGCAAACAGCAACAGACATTAGCTTGGGCAGTGAGGCGAACCCAAACGAGAGAGGCCGAGCGTAGAGGGGCATAAGAAGTCGAGACAAGAGATGAGGACATACCCTAACTTTTGCAGCATCTCCAGCAGTAAGCGCCCAGTCCGTGAGGTCCAGAGCTAACCACTCCAGAGCAGGAAACCCGACCAGTTGATCTTGCTCCTTGGATGGATAGAAGAAATCGCACCACGAGGACCATAATTGCTTTCGATCATCCCCGACGCATTCAGAGCTCATTCTCAAAGTCATGAAGCGAATCATCGTGAGTCTGCCGCAGGGTGCGGGCTCGCTGACGGTACGGTACCATCCGAATGGCCTCCTTCCCAGCCCAACGTGCGCGAATTTCTCGATATCCCTCGGCTTGCGGAAATGAAAGCGGTTCATACCATAGAGAACGTGAACGGTCTCGTGGTAAACGGTGCGGCAGGTGCGCAAGAGAGCGGCATCAATAGCTTCGATATGTTTGACCTCTTCCGCCATGATTGGAGGGTACCGATCTAGAAATCTATGCGCCTGTCTGATGTATTTGTCAAACTTCAGAACCCTACTGTAGACCATGATTCTGATTTCGAGAGGAAGTCGGCTAAGTGTACCGCATGGACCGCATGGACTGCATGGCGATGAGGCTGTGTTCCCCGTACTAGTACCGCATGAAGGCGAGAAGACAACGGTCTTGAGCTCGTTTCTGGCCTCGGGATATATATCTTCCGACGGTGATGGATTATGAGCCTTCCATCGGTTACCGGCGTCAAGGTCTACATTGTCATTCGGAAGCGATTCAACATCGACAGTCTCATTAGCAAGTCCCAGGCTAGGGGACTTGGGCCCAGCTTGAAAGGTGAAATTGAAGTAATTGGGGACACCAAAAGTAAAGACATGAGGCATTGTAGTAAGCTAGGTTGCGTGTTGACCAAAATCTGAGGGAGTAGAGATCAAATTGAAGGGATCGAAGACGTGCCGGACATATACCGCTTGGACGTGGGTTGGGCAAGATGCCGGATATTCTTGAGAGGTCGAGGCGCGGTAGACTGCTGGAGTTGGGTGTTGTTGTTGAAAGGCTTCACAACAGCGTTTTGGTAAGGGGCGGTTTTAATCATGACATTGTGGCCTGTGAAGAATGTCAGATTGCAAATATTCGTACTATAAGCAAAAGTGCCTTAGAAAAAGGAAGAGCTCGAAGACTCGGGCGTAAGGTACTTTAGATGGAACGAATATAGCGTTTAGCGTTGAGCGTTGACGTCGATCTTCGGGCCGACCCTTAGATTACTCTACACCTGATAGAGTAGTCTAAGCGACCTGGCGACCAGATTCTTGTGCAGATCAGTGATCACACATCTGTTACCCGTAGGCCGCAGTCCAATTGTTTTCGAAAGCATGCAATGGCATTAGCTATGTCACAACGAAGCAGTAAATGGTCTGGGAACGAATGGAGCTTCTATCTGCTCTGTACCGTCTTCACTTTTTCAATTGTATGCTAGTGATAGGAGAATGGCTGTCGCCTCCATTCCCTTCCTCTCGGCCTCCATATTCCACAGACCAGTGGACTGGGTGCACTAGGCCTGCTCTGTCTTCCCTAGCAATAGGAAGCAACACTAATTCAAATGTTCGAAGTGAAGGCTTTTGCTTTCGGATAGAGTACATCTCAAGATGAGACTCAGAAATTCAGCTATTGGTGCAAGAATCAGTCAAAACACCCAAATCTCTAATGGGAAGGGGGCTCAGGAGCCAGTCGGGTCAAAGACTTTCGCCTTAACACATGTCAGTAGATCATGTTGAACGTTTTGCACAGGCTTCAACTCTTAACTCGCGCTTTAGCAAATCAATCTGCTAGCGTCTGCGTACAAGTATGCTTGACCCTCTGAGATAATCAACACAGTTGGAAATCCCCCGAATGTTTATACAGTGGTTCAACGCTGCACGCCTTCCCTTTCGGCCCAGATTCTGAGACACACACCGCCCAACATTAACGTGCAAGCATCACGATCAAAAGTTGAGCTCATAATGGATCTCGGAGAGATGATCCTCAAGACTCCTGGTATCACAGACGCCATAACAACACATAAGAGTTTACAACTCAATGGTGGGTCATCATTTGATAGATTGAGCCGATCTCAAGGAAGCTGCACCCATCTGATGGATTGCAACACCTCTGTATTCTAGATGTAGGCGTGAAATATGAGCATATCTGGCACATTAAGTAGCAATCTCGCGACGTCTTCACAAATTCACACAAATTCCAGAGCCTTCCTCAAGTCCCTCGCTTATTTAGAAACCAAGCTAGATATTCGATAACGGGCCGATCCGGACAGGCGATAAGCGAATATCAGATTAGATTGTCAGACCATTATCAATTGTTTCAGGCAACCCAAAGTCCGGATGTTGGCTTGTTACAGTAGAATCGCCGTGCCTCGTACGCCTCAATCCTGAAGGCTGAGTCTTAATTCATTCATAAAGACACCTATACCTCGAGCAAACTCCCCTTCCTCCCTGCTCCCCATACACGAATCGCCCTACTACCTACCCTTCGAAGCACCGCAACAATGGCAGCACCACCTGAAAGAACGATCCAAGATCTCAACGGAGTATGGACCATGGTTCGTTCCTCCCACTCAACGGCCTCTTGGATCCGATACTGACCTATACCCTCAGAACAAGTCCCTATCCGATGACTACGACCGCATCCTCCAAATGGTAGCCTCCCTCCACTTTCCTCCCCCCGCGATCACCTCCCCCACCTAACACCCCAACCAGCAAGGCGTATCCTGGTTCCTCCGCAAAGCCATCTCCTACGCCACCATCACCCTCACCATAAACCAGTACGTCGACGACACCGCCGAGAAATACACCCACATCGACATCGCCCAAGTGGCCACCGGCGGCGTCGGCGCCACGCAGGAAAAGCGCCTTCTCGACTTCACCTGGCGCGAGCATCAGGACAGGATATTCGGAAAGGTCAAGGGTAAGAGCCGGTGGATCAAGTTGGCGGATATCGACGAAGACGACTTCTTGAAGACCGGGTACGACGATATGGAAGGGGAGCATGTGCAGGCTCTGGCGGAGAGCCTGGACAATGGGTGGACGGCCGATCAGGTGTGGGGGTTTGAACAGGTCGATGGCAAGAGGCATCATGTACGGCATGTCATCGTGAGGAAGGGGGATGATTGGAAGCAGGCGAGGTTGGTGTACGACTACAGAGGGTAAGCTTTGAGCCTCCATCCGGTCGGCTGTTGGACGTGTCGACGGACCAGAGGGTGCTAATCGTTTGAATCAGGCCGTTGGAAAAGAAGTCTGACGACGATGACGATCTAGCATACGGGGAATAGACACGGCCGCTGCCTTTTTCTCACGCATGATGAATGAAGGGGATCGAAGTTGCTGTGCATACTTGGATAGAAGGAATCTCTGGACTTGTATGGTCCCCTGCTACGATTCTGCGCCTTCAACAGCGCAACCGTTGCTCTGTGACCGGTATCTGTGTAGATGCGGATCTACGTATGGTTTTGTTGCAAAAGCTTTCAAAAACAGAGTCGGCAGTCTGAGGAATTTAAACCCTACTCTCATTTCCATCTCAAATTTGGGTATCATTTCAGAAATACGTGTCATCCATGATCAATCTCTCTCAGAAAAAACCTATAGACAGCGTACAAACTCCTCATGAATGCCGCTTCTCGTCCGAACCTTCGCGTGAACGAATCCTCCCAACCCATCCCCCCACAACCGACCAACCAACCAACCACCATCCACATCCCCACAACCTCATCCACCACACCCACAGCTTCCCACGCGAAACCAACGACCCCACAAACCCCCGAACCGCCACCCGAAAAGAGAAAAAAAAGCAATCCCCACCGCCAGCTCATCCTACCACCGCCCCGGCCAACCCGAACCCCCAAAGGTTCTGTCGCGGCAGCGACCTCCGCGGAGCCCGCCCCCGTGACCGTGCCACCGGCAAGCACGCCGCGGCCCGGAGACGGCGGCGCGTTACACCCCGTCTGAGAAAGCAGGTCCAGGGCCCAAGACCTGACCTGCGGGCCCCGCCGCGCAGGACCGTCGGCCGGGTGAAGACGGGCGGCCTGGTTCGGATGCGGGTGTGGGAGGACCGGACGCGGTCGAGGCGACGGCCGGCTGGGCGGCATGGAAGTCGGTCCGGGAGATGGTTTCTGCGGATGGGTGAGTGATGGGGTTCAGGAAGGGGGGACGAGGGTGAGGTCGTCGGAAGTGGGGTATTTTAGTGTGAGGAAGCTTGACCGTGCGAGTAAAGGGTAGGTGGGTGTTGGCGCTGGCATCGGAGGAGGGTTTGGTGGCGGTGCTGCTACCGATGAGGACGGAGGATGGCGAGGCGGGGGTGGTGGGGAGTGGGAGTTTTGTGTTTTATAGGAGGGAGGTTCTAGCTTCTGTGGACGATGTGTTTGAAGGGTTGAGTTTGAAGGATGGGGGTGAAGATTACTGTGAAGAGGGCGAGGTGGAAGAAGGAAGACTTGTGGGCTTCGATGGGCTTTTGTGAGGCGCATTACCATGGAGAGTGTGGTAGGCCGGGCAAAACGTGCCAAACCTGATGATGGTGGAATCTCTCTGAAACGCCGCCGCAGACATGGCTAAAAGAAAACATCCGTACGGCTTGAGGAATTATACCATAAGGTCAGTTGCAACTTCTCCGAGATGCTCGGTATTCAGTGTACGTATTACCTTATGGGAGCGTGACAGATTGATACGAGACTCTGGAGAAGCACCTACAGCGGGCATCCACTCCCAAAAGGAACACCATATGTTCCGATTCTAGGTCAGATTTTGCTTCTCCAATATGATGCGTCATTGCCAGCACCAAATCGATGCGCGCGTCCGGTACGAAAAGATGATGGTTTTGCTTGCTGTCCGATGGCACGTGGGATACCCAGCAACTTAGTGCTTGCTATACGCATTTAGCTGTGGTGTTTACGTAAAACGGGCTCGTATGCGTCATGTTGACAAAATGTGAAGGTGTCAGGGTTTACTTTCCCACGCGTATCTATTGTTCTTACCAGCCCCTAGAGCTTAAGGCAGTTAGAACCATTGCAAGCGATCAGAGTCCTTCAGCGTTTTCGTCGTAATGGGCCCCTTTGGAGCTTAGCATAGTGCAAAAGACCAATCGTCCAGCTTTGGACCGCTCCGGTTGTTATTTCGGCCCTGTTCATTGGCCGGAATGATCCGCTAAGGTGTGGATTGTGACTGTAAATCGAGTGGAGGTTGCCGTTTGATTAAGCACGTGCTGCCTTTGACCAGATGCTGTGTTTTATCGACGAACCTTGCATAGTGGAAGACTTGACAGGGTTGAGAGCTTCGACATACTGTGCTAATGACGGCTTGAAGTCATGTCTAACGAGTCAACTCCGCCATCACAGGACGTTCCCATTCGCTTGATCTATTGTCGAAAGCATAACCATCATCATTTAATCCATAAAGCCGCATATTGCCATACCGGCGTGTGAAAAGCGTTGCAACTCCCGAGCGCTTCTCACAAACTGCATCCAGGACCGACCTGAACCTGCAAGGAGCCCAAAATCATGCAGAATAAGATTTTCGAGCGTGACTTGTGCCCCTCGAAGAAAACATGCAGATCAACAATGGTGACCTTCATGCCGCGGAATCTGTCTGCTTGGAGAGCGGGCCACTTCTTCTCTATCACACTTCTCGTATCATCTGCGTGCAGGCAGAGATTCGGGAAGCCAAGCGACAGGCTTGTCAATCGTTCTGTACAAGGAAGAATTTCGAAAAGATCGTCCATATCCCCCTCCAGATAATCGTGGCCCAAAGCCCGCCCCTGGACGTCGAGCCGCAGGTCGAGACTCGTGAGGTTGGCAATCGCAATTCTGAATGCGCCCAACAGTATCTAATGGTCGAAAAAATCGAGAGCGCTCAGCGACGAGAGCAGAAGTCCCATATTCAGAGGTTCCGCTGGGATTATTTCCGTGCAATTGCCGACATGAAAATCTTTCAAGTCAACCTTCCCCAACTCGAATGCCATCAAGAGCTGATCGAGAGTGCGACAGTCCCGGAGATGGTGGCGTTGTTTTTCGTTATCGTCGTGGTACGACCGGTATGAAGGGCCATAGACTGTATCTGCGAAGCGCTGTGCTTGCGCTCTTTCCGCGAAACACGAAGCAGTCTCCGGATGTCTGGACGGTCCACCTGGTACAGTCTGGATGGGTTATCCGCGGCCCATTTCCGCCGCTCAGCCCTCGCTGGATCCTTTTCTCCAGCCTCTTTGCTCTAGGGTGTTGAGGGGAGAAATTAGGGAGTGAAAGGTGCTGCGAGATGATCGTAGCCCCTCATGTTGTTAGGGGCACGCCGAAAAAGACGAGCTTCACAACTTGGAATTGTCGAATGATCCGAGCATCTCGCGCGGGATCGGTCCAAGTGACACGCGAACGGAGCTCAGATGGGATGATTACAAGAGTCAAGCCGACAAGGGTGCTCTTGTGGTGGTCGAAGAATGCATGCAAGTGGACATTGTGAACCTCGAAGCCGCGCAGTTCAATCGATTCAAGAGCTGGCCATGTATTGCTCCGGACCTTCTTATTGGGGTGGCCCGTGTGGTCCTGCTCTTGTCTAGACTATTTGTCACCCGCCGCGCAGACGGAAAAGGAGTTGGCGGATGCCATTTCCAGCTTGACCTTGTCGCCTTTCTTCGAGGCCTGTAGCTACTCTTGTACCATTGGTGCGCGGCCAAGAGTGGTTCTGACGAGCTGCTAATGACGGAGCAATCTCACGCATATCACGGAAGAATTCTGCAGACGTTTGTGCCTTTTTTGCGTCACGAAAAGCTAGTCCGCTAAGCCCCACAATTCGAATCTCAGCTGGAAGAGAACCTGAATGTGGAGGGTACAAGGTGGAAGGGCTTGATATATATTTGTGATGAATGAAACAACATCCTGATTGCTTGAGAATGAGAGAGCTAGACCCTAGACGACAGCACAAAAACAACCGAAAGGGAATCAAACAGCAATGTATAACCTAGTAAGCTTGTATGAAGTAGTGAGGAATATGGTGGAGAAGTTCTCGACATATCATGCATGGTGGATGGATCAATAACCTCCGACAAAGAGGGTCGAGTCAGATGGAATACGTAGTAAAAGGAGTTGCCTTCACTTCCAAGGCTTCGCCCAATTCATCGACAGTAAAGGTAAAGAACGCATAGAGATCAACAGTCCGCTAAGATCACGAATCAGTGTATTTCAGGCCAGGTACTAGAAAAAGTGGCGGTCGAAAAGGATCAAATCCTCAAGATTCCGAGAAAATCAATACTAGTGAGGAGCTTCTTGCACCTAAACGCTTTTCCTCAAACAGATTGATCAAAGACGACACCGTATTCCCGGTTGATACCCAAATATGACTTAAATTTGTGAACATGACCTCCGTTGTTGCTCTCTTCCGACAGGCATGAATGAATCGTGAACATGGTGGTCAATTACGACTACTCACCTGAGCGTCATTCCTTAACCATCCCCCACATCGATCACATACATTGTTTTCGCAGCCAAAACCTTGGGGCGTTTCCATAGCTGTCACTGAAATGGTTGGTTCTATCCCTCCACTGGCCCTCTCCCCGTTACTTGGGTCGCAGCTTGTCCGCGTAGCTTCGTACCCTCCACCTAAAATAATAGCCTGCGCAGGTTTTGGAGTCAGTATGCCCTACTTAGAGTGAGAAGCCTGGGCCACGAGATACTCTTAAGAGGCAAACACTCTTTTGCTTCCGAAACCTGTCATGGGGCATAAAAGTAGATATCGAATAAGAAGGAAAAACTCCCAATGGTACGTACCAGGTCCGTTTCAGTACTGTTGATTTGCCAACCGCTGACATCAGAGTCTTCACCCCATTCGTACACGTCAAGCGCCGCATAGTCCAAGTGAAGCAGCTGCCCAGCTCGCTGCGCAATATCCAGCCAAGTATGCGACGTATTCGGCTCGAAGCCAACGTGATGGAGGAAAAGGGTGGTCAGTGTATCCTTATGTCTGGCGAAGAAGTTGAGCAGTGTATCAGGATCGACGCGCACGCATCGAAGCTTCATTGCTACAAGAGCGGGCCAGGTATAGCTCAACAGCCGTTGAGTGTCATGCATATCGAAGGCGATTCTCCGTTGAGTCACTCCGAAAGTAAGGCGTTTGAGTCGGGTCATTGATGACAGTATCTGGAAAAGAGGTTCAAGATATTTTCCACTATAATCGCGACCCTTGACTCTGGGGTTCAGATCAATCTGCAGATTGAGTTCTGTGAGATGGCTGAACACGCTCTGAGCATTCGTCGTGAACCTCGCTTGGTCTATGGCATTGGGTGCCACAAGCGAAGACAACGGCAAGCCCATCTTCAGTGGTCTAGGATGGCCCTGCCAATTTCCGATGTGCAATTCAGTGAGGCATACTTCTGCGGAAAAAAGGGCCTGGAAAAGATGCTGGACGCGGTGACTGCCCCACGGTTCGTAGTACGCCTTTTTCTCCTTATGATAAGACCAGTATGATGCAGCCACCTCAGTTTCAGCCAGGTCTCGGGCGTGAGGACCCGCCGGAATTGGAGGCCAGTAAAGGTGCGAGGGACCTCCAATGACAGATACTTTTTTGAGTCTCAAAAGTTGGGGTAGTCCTCGTAAGAGTACATTGAGATCCTTTGAGGTGGCCCTTATTTGCTCCTGATCGCGGTAGCGTTGGCGAAAAGCATCGTGTGCGGCGACTTGTTCAGAACGAGACCACATGCGATGTTCTGCCAGTGCTGAGGAGTGTGGCTCTTGCTGGAGCAGCCTCTTCGGTAGCTGAGTGTCGTCGAAGACCAGGTGTTTCACAGATTCAGCAAGATGGGGATCCCGGACGATGTGTTCGAAATTTCTGATAGGTTCAGAACGGGATGCAAAGTAGATCTGCTCAAAGACGTGCTCTATGCTGACGCTGGCCCAGCGTCTGCAGCACAGTCGGACGCGCTTCAGGATTCTTCGTGGAACTCTCTGAAAGATCTGGTGTAGTATCTCATTTGGGAGTTTGTCGATGTGACCTAATGTATAATTCAGTTTACAGTGTCTCTGTAGATGAAGAATGTGCTGCGGTGTTTTTGTGTATTGGTACAAGGCCACGAAGACATAGATGATTCAACGAGGTTAGCACCCAGAGTGACAGGCGAATCCACAACTTTGCCATTCAGTAATTCAAATATTGAAATTGCAAGAAAACATACTTGCTACTTACAAGTCTGGATTGCCACCAGTAAGCTGCTGGTCGAAGCCATGCTGTTTGATGTACTATGGTGCTACCAAACCGAAAGTCGGGTTTCGGCACAGTACCAGAGTCTGATATGATGGACATTAGCCTTGAGAACATATAATACGTGTCTCATTCAGGTTTAGAAGACTCACCTGAAGTGTCCAAATAGTGGTCTGATGACAGTTGTTTGGGAGGGGGAAGGAGGATTAGAGGGGGAGTGGTACTGGAATAGTGCCGGAGAAGCATTCCGCCGTCAACAAATGGGGTTTATCCGCTTCAATTGGTCAGGACCCGAGGATTTGGACCTCGGATTGTCGAATTGAAGGGGCGAAGTCCCGGAACATTCGACAATAGACTTGGTAAGCGAGCCACGCGTTCGTGACATGGCCGTGGACAGTGACAGCCTCAATGTCGTGAGCGTAAAGTACCGATCAGCAGGATCAGCCACGTTTTTGGTAGAGAACCATCATTAAGACGTATAAGAGTGAAGAAATTGCCTTGACAAACGCTAATTCGAGCATGCAACTGGGGTATATGGCCATGATTAGACCAGAGGTGACGTGGTCTTAGAATTCAAGCAAAGACGTTTTCTTCAGACCAGTCACGAATGAAGCTTCCGCATTCTCTCTTCCAACTCCTTTACCCAGCCTTCAACGGTCTCGGTGTTCCCCTTCACCGTTTGCTCTCCCTGCTTCATTGCATTTTCCACTTTCTTCAACCCTTCGCACCAGCCTTGCAGCTCTTGCTTTGTATCCTCTTGTTGCATCTCCAGCTTTGCCAAAGTTTGGCTTGCCGTTGCAGCATCAGCGTGGATTAAACGCAGAGACCTCAGTCTATCCAGTACGGATGGTAATAGCGGCGCTAGCGACTCGATAGTAGATAGAGTGCCGTAGAGTGCATTAATCTTCGAGCTTTGCTCAGCGTATTCAAGAACGTCCGCGTCTTTCGCTGGATCGTTCAGCGAAGGAGACTCTTCGCCCGAGGGACTGAGAGCTTCTTGCACTGCTTTCGCGGCTTTCCTGGATTGCTCGAGCTTCTCCGCATCTTGCGTCAATTGCCTTACTTTTCGGCTGACCTTATCGAGGGACGTGTCCGTAGAATTGGAGAGGGTGGACAACTGCTTTTCCAAGGTATCCAGGGCTGGAAGAACGGCTTTCAAGGGTGATCTGTCCTGTGTAGGCAACGGAATGGCATCGAGGCCTAACGCAGCCTCGATCAATGTCAAACGCGAATCAAAGTCAGATACCTTGGAGAGCGTATGTTCCTCTTGATAGGTGGGTGCGTAGGTGACTGTATACGTAGAGGTGGCTGCGTTCTGCTGCGCTGGCCGAGACCCCGGTCCATCCAGTGAGTACACTGAGGTCCCTACTGGTTTTGTTGTGGCCACGAGTCTCTTTGTTAGGCGACCCGCAGCGCCGGCACCACCGTCAGTATCAGGTGAGTCTACGCTCTCCAGGATCTGATCCAAAGTATCCAAGTTCTCGGCTTCATGCTGCGGCTCTTGGGAAGCTCCATCCTCTTTCTTTGCCCTTCTTTGCGCGAACTCTCCTTTGACTTCGGCCACTTCCTTTCGTAGCCGTGCGAGCTTCCTCTCCAACGACTCCGCTTCCTCGTCGCTGGAGATCTCGATTCCATTGATAATGCCGTTGATCTCAAGCCCATCTTTCGGCCTCTTCCTACTAGAAGATCGATAAGATCTCCGTTTGCTGCTGATTCGACTTGAAGATGGGGGGTCGCGCTCTCCTATCGGCAGGAAATGCGTTCGAGCTTCGTCTGCATCTAGGCGATGACGCACAATCCCGCTGGATTCGTCTTCGTCTTCATGGTAGGAGGATGCAGGAGATTCGGAGCGGAAGGTGGTAACAGTCTGACGGATAGTCAACGCGTATGAAGATTGTCTAGCATGTTTTAAAACTCACAGGGTGTGTGGATGTGTCTTCCGTAAGCTCTGGAGTCTCATAGATATCAGGTGCAGGATCCTAGAAGGCAGATGAGCGCTTGATTTCATCAGTTCACAGAGGCGTAGCATTCACCAGATCTGGAAGACCAGCGTAATTTCGGACAGTGGACATACTGAGAATTCTGAAGGGTAAGGTACGAAGCAGCAGTGGGTTCCTTTTCTTTGATCTTTTTGATTTACGCCTCAATGCTCCTTCTTTTTGTTCTCCACTCGTGACTCGAGAAACTCAAAGACGCGCCTCGGATATAAGGGCCTTAGCGCCGGGCGACTGTGGTGGAGCTGCACCCTATAACCGTCTTATGCTCCTCGACAGTTGGCATCATCTTTTCTTTGAGAGTTAGTGAGTCTCGGGAAAAGATGCGTGTGCGTGTGCGCATACGCCTCCGCTTCCGCCTCCCTTGTGACCCAGCTCGCCCATTTGCTAATGACAACAGTTCTTTTGTGCATTGCGTGTTCCGCATACGAGTAATGCATCCTTCCATAGCATTTGCTGCTCACCGTCTTACGTCTACCTCTTGCATTTTCTCATCTCCCTGCGTGCAACGCTCAACCCGGTCTAGAATCATGCAGTTGTGTTGCATCTGATGTATGCGGTGTGCCAGCTGGTGTTGATCTAGAATGTTTTAAGTCCCTAATTGCAGCATGCGTCAATGCCTTTCATCCACCCCGAAAGTCAGATGACGAAGCTTTCCCCGCATCCTTCCGCGGGGCAAGGCGAATGCGATTTCATAATTCCCTGTTTGGCTCTTGCTTCTTGCCTTTTGTCTTCAGAAAACATCTGTCGTTGAGTCGACTTCAATTAAGTAGGCACGATAATCATGGCAGGCGACGAGATCAAACCTCAGGCGCACCCTCCCCTGAAAATCCCCCAATCCGACGCTACCGTGGAAGTGTCCACCATCAATACCACCACCGATATCGTCGTGCCGGCCAAAGCCTTTGTTGAACCCGTACAGAATGGGCATGAATACATGAATATGCCGACCTTCGCTTTCTTGATTGAGAACAAGAAGTTGGGCAAAACCATCATGTTCGACCTCGGATGCCGGAAGGACTGGTGGAACCATTCCCCAGGCTCATACGCCTCAGTCAAGAACGGTATACCCGGCCTCAACATTCCAAAAAACGTCAACGAGATTCTGCGCGAGGGTGGGGTGGACGACAAAAAGATTGATGCCGTCGTATGGAGCCATTGGCATTGGGATCACACGGGAGATCTTTCTCTGTTTCCACACTCTACAGATTTATATGTTGGCCCTGGATTCAAGGAGAACTTCATGCCAGGCTATCCTACCAACAAGGACTGCCCAGTACTTGACGAGGACTTCAAGGGTCGCGCCGTCCACGAAGTCTCCTTCGACACCAATGACAAAATTGGCGCTTTTCCTTCCCATGACCTCTTCGGAGACGGTAGCTTCTACATCCTCGATGTGCCAGGACATGCTATCGGACACATTTCGGGCCTCGCGCGCACAACGTCCGATACCTTCGTGTTCTTGGGTGGCGACATCTGCCACTTCGGCGGCTCCTACAGGCCAACCGTCTATGCGCCGATGCCCGGCACCATCCCGTCCTCTGTCCCCCTGGATCGTCGTCTCCCTAGCCCTTGTCCATGTTCATTCTTTGCAGGTAGTCATCACGACCCTGAGAACCTGCGAACTTCAGCATTCTACAATGTAACGCAAGAGCCTGGAGGCTGGTACGTCGATCCTCCAACTGCACAAAAGAGCGTGAAGCGCTTGGAGGTGTTTGATGCGGATGAGAATGTTTTTGTTTGCGTGGCGCACGATGGTGGGTTGATTCCTGTTGTGGATTGGTTTCCAAACGGAACGATCAACGACTGGAAGAAGAAGGGGTGGAAAGAGAGGAGTCAGTGGGGATTCTTGAACGAATTGCCGGTCGATGGACAGCCGGGGAGGCCGTGGATTGCTCCTGGACTGGTGAAAGAGGGGAAGGTCATGAGCAAGGAAGAATTGTAGATGAACACTCCTCACTTGGCTGGCTCTGGAGTGCAACTGTAAGCTTATAGGTTACACTTGTATTTGTTCCTTTCTAGTTGACCGGTGCTGCAGGCGTGTAGTGGATTTGAACGTCCCTTTTGTGGAGACTTCCGATTCGAGTCTGCGTTTGAGCAATGGTTTTTACTTCCTCTTCGTGCCAGAGCAGTGGCTTTGGATCTTTGTGGCCAATTCTTTCATTTATTGTGGCGAGACGGATTCGGCGGTTCTGTGGCTGGCGGTTGGTAAGTTAGTGGTGAGGAAGCTTGCGCCCCACCCCCCTTTTTCTTTTCTTTCTTTCTCTCTGTGTTTCGGAAGACTCGATCGAGAGATGATTGTGGACTGTTGAGCCAGAGAGAGAGCGAGAGAGAGAGAGAAAAAGAAAGAGTGAGAGAAGATGTATTGATGCCTTAGTCTGTCTATCATGTTGGATTTACATCACCTGAGATGCCACATCGAACCCGCGTCCCAAAACCATGAGAGCTCGAACGGTGCAGCGGTTTACACGTCGCGTGTGTCAGCAGAGTAGAGCAGGCACCGGTGTCATCACGGATGCTTGCACTTGGGGGTCTGTGCTGCGGGAGAGGCTTGCTTGACGCCCTCTACCATATGTCCTGGAGGCCTTGGTTCGAGTCTGAGTTTTCGTTTGAGCGTCTCTTGTTTGGCTTGTCCGCTTGCCTCACTGCTTTGATTATGAAGTTGCAGGCTTCAACGCCGATATGTGCGAGGCTTCGGGGAGAGGTGAGCTGGTCGGAAGTGAGGCATGGTAGGAAGGTGTCAGTTGATGCAATTGTATGCTTCTTCAGCCTTCCATTGCCTGCTCAGGCTCAACGGGGGTACCCCCAGGCATTCCCGCCTTCTTCAAAATCCGAATCCTCGGCTCCATCTTCATCCTCATCCACCACCCCTTCGTGACGAATTTCCTGGTCACACTCTCCAATCTCCCCAGACTCATCTCCCTCACGCATTGCCGCGCCGTCCCTAGCCCATCTTTTCTCCACCGACTCTCCGTCCATAAGTTCTGCACTGCGCGCACATCCTCCATTGCCTGTTCCCCACCCTCCTCGGGCCTCATGATCGCAACCCCGGCGTAGCCCTCCACGGTACTCAGGACATGCCAACTCCCAATGACCCTCTCAGGCCGCTCAGCAAGCGCATAATCAAAGCCCTCCCAGAATAGCGGATCCAGTAGCTTCTCTTCTTCTTCTGTCTTATCATAAACCCAAAATGCACCCTGCGCATCGGCCAACACAGGCGGCGCGCGTTCCATAAATCTTGTGACGCCAGTCATACAAGCCAGCGTGTCCATATGCACCTTCACTACCCCAGTATCGTTGCCTGCAAGTGCATGCAAGCGATTCAACGCTTCGGCACCAGGGTAGTTGAGACGGGAGACAGCTAGCATACCCAAACTCGCCATGCAAGACGCAAGCGTGGATGCAACCAGGGCAAGGGAGAGCACGCGGTAAACGAACGATTTTGCGCGGCGCGTCCAAATCCAGCTTGCGCCTGCCGAGGCAACGGCGAGAAAAGACGGGATGATGTAGATGATGAAGCGCCACTCTTTGTGCGGCTGGGAGCTGTAAACCGCCACAAAGAGGAGATTCGGGAGGAGGATGTCGAGAGCCTGACGGCGCAGGATCGATATGCTGAGAGTAAAGGGAAGACAAATCTGATAGAGAAACGGATTGAACAGGAGGCGTGGGAGGGCCGAGGTGAAGTAGAAATGCCACGGAGAAGTGCCCCAGTTGGAAGATTGCTTTTCGACGATGTTGTAGATGAAGCCGGTCAGCTCGGGCCAGAGTGGCCAGCGTTGCCAGAAGAAACTGTCGACAGGGACTGTGAGGGCGAGACCGATGAACGCACCCAGAAGGCCGGCTGGAATGATTGAGAGGATTGGGAGGCGGATGTATGGTCGAAAATACAAGTAGAGAGTCTGAGATGCGAGGAGGACGGCGATCTCGGAGCGGAAGACAGTGCCAGCAATGGTGAGGAGGGTAAGAGCGAGTTCCTGCCGTCGCCTGTTTGATCGAGCGGCCGGACTTCCAAGTGCATGAGGGAGGAGATTGCGCATGGCCAAAGTTGCTGATGGCCGTCAGACTGCTCCGCCGATCTCTAGAGGTTCATGTACTCACTCAATCCAAAAGCAAAGAAATTAGGCAACGTTCTCGACGCATAATACATCATATGGAACTGGCTTGCCTGGAATACGGTATACCAATTCGCAGCATTTCTGCCAAAAGCTCTGGCAACTCCATTGCGGAATACCATCAAGCAGCAGGCGTTGTATAGTCCAAGCACAGTTCTAACTACACGGATCAACGATTAGCCTCTGCTATGCCCCTCGTGCTTCTCTGACCCAAGACTTCGCCATAGGCCTCCCTAACCATTCACATCCCGACTTGAGACTCACCGACCAACTGTCCCCTGATCTCCCCACCATGACCGGCTCCGAAGCGCAGAAAGGGCCAACTCACTCCCGCCAATGACAACGGGCCGACGAAAGTCCTCGGCACCGAGCCCGTGAACGTAAGATGGTCATAGTGCTCTCGCAGCCATAAGCCTGTGTGCTCCCATGTCGTGCCCCACGGTATGCCGTAAGTCAGGATGTCGTGGGTAGCTTGTATGTTGAAAGACTCCTCGACTTTAGTGTACGGCGCGAGAAAGAGGTGGATGAGGATGACGCATGGGATGAGGAGGGAGAGGAGTGTATCTGCTTATTGGGTCAGCTCGACATTGCTGCTATAGAGGTACGTGGGCCATTCATCGATGGTTGCATACCTATAAGATGCCGCATTGCGGCCAATGCTCACAGCTTTGCTTATCATCATGAACAGACAGCTAGCTACGGGGGTGGTCGACATCGATACGCGCGGAGCTCCCGGGTCTTGGCATCGCGCCCACCCCTGTCAGCCCTGCGAGGCATAGCTGCATTTTCTCCGCAGAGGCCAAACAAATACGCGCGAGCTTCCAATCAGCCTCCAAGCCGCCTCACACGCCCTTCCAGCATCGAAATGATGCTTTTCGGCTTGGGCAACCTCTTCTATGGTAAACCCGGTCATTCCCCAGACGAGTTACTGCCAAAGCTCACCGTATTTGCAGTGTCAATCCTCCTCGTCAACGCCGTCGCCGTGCTATCAGAGGACAGATTCCTTGCGCGCAGTAAGCATTCCTTTGGCCGCGGGTGGTGATTATGTGCCGGGGAGTGGAGGTGGCTGATGAAGAGCAGTTGGATGGGGTAACGCACCCACCGAACCATCCTTCGGCGGTTCCAGTGATGCCGCGAGCGTGAAGGGGAAAATGATTAATCTGATCAGTAGTGTCCGGACGCTGATGAGGAGTGAGTCTGCCTCCATTATACGTATTTTTCGTGGCTCAGGGGTGATGTTCTGGGATGCTAGTTATGTTTGTCTTTTGGGGCGGAAGTAGGTAAGGGGGAGGAACTCGTTGGAAGACTGTTGTCGGTTTATGATGCTGAGCGTGATTTGAACGGACGAATGGAAATCATGCTAACGAGTGCTTGTGCAATCTAGTACCGCTGATAGTGATCAATACCCTAGTGATAGTCTACGAGCTCGTGCTTGGGTGAGCTGTTGAGCAAGGGGGCGACTGTCCCGGGAAGCTAGAGCCAGGAGAAAGTTTGAGATACCCACTAAGATGACTTCTGTGCCAGAGTATGAGGCGATACTCGAGAGGCATCAATCGATATCCTTGGTCTTTGGAATAGATGCTATCATGAGCTATGACGGTATCAGGCAGACATTTGTGGAAGACATTTTCGCTTCGCGACAAAGTGTGTGTTTGAATGTATGTATTGTACAACCATGTCTAGACCGAAAGTTGCTTCCTCATGTTGAATCAACAATGAGACGGGAGACGTCTTCTGCAGAAGTGTCTGCCAAAATGAAGATATCTATCCGGTAGATTCAGCATATCCAACTTTTGTCATCCATTGCCATAATATCTCCTATATTCGTTGTGCCTCACATTCACCAAACTCCACCCAGTGGTATCATGATGTAAATGCATGGCTCAATCTAACAGCAGACAAGAACTGTAAATGCGGTAAATGTGAAGAAAAGGGCTCCCCTTTTCAAGTGTTGATTAGTATTACAACATCATATTAGAAGTCTTCTTTCTCAAGCTGCTGAACCGGTTCTTTGATTTATCGGTCGGTGTCGTCGCCTCTGCTCCATTTTCCTCTGCGAATGGCTCATCTTTGCTAGATTCCTTGGAGCCCCCAAATAATTTCGGCTTGCGGAAGCTTTTGCTACTCGACTTGAACCTGCTTAGGCCTCCTGTGGGGATAGGAACAGGGGTAGAAGCACCGTCTTTGTTGCCACTCTCCGCAGCGACACGCTGATCCTCTTCCGCCTTCGACGCTTTGCTAGCTTGTAAGGCGGCTTTCGTATCTGCGTCCGCCTTCTTCATTCCCTCCTTCCGCTTGACTTCGAGGTTCTTTAACCGTTCCCGTTCAGCTTTCTCTTCTTGTCTCCCGGTAATTTTGGCCACTGCTTTTCGTTCCTTTTCTTCCTTGTGTCGCTCCTTTTTCGACTTGATGTCTTCGTTTGGTGTTCGTGATGGTACTTGGGGCAGTGCGGTGACTTCGGACGGCGATGTGGATAATTTTATTGGTTGTGGAGGCTCCGTGACTGCCTTATCGAGGCTTGCGTACCCATTCGTATCCTCATCTGACGTTGGCGTCACGGCGCTCTTTACATGCTGGATACCGTTCATGAAGCCATTGGTCTTGAGGCCTAGTCCAACGGGTTCTTTCGGTATTTCCACAACCGCTTTGGTAGCAGCTGCCAAGCTCTCGGCGTCCTGTTCTCTCTTCACAGCTTCTAGCGTTGTTTCCTGATAAAAAAGTACGTATGCACAAGCCAGCCCTGGTCGATCGCCGAAAAAGTTTTGGACGTAGCTCTTGTCGACAGGCTCGACCATTTCGTCATCAAACAGCAGCCATCCTCGTTCTTCTGTCTTCACAATCGAGATATAGTGCCCATGGTAGGGCCCTCCTCCAATGTGCACTACCACAGCATAAAGTTCGTACAGCCGATCTGGATCCTCTGCATCGTCTGTCGTGTTGAAAAGGCGTAAATGATAAGGGTATACCACCCGATGAAATAGCTTTTGTAATCGTTGAAGATCCTCCGTGTACTTGAACCGCTTCAGATGCAAAGCTAAGATTCTGGGTAATCTTTTGATTTTCATGCGTTTCTCCGCTTCTTGCAGGCCACCACATCGATCACAGTGGAATTTGTTCCTTTCGCACAGCATCTCTTCCGCAGAGAATTTCCTTAAACACGCCGTCACCGAAGAATGTTCGTCCAAATCTACAGAGAGATCCAAAAACGCTTCGTCACGCTGCGACACGTTTTCACAAGTCAGACATTTCGTTTCCGATGTCAAAGTGCCTTCGAAAAGTTCGTGTACCCATCCTGTCGTGCTGGATGTTGTTTTCGTCATCGCCGATGCAAGCGCTTTTTCAAAACCAGTCTTCTCCGCATGACCGTTCATGCCCTTTTCTTCCTCGAGCTTCTTTGAATGAACCTCCACATTTGCTACAACCTCATTCAGAAGAAGATTCAGGAATTCGTGAGCGTCCTGGTGCATCGCGCTCCGGAACATTTCATTTTCCCGCCTGAGAACCTCCAGAAATTTAGTCGGGCTCACCACACCAACATTGGATTTATGAGCCAGAAGTGCCTCGAAGATGTCTTTTAGAGATGTGAACAGGGATTCGGGCATTCCATAAGCGGCCGCATTATCATTACCCATAGAAAGCGTAGGCCCCCTGGCTTGCGCCACTCTCTTCTTAAAATCTGGATGTTCTTTGTCTTCAGGTTTTGGTGTGGGAGGCGGTCCTCCTGGATTTCGCGCAGAACTTTGTACGGGTTGCTGTTTCATGAGTTTGGTGGGCGTCAGAGAGGGGTGGTTTGGAGGGAGTATGACTGCGTCAGGATCTATTCGTGCTTGTCCTGTCGAGGTGGTGGTAACGGACTCCAAAGGCGAACGTTTTGGGTAGTTGATAACCTGTTCTCGAAAAGGTACCGAGTAATATAAACATTGTAGAATCGAATTGCAATAGCTGGGACAAGTAAGCATCTTGTCTCTGGGCCTTAGCACTACGACTCGACATACCATGTGTTTCCGAACTGTGAGCACACTGTCAGTAGATTCATACATATCTTCATCGCCTGAAGCTTACATTTTCCAAGCCCCAAAACTTATCACTGCCATTATCCCGTGAAGGCCCCAGAGGTAGATCTAATAGGTATTTCTCAAGCGGTGTTATTTGAAGAGCGTTGGGATCTTTCTTGGCCGGGGATGAGCCAGCTGATGGACTCGACGTTCCCTAAGTCAGACGGATGGGTTAGACCTCTCAGCTTACATCGGCGCACACAAACATTTCCATTCTCGTATGTTGAGAAGACAGTGCATGGGTGTCTCTTGTGATGCGAGTGAGAAGGAATACTCACAGCACCAGATCGCATCCGATTGAAGAATGAGGACATATTGATAGAGGAGGGGCCGATGGTCCTTTTGGTGGGGCGTGGAAAGTGTTGGGCTGCTCAAGCGCGCGGGTCAAGGTGAAAGACGAGCTGCTGTATATGGATGGCTGCACATCTGGACTGGTGGAGAGGGAGGTTGGACGATGGGGAAGGTTTGTCTCATGGGGATTTCGGTCAGCGAGGCAGCAAAAGCACGAGGCAGTAGTAGGTAGTGCTGTTTGGGAGCGGGAGCTGGGAGCCTTGTGTGGGGGGGGCGTGGTGTTGCGGCGTTGAGTAGCGGGGCGATTATTATTATTATCTAGCTTGATTGCGGGATGCCGCTGACGATCTGCGGGTGTTGAGAGTATCCGAGTCCGTTAAGAACTTATCAATCGAACTATCAAAAAAGAAAAGAAAATAAGAAGATGCTCATAGACACAATATGTGGATGAATGTACAGAGTCAAGATTACTCTATATCTTTGGCAAGTGTTTCAAGATGGCACTGTATAGGGGTTTTCGAAGATACATGCGGGGTTTTTTCTCCCGTTCGTTGTTGATTCAGAGATCTGACATCCTGTTCGTCGCTCAAAGAGGGGCCCGGTTAGCGAAAGCCATGTGGGAGAGATCAGGGTCCTGCTAGACCTATAATAGGCAGGTTGATGACCCGGGAAACTGGTTAGCGTTGCAGGGATCTCCTTGTTGGAATGTCGAGCCGTGTAACAGGGGAAAATATGTACCTACATCAATGTACTGTACCTACATATTATCTATAGATTATCTACTCGTACCTACTTTTGTACTCCGCAACCTTACTTCAACTTCTGGATACAGAAAACGTGTGGGTTGATGCAAGTACCCTACTCTACCAACTTCATCCAAAATATCGCACCCATAATCATAATCAAACAAAGCGAAGAAAAGAACCCCCGCTAATATACATAGTCGACAAGAAGGACCGGGCGACCAGAACCAAACCAAACCTTACTCCAGCGGAACAATTCGTACCGGACCCGAAGCCATGACAGACAGAAATTCGTGGTGGATCTGCATCGCTTGGGTAAATGATTGTGCCTATGAGTGATGGCTAAAATGTTCGACCGCTTGCGAGTCCCAGGCAATTGGTGATGACAGTGAAGGAACTACCGGAGATGGGGAAAGAGCAGGACAAAATACAAGTTATGGTATTAGAAGTCTACCACCAAAGGTCCAGGCATGCTCTCATACGCCGAGCGATACACCTGGTCATATGTCAACATTGGAATCCGAGTCTTCGGCGTATCCTGACATCTTCTTCCCTCTCCTCTCCTGGTCATCGCCGAAATCCCCATGAACGCCCAACGTTCTCCACATAGCCTGCTCTTCCTTGTCGGACAGCACACCTGGATGCCGTTGTACGTATTGCTTCCGCACTTCCATCGCCTTTTCATCCCACGATGCCAACCGCGCTTCGAAAGTCGCTGCCTCCTCCAGATTCGCCTTCCTATTGCTTTCCGTTTGTTCAAAGTACGGTCTCTTGGCCTCGTCGCTTGCTTCTCGCCATATCTGACCTACCATTGCGCGTATTTCATTCCGTTCAGCTTTCTTGTTTGGATCTCCTGATCGTAGCAGATGCGCTTCATCGCAAACTTTCTTCACTTCGGCCCAGTTGTCTTTCGTGAACAATAGGAATGGGTTCGATCCAGGCTTTCCTGGTGGTGATGGACGGAAGCCGAGCTCGTTCAATATCGCTTGTAGAATGTCGCTTTCGAAGGCCTCAAGGCGCGCTTGTTTGACATCTTCCGCTTCACTGGGCGCTGGGTCCGGTACTCTAGTTGCTGGATCCTTAGGTCGATACTGCTGAGGAGGTTCAGCTGTTACTACGTCTGTCTCCGCGGGCCATGGAACCAGTGGGCTAGGAACCTCGATGGGTCCTAGCAGGTCATCGATGATTTCGGAAGCAGCCCGCAAGCCTGATATGTATGCACCATGCACGGTGGCCGGATGGGTGGCACAGGTAGCCTCACCCGCGAAATGCAAAGTGCCTATTGGTGCTGCCATAGCCTCGTAGTCTCCGGGCAAGGATGTGGCGCCGACGTACGAGTAGCTACCGCGAGCAAAGCGGTCTTTGCCCCAGCGAGTGACGATTGTTTCTATGGGCTGCGGTACCATTGTCTGCTTGAATATTTTTGCTAGTTCCTGGGTAACCTCAGCGACTAGCTCTGCATCACTTGAACTTTCGGCTTGATGAGCAGCATCGCCTGCCATGAGCGAGATGAGGACTGGGCGACCAGTAGTCTTGATGCAATTCCAGAAGAAATAGAAGCGTCCTCTGTTGGCAATGTAGTCCTCTTGATCCAGACTATCATGCACTTCGGGTTCTCGAAGGAGACCGAACATATCTTGATCCACTTTCCAGAATGGCTTATCGTAGACAAGGATGACTTTGTTTAAGGTTCCAAACCCCAAGCGCTGTATTGGCCCGATCTTCCAATCAGGTAGTGGTGGATCAAATTTGACATTTCCATCCTTCAATACGCCCAAAGGAGTCGTCAGGACGACATGGTCTGCATCGAAACTGTCTCCATTCTCGCATGATACTTTCGTAATTCCACTTGAAAAATGATTGTCTGCGTTATACTCAATGTGCTTCACAATTTTCCGGGTGCGAAGATCGAGTTTCGTTGGAGAAAGCAAAATACCACGAGGAACCTGCTGATAGCCACCGATGACTTGTGCGTGGACTCCTTCAAACTCGTTGCCAGCGTCTTGATCCCAGCCTCCAAGACTGAGTTTGCCAACGTTGGCCGCATTCGCATACTCAAGGTTGGCGTAATGCCAATTGATGAGGCGCAGATCTTGTGGGGAAAGATCAAGCAGAAACTGATACTGTTTCACCGCCTCATCCATGGCTGCGCCTAATGTAGGATATTTCGAAGCTTTGGCAACGACATCCAAATTGAGATCGTTGTACGCTAGCACATTCGAAGCTAACTTCCAGCCCATAGCTTCAGCAGCTTGGGCAGGGGGTTCCTTTTTGCGTGGGCCTGGTATCAAATGTGCTTTTCCTGTGAGCTTGTCCATCCCAGCAGGAACATTCTCTGTTGCATGGTTGTTGTCGCTTGCTGTGAGCAGCTCTTCTTCAATTGAACTGATTGGCGGACCACCCTCTCGGTTTGGGTCTCGTCCCGCCTCGATCATTTCTTTGTCCCCTTCGACTGTCACTGGAGGAGGCATCCTATGACGGTAAACGCTCGCTCGGTCGAGAACATCGTTGTAAAGCTTCTCCGCCATTTGGTCTCTTTCTTCATTCACGACATTGCCATCTATATCGTGTAGCGTAGAGTTGTCTTTCAAAGCATAGTAATGTAGAGCCAATTGGCCTCTCACTATCATGCTCATGGGATTGCCGTGATCGAATCCAATAATTATATGTGCGCCCATTTCTGCGGTGCTCCTGTTTTGCTCAGGTATGCCGCTAGCCTTTTGCCCCTTGAGAGGATGCGAATACACTCTTCCACCAACTCTGTTGCGGCCTTCAAGCAGTACCACATTTGGCGGTTCTTCGCCTATTGAGGTCCATCTATCGCGGTAATGGCCAAAAAGGCCTTCCAACTGCCTTGCGCATCCCAAGCCAGACATACCTGCTCCAATCACAACAACTGTCTTTCGTTTATATCGTTTGGATACGTATCTCTTGACACGAATGTTCGACGCTTCGGGTGGTTCAACACATCCGAAGTTGATGTAACCTTTCCTTACAAGCCACTCATACGCAACATCCGCCAAGCCTAGCCACCGTGAGGCGAGAGCACAACCAGCGGCCTCCTCTGCAGTCACACTGACCAGTGGATTCCTTACCCACAGCCGCAATATACGGTTTCGTATGTTCAAATACGCAGACACATGAAGGTGACAGATATGATTTCGAAGGAGCTGGTATTCGTCCGGATGCAACGCGAATGGGTTAAGTCTCGATGAGTACGCAGCATGAACGCCTTGTTGAGCTAGGATAGTAGGCGGTAGATTAGTGGGTATAGAAGTTCTGGGAGAAAGATCCGCGAAGCGAAGCATTCTCCCTTTTGGTACAGTTCGGCGCTGTGCCGGTTTTGGGATTGCCTTTGGAGGTTTCATCGCTGGTGGAGTTTCTAATGCCGTCTGAACTTTCAAGTTCTGTGGGGTTGTGGATTTTGCTGGAGTTGGTAGGGATGAGAGACTGGAAGAAGGAGACACAGCCTTTAGCATATCAAACGGAAGATTAGTCTCTTCTATTGATTCCCTTAAGTTGGAGGGTCCTGTGGATGTGAGAGAAGACGGCCCTGAAACTCTCGAAGGAGTACTGCTCATCCTTGGGGTTTCCGAAACATCATCAGAGCGAGAATCAGCACCATCGGCTTCCAGTTCAAAGACTGGCCTGATTGCCGTTGGAGACAGCATGACTACTGCCTTGGATGGAAAAGTATCATAAATTTCGTCGTCAACCTCTGGTCCGGAGCTCACGCTTACGGCCTTCGAAGCAGTACCGCCCATGTTTTCCGTTAGTATTCGTCCATCAGTACTGCCGTCCGCTTCCGGCCCAGAGCTCATGTCCATGTTTTCCGAAAATTCGTCATCCATGTCCGAACCTGTGTCCATTGCTTCTGATAGATCATCCTGTAAGTTTTCCGGATGTTGTGATGGAACTATATGACTGTTGACTGCCTGATGATACCTGTTTGGTTCAGATACCGAAGGCCCACGAAAGCTTTCCCTGCCAGGCAGCAGATCAAAACCGTAGCCTGGAGAAGGAGCGAACGACTGATTTGGTTGATGTCCAACACCCAGATGATGATACTGGTAAGGGAGAATTTGGGGGTTTGCAAATGAAACTGAGCCGCCTTGGCTAGTCGTCCTTGATAGAGACTTTGGTGCAGAATTCGCAAAATACTGTGCCAGCGAAATCTTTGAAATCTTCTTCTTATTATCGAGAAGCTCAAAGTTCTTGTCGAACACGAGTTCACCGTCCCGAACGTGACCTTTTTGGAAGGCTTTCCCGGCCGACATATCTCATATAGAGCGTGGATACGGAGAAAATTGTGTGGAAAAGGTCACCGCTGTGTTTCATTCGCTTTGAAAGAGTCGGTCAAAGATACTGGTCCCTATCCACAGCTATTAGCTTCTGTGGGTATATTCGGCTCTTACTGGGGTCAAGCTTACGATATGTGCTGGCACGCACGAAATGGAGAGCCGTTGGTTATTCATCTAAGTCTCTGAATATAATTTTGAAAGGAAAGGACTGTACAATGATTGATTTGAAGCAATCCGTAAGGGTGTCACCGTAGAGGCGGTGGGATATGTGTGTTTTAGTGATAGAGAGCCGCCTTCCTTTTCCTGCCACCGTCTAGCGCTAGTCTCGGTTCGAGATTTCAACGACATCTCGTCCAGCGACACCATCCACAGTTCCAATCTGGTGACATTTCATACTCTGCTGCCATTTTAGCGCTTCCCGAGCGCATAAATCGTGTCCAGCGTGTCATTAATCCTAAGCTTGCGATGCTTCCGGTGGATTTTGACCTCATCTTCAGCATACATGTCCTTATCTCTGGAGACCCCACCCTTGCAACTCTGATATCCCCATAACTTCGGTTCCTATACGTTACTCTCCAGGCCTTACTCAATATTCTTAAAACATTAGCTAACGGACCAGATCAATCAGTCCTCTTCCGCTCAAGCCTCGATAATGATCACCTGAACCCGAGAACATTGGACAGCTTGGATTGCGGGCAGAGCCGACTCGACCAATACACATTCATACCAATTTTACGAATCTCGTGCATTTGGAGTCCCAGGGTCGTTCTTATGTCATGACTGGATACGTGTGTAAAAGGTGGTTGTCGCAAATCTTGAACTATCTGCTGCGTCGACAGCCAAAACCAGCAAATCTCAACCGTACAAGAGCAAAGTGCAGAGTTTGGGTTTTGCAGCCCCCAATCACTGATTATCTATGCGCCTTAGGACACATAAGGTATCTTGATGACGTTGCGTCATGTGTGGCCAGCTACTATGCTGTTTTTCCGATTTCTAGCACTGCTATCTACACTACATGCTCCCGGAGAGCCTTGTGCATCAGGACTCGTGTCTATCACCGCTTCATCGAATTGATCATCTCTCGATGTGTGGCCTTCTCCCTGTTCGCCTCGGTCAAAGGTGGTATGCCTGCAACGTGGTAAGTGGAAGGCCGAGGAGAAGAGCAAGGTAACATACTTCGGAGGTCTCCCACAACATCTTTCGCTTTTCCGAAATAGACCTCCTCTATTTACGAATGTTAGCATTGTCTGGAATGCGAATAAAATGCATGCGCATACGCAGCAGATTCCTCATCTTCAATTCCATATCCTCCACCAGCTTCCCCACGTTCACAATATGGCTGGAGTCATCGGTCACTGGCATGTCTTGCTCGATCTGTCTTGTCATGTTGCCGCTTAGATCCATATCCCCCAGTGCATCACTCCCCGTACTTAGGCGTAATATGACTGTGCTCGTAAGCTTGTAGTGTGACGTGCGGGCACGATCGATGGACTCAAAGACGTGTATCGAATCCCAGCCTCCCTCACTCTTCCCCGTCGGCGTAGCTGCAAATATTCATATTAGGTTTTCAGCCCTTGCATTCGTTCCAGAATTGGAGCCAAGCAGACTTACTCTTCTTAAGTAGTACCACCCCAGCGAACCCATCATCCAAATCCCAGAAGTAGACACTGCTCACACCACCTTCGTAGTATCTAGAAGAAAGACACGTACTAAATTAGTAGATAGAATTTCAACTGAATTTGCGTGTTGAGCACTAATCCTTTAGCAGGATCTTTTCCGTGCCACCAATCAGACAGAAGCAAAAGTACTCACAACTCTCGATAAACATCCACCGCCTCCCCCATGCCCACCTCCAACTTTCTCACCCTCTCACTCGGCTTAGCCCCCTCCTCTTCCCCCTCAATCGCAGGCTCAAACTCATTACTCCACGGACTCCTCCAACTATCCCCATCCCGATTATAGTCACATAGCAGATAATCCCTGCCGGTTTTCTTGCAGCGGCGTACTTCAAGTGGTTGATCGACGCTGGAAAGGAGTTCTTCGGTTAGGTCTGGTGCGAGGGCGCAGATGCGGGTGAGGTTGGCGGATGTGTTGGAAGGGGGGAGACGGCGGAGGAGGTCGCTAGGCGTTGGTTAGTAGGCATACGGTAGGATAATGGGGAGGGGAATCTAGTTGTACAGGGCGCTGTCAAATTGGCCGTCGGCGGACATTGTGGGCAGCGAAATGGGAGCAGGACTGAATGATCGGAGGGACGTGTCGTGTTTACAAGATGGTTTCAGAAGTTTACTTTGACTTGGTTTCTCTCGGCCGAACTTGGTTGCTCGACATCCATAGCAACTTTGCTCAGTTTCTCTATCGGGTATCTAAATGCAGGACGCTAACAAGCATTTCATGAAGCCATCTGAGCCTTTGAGTTCGAATCCCTCACGGCTGCCAATTCCCACACACGCGTGCCTGATACATTATTCGTCCTCACTGTCATCCTGGACCACTTTTCTTCTGCCTCTTCGCTGCAAAGTTTCGTGACGCAGTTGCTCATTCGATCGCTTTGAAAGTGCCACTGACCTTATAGACCCGCCCTTTTGAACCAGCGTGCCGAAATCTGGAAGACCATCGTCCGAGTCCGCATCGCTGTGGACTAATACTTCTCCCGGCTCATTAAACTGTATGTCGCCCTTCTGCAATGACGGCGGTGAGGACTTGGAGGATGCGATATCTAAGTCTATGTCTTCGCCCATATCGTCATTGAGGAAATCGTTCAGGCTATCGTCAGATGCTAGTTCGTTGGTCGAAGATAAGGTAAGAGAAGCATTTCTGGGCATTGCATTTTGCCTTCTTTTCGCGGGTGATATCCTTCGTGTTGTCTCTAAAATTGAATGTTTACTTCCGCATGATGATTGTGAGGAAGGCTCATCTGCTGGCGAAGATCTGAAGTGCAAGGCCCGTGTCTCCGCCTGCACCCGGCCGACTTCTTCATCTTGAGAATGCAGATTTTCCTTGTACCATTCATGTGCGTGCGGTGAAATATTGTGTATTGCTTTTAGCATGCTGACCGCCCTCTTCGTAACATGACCATGACCAAGATGCTTCGTTGGGCGTAAAGATCTTTGCAAATCCGGGAAAGCATCCACACGAGGTACCTCAACGATCTGGGGGGCATCGCCTTTGATATCCAAGTATCGGCGCTCGAACTCTCTTTCTTGGGCTGGAGTCAAAAGAACTTCCTCAAGGGACGGTAGTGGTTCAGGTGAAGGCACACTCGGGCGACCATTTTTAGCAGGAACTCTGGTAGGCCGCACACCCTCTTTGTCTTCGTCTTCTCCCATACGGGACGCTTTCACGAACCCAGTACGTACACCGTCCGGCATGTGGAATTTCTTAGCAGGTCTCTTCGGCGGTTTCCTACCTCTCTTGGTAGGTTCCGGTAGATCGGCCTGGGTATTCTCAGGAGGTATTTCAACAATCTTCTTATCAACGACAGGCACGATGTCGCGAGGGACAATTCGTCTCGACTCTTCGTCGTGAAAATTGAACCTTGTGCCTGAAGCGATTTCCTTCTGCATCTTTTGGTAGTTGTCCTTAGCTTTAATGAAGTTGTCTTCTTCCTTGCCTTTCATCAAGGTTACAACGATGTTCCCAGCTCGCTTCCTACCCGTCCGTCCCATTCGTTGCAACATCCTGATCGGTGAAGCAGAGGCATCATAGCAGACAATCAGGTCTACCTCACCAATGTCCAGACCTTCCTCGCCAATGGATGTGGCAACAAGAGTGTTGTAAATACCCGTCTGGAACTTTTTGATGACATCCAGTTGCTTCTTCTGGTCCATTCCATCGGAGCCCTTAGAATTTGCTTGTCCTACGAAGACATGTGGTCTGATCATAGGATCGTTGCGCTTGAGGACCCGAGCGATCTCTTCTGCGCTGTCTCGATAGTGAGAAAAGACCATGACACGAGTACTTGAAGGATCTGAAGCTCCTCGTCCGTCTCCAGCGTCCAAAAAGTGGTTCATCACAACGCTCTGTAGATATTCCAGTTTTGGGTGACCAATGAAATCCGGGTTGTTGATCCAGATCTGGACTCTGGACATCATAGTCTGGAACGGCTCGGCCTCATTGATCTGTTTGGCATATTTGCCACCTTTCTTTCCATCGCTGTGAATTTCATTTCTGAAAGCCAAGACTTTATGGTAGAAAGGACCGATCCCGTGAAACTTGAGCAGTTCGGTGCCATGAGATAGGCTAGCAAGGAGGGAGAATATCGTGTTCACCATACCCTTCACCCCCATGTTGGCTTTTCTTCCAGCGTCAGAGCTCATCCATCTAGTGCGAGCTTGATTGCAGCCGAAGGGAGTCAAAGTCATTGGGTCTCTGGCCCAGTATGCGTTCATTCCGGTCAACTTGTCGAGCACAGGCTGTAAAGCCCTAGAGAACAGTTCCATGACCATGACCATCTCATCAGAATTCTCAAACAGTATGGTCTCGATCTTACGCGAGTGCACGTACTGCCGGATGTCGATGGATTCCTCGGTTCTTATTTCGACTCTCGAAATTCCGAGGCCATCAATGACTTCTTGAACTTTCTCAATCGACGCTCCTGGCGTGGCCGTTAGTGCCAATACTCGGAAGCTCGAGTTGAAGCGCTTGAGGAAGTTGACGACTTCAACGTAAGCATAGCCTCCAGTCGCACGGTGAGCTTCATCGACGACAAGAAGCACAAGTCTTTTTGGGTCGCAAATTCCCGTTTTTAGGTCATTGATAATAGTCTGAGGCGTCATGAAGAAAACTCTCTTATTCTGCCATTCCTCTGCGCGTAGCCCAGGAGAGATACCACCAGTAAGCATCGTCGTAGCCGACCGTGGAATGCCAGCAATGTCGAAGCAGGCTTTGACTTGCTGAGAAACGAGAGGTTTTGTGGGAGCCACGAACACAATTTGCGATTCGGTGGTCCATCGAAACCAATTGAGCATTATAGTTGCCGCAATGAATGTCTTGCCAAGTCCAGTTGGTAAAGCGACGAGCATATTGTGGTATAAACCCCTTGCGACGATGCTATATTGGTAATCGCGAATAGTGCCTAAGTTTATTGGATAGACCCAAGTAGCCAGTGCCTCACGGTCCAACTTGTGGTGGGTTGGGGTTTCCTCTCTATTTGCCATTGGCCAATTGTGTTTCCTCGACGATTGCGTTTGAGACGGGACTCCTTGAACCTGGGTCCCGAACAAGGTGGTTTGTCGAAGATTCGCAAGAGGTGCAGCTAGCCTGTGATTTTGCAAAGGTTGAGAAGGGTACTCTTGCTGCGACGAGATGAATATTGGCTCTCTAGACGCAACTTTGGAAAGACCATTGGGTGAGGAGAATGCGTCAGATGGTAAATAAGCCAGTACATCCTCATAGCTCTCATCCAGGCCGAAATCGTCATCAGCCTCTTCGCGTTCTTGAGGCTGAAATAGTACACGCTCTTCAACTTGATCTTGTCTGGTGGAAATCGTATTGACATGCGGGTTCCTTGGCGTATGTTGCTTGGGGCCTTCTCGTTGAATATTTATTGACGGTGGCGATGGCTTTCTTGGCTTGTGCCAATGGAACTGGTCAATTCGATAAGGACTTGAGGACCTCTGAGGCGGTTGAGTAAAGAAGGCGTCAGAGGGCAATTCCGAGTTCTTCGGAATGTGAATCTTGTATTTTGACTTGGGCTTTGCGTTCTCTCCATCTTCGTTGTCGTTTTTCTCCGTCGCGTGAAGGTCTTGGGCTGAAGTACCAGAAGCAGCAAAGAAGTCACCCTCCCCGGTCGAATCTGCATCAGTGCCATAGTCAGACGAGACAACTTTCCGCCGCTTGGCTGGACGTTGTACTGGTTGGGGAGAAGTATGGTCCTCGTCATCGGAATCTTCCAGACTCTCGGACGCCATGAGTACCGTCTACGGCAAGTAGAAGACCGCAAAGCCTGTTTGTAAAGTAATGCATTGTTTGGTCTTGGCCTCACTGGATTTACGCGCCTGCGCGTTTAGACGCGACGAGCAGGGATCCTTCGGAACCTCGAGAATTAAACCTTGTGAAGAGCCAGCTGGAAGTAATTGACTCACTTGAACAACACAATGCTGGTCAACACAATGTTGATCAACATAGCCATGAAAATCGAAAGCCAATTGCTAAACACAACAGTGTCGGGACACCTGCAGCATCTGATACACAGTCGGCAAATCAGAGGCCGGTTGATCTGCAGCCAGGACTATTACCACTGGTGGCTACTGGCCAGAGTCTTCAGGGTCTACACTCCATTCCTTCGTCTTTGCCATTATCTGCGTTCTACAAAATCGAAGTTGTGTGAAAGACGTTTCGTCGGCTTTCCCACAGAAGCCTCGGTATGTCCGCAGTTGACAAGTTGAAGTTGGCCGAAGAGAAAAATAAAGCGGCCAATGAGGGCATGACAGGCACGAACGCAAATATCACGGTAGCGGTGGCTGTCCAGCCAAGCAAGATCTAGGGGCCTCTGAGGCTGGAAACAAGATTCTCAGCTTGCACAACAAGCAGGTGAAAGACTCCTCGAAAGACGAGAAACCCATACTGTCAGGATCAAAAGCTTGGTCCTCTTTTCTCGCTCTGCCCACCGGACTGCATATTCAGACTGTCCTAAACCTCGCTGATAGCATCAACCCAGGCCCCCTCAATAAAATCTTGACGTCAACAGATACTTCCGATGAATAATTTGCTCTACTGACGTACATACCTGGGATAATACGCTTCTCGAAAACAAGCAATTCAAGGCCGGTGACCGCCTTTATGGTTTCCTCATGCTCGAGGACCGCCTTCATGCACTTTTAAAAATTCCTTAAAAATATCAAAATCGCAATTCATATTCTTTTAAAAAAAAATCGAGTTTTTTATTATAATGTTGTGGAATAATTAATTATAAAGATTAAGTTTTAGAGATTGCAAATCCTAGTGAATACGAGTACTCCAACGAGTACTCCAAATTGCCGCACACACGTGTTGCTTTCTAACCATGAGAAGCAGCGCTTGAACTTAAGACTTCGAGTATCTGGATTATCAAACTGGTTTGAAACTGTAGCATGCTGTGCGATCTGGCCAGAAGAAAGTGCGCGACGAGGATGTAGAAGCGATACAACATACATGTGTAGACAAAACTTGAAACAACATTTTAAAGGACTCATCAGCCGCGAGACGCTTCATCCCCAATTCCTACTTTATTGTCGTGAGGACTTGGCGCCCACAGTACCTTCCCAAAGTGGCTAGTGTAGCCGCGGGTAACTTCTTCGAAATTCTGTGGAGCTTCAAAGAGCCATGCTGTCCTTTTGTGACATCCGCCTATTGAAAGCAATCTTTTCCCCATTCTGCTTTTACTTCTTCATTCAAATCCAGAATCATTGATCCTTCTGCTATCTGTCAATTCGTACCGTATTTAAAGGCCACCCTGCTTCAGCTAGCAGCTTGACAAGATGCGTGTGAACGCTGTCCTTGCTACAGCTCTTTACTCTTCGGCTGCTCTACTCGGCCAGGTCCGAGCGGACGACACCGATGACGCTGTCGAGTCTTCATCAACCTCAATAGAGGAGACGAGCACTACCTCAGCCATCGAGAAGCCGACCTTCACTGTAGGATCCCCCCCCAGCATAAGCAATGCTTGGTCACTCCCTATGTGAGCACATGCTAAAGTCTCACAGCCTTCCAAAATCAAAGCAGACTTTTTCGAACAATTCACAGACGATTGGGACTCACGGTGGAAACCCTCCCACGCAAAGAAAGAAGATTCTAAGACCACCGAAGAATGGGCATACGTCGGCGAGTGGGCGGTTGAGGAGCCCCATGTCTTCAAGGCCATTGAGCAAGATAAGGGTTTGGTTGTAAAAAATCCAGCAGCCCATCATGCCATATCCGCCAAGTTTCCCAAAAAGATCGACAACAAGAAGAATACCCTTGTTGTTCAGTATGAGGTCAAGTTACAAAGTAAGCGTCAATCTGCATCGGTCGTGGTTCGAAGTAGGGGAGCTAATGGCATGTATAGACGGTCTTGAATGTGGTGGTGCATATATGAAGCTTCTCCAGGACAACAAGGCTCTACACGCGGAGGAATTCTCCAACGCCTCTCCTTATGTCATCATGTTTGGCCCCGATAAGTGCGGTGCCACGAACAAGGTAAGCAATGCTCGGTCTGCTATGCGAAGAACCGCTAACCGGTAACATTAGGTCCACTTCATCTTCAAGCACAAGAACCCAAAGACTGGAGAATACGAGGAGAAGCATCTCAAGAGCGCCCCATCAGCGAAGATCACTAAGGGTACTACCAATCTCTACACGCTCATCGTCTACGAAGACAATGAATTCGAAATCAAGATCAACGGCGAATCAAGCAAGAAGGGCAACCTTCTCGAAGATTTCACGCCATCCGTGAACCCGGACAAAGAAATCGATGACCCCAAGGACACCAAGCCCGAGGATTGGGTCGACGAGGCCAGAATCGCCGACCCAGAAGCTACCAAGCCTGAAGATTGGGATGAGGACGCTCCATTTGAGATCATCGACGAGGAAGCTACTAAGCCTGACGACTGGCTCGAGGATGAGCCTACCATGATCTCAGACCCAGAGGCTGAGAAGCCAGAAGATTGGGATGATGAGGAAGATGGTGACTGGATCCCACCCACGGTACCAAACCCCAAATGTGAGGAAGTCTCTGGCTGCGGTAAATGGGAGCCACCAACCAAGAAAAACCCTGCTTACAAAGGCAAATGGACTCCTGAGTACATTGATAACCCAGCATACAAGGGTGTTTGGGCACCAGCGAAGATCCCTAACCCTGATTACTTTGAGGACAAGACGCCCTCCAAGTTCGAGCCCATGGGCGCTGTAAGTACTCTATTGCCCATTAACTTTAGCAACCGCCACTAATACATTTTAGATCGGGTTTGAAATCTGGACAATGCAGAGCGACATCCTCTTCGATAACATCTACATTGGCCACTCCGTCGGGGACGCAGAGAAACTCAAAGCCGAAACCTACGACGTCAAGCACGCCATCGAAGTAGCAGAAGAGGAAGCCAGCAAGCCACCACCAGCAAAGGAATCGCCCAAGTCTCCGATGGATCTCAAATTCATGGACGACCCAGTCCACTACGTCCGCGAGAAGGTTGACCTTTTCTGGGCCATAGCTAAGAACGACCCCGTCGAAGCCGTGAAGGCTCTTCCTGAAGTCGCTGGCGGAATCGGTGCTTTGGCTGTGACAGTCATCGCATTGATTGTTGGTATCGTTGGCCTCTCAGCCGCTCCCCCACCCCAGGTGCAGAAAGCAGCGGAGAAAGTAAAGCAAACCGCCATGGACACCAAGGATCAAGTAGTTGACGCAGCTAGCACTGCCACTGAGAAATCTCAAGCGGAGCTCAACAAGAGAACTACGCGATCATCAGGACCTGCGGAGTGATTGTAAGCAGATCGGTGCCTGGACTTTGTACCTAGGGGAGGAAGAAGAGTGAAGGTGCGGTGGCTGGGCTGGTGAGCGGGCAGATGCATCAGTACTAGGGCAGGTCAATCAGCTGTTGGGATCGGTCTTGTCATGCTGTTCTTCTACCAGGAGTCTGTATACTATTTGCGGAGAACAATGCTAAGAAAAGTCTGCATGAGGCAATGCCGTACACATTGCACAGTTCGTCGATCTTGCTATTGCACGTAGCGTACAGGAAAGAATTATCGAGATAGGTGTTCAGAGCTTAGGTAAGAGAATCTCGCGCCGTTTTCGTTTTATCCATACTCGTCTAAAGACGCTCGCTGTGCACTATCTAGCCGTGCTGTGCATGAACCCTCAAGAACGCCAATACTGAATTTGGTATCGAGAACAGAGCGAGGAAACCCCAGTAGTAGACAGGCAGAGGGAAACCTGGCGACCAAAGGGGGCAAAATAAAGAAGTAGCCAGCCCCGGGCACATCAGCCGGCAAGGTGATCATCTCGGGGGATTGTAGCTCCCCCTTTTTGCCTTCTCCTCCGCTGCCTTGGCCTCCTTTTCCCTCTCCACCTTCTCCTTCTCCTCCCTCACCTTGGCAAACACGACCTCCCGGAATATAGCCCCCTTGGCCACCTCGCTCAAAGTCTTTTTCTTCCCAGTATTGTTGGTCGGCAATCCAGTACTGGCTGTACCTTTCTTGGCCAGCTTTTGCCCTGCCATTTCCGCCGAGTCCGCCGGTATATCGGGTTGGCTCAACGTTCCGTCTTCGTCTTCTGGGTCTTGCATCTTGAGCGCCTCGATGCGGTTGGCGAGTTTGATGACATTGATGCCACGCTTCAGACGAGCCTTGGCCATGATAGCGCGGAATTCAGGTAGCAAATCGAAGTCTGTGGCTGTCTTGCCTGTTAGCCAGACGTCTTGCAGGGCTTCTTCGCTCGTGAATCGTTTGCTAGGGTCTGGTTGCAGCAAGCTGACAATGAAGTCTTTGGCGTCTGAGCTGACGTCTTTCCAATAACGGCCGTGAAACACGATGCGCCCGCTTTTGCATTCTTCGATCAGGTCTGCAACGTTCTCACTGCGGAAAGGGGAGTAGCCGCAGAGGAGGGTGTAAGTGATGACGCCTAGGGACCACATGTCAACGGGCTTGCCGTGACCTTGCTTCATCATGATTTCTGGGGCTGCGTAGCCAAATGAGCCGGCCATGGTATTCAGCATGGCGTCTTTGGAGTCGAGCATTTTCGCGATGCCGAAGTCGGCGAGAACGAGGGAAGAGTGTGCGTCTTTGGTCAGGTAGAGGAGATTCTCGGGTTTCAGATCTATATGACAGTAAGCAGCACGGACATGAAGAAGGCTTGGCAGGGAATTGTCACCTCGATGGACCACGTTGTTGTAATGAAGGTAGTCGACGGCTTCGAGGACTTGCTTGATCGTTTGAGAGGCGTCTTTCTCTGTAAACTTGCCGTATTCGCAGATCCGGTCAAAAAGCTCTCCCCCTGTCGCCAGTTGGGTGACGATGTAGTACTTATCCTATACAGCAGCAGACGTCAATTCCATTGCATTTTGATGCCAAGTGCTTTTCCAAATACCTTCGACTCGAACCAATCGTGAAACCGGACAATGTTGGGATGCTTCATCCTCTGCAGCAGGACCATCTCATCGTACACCATCTTCTCATTGCCTTTGACGTTCTTCTTGAGAATGATCTTGATAGCATATCTTTCTCCGCCGCATTCTGCTTCCCTCACGATGCCGTACGTCCCTGCTCCCAATGTCCTGCCGAATCGGTACTGAGACCTGGGAATTCTATGAGCGAGTTTCAGGGGAGCTGACTAGAGGATTACGTACTTTTTATCGTAGCTGTCTGGCTGCCCTGACAGCTTGTTCATCATGTTTGAGACTATACAAAAGTTGCGAGTCAGCACACTCCGTGGAATCAGATTCGTTCTCAGGAGCAACAACGATTGTCGCATCCAAGTCACAAAGTACGGTTCGCACACCCTCTCGAGACCTCTTGGAGTGAGGAGGGTCAAGCTCAGGACGCTTCCCCTTTTGGCTCCCCATGTCGACGTCTTTCCCGAGCAACGAGGTTTAGAAAAGAATATAAGAGAAATGCAGGCGCGCAAAACTGACACCTGGCAGGTATACATACAACTCATCTTGAAGTCTGCCCCTGGCCCCTAGCTTGATATAGGTCGCGCCTGCCTTCTCGTCCCTTCTCTTACTGCGCTCTGTTGCAGGCTTCTCGAGTTCAGCCACCTGGAAAATCAGAAAGTTGGGATCCCGTATTATGAAGACAATCGAATTCTTCACAGCGCAACGAAGTCAAGATATACAAGACAGGAAAAGGGTTCAAGATGGTCAGGAGTTTGGTAGGATCCAGTGTATAGGAAGAGGGAGCCGCGAAGGGATCTCGAGTCTAAATACTCTCTAAATACTCTCCCATGGACATTCGGGCTTATGCATCCTTTGCGTGAGTCAGGATATATCTGGAGAGTTGGAAGGGAATTGCATTGCATTGGACTTGGAGCTAAAAGTGGCTCGACTCGAGGGAGAAATACACAGCCTTGTGTCTCTCGTGATGATCCCTGCCCCACGTCTTGGCGGGGCAAATGCCAAGACCTGTCTAGCGAGGGTCTCGTACACTGTACACACGACCAGACGAACAGTGTAAAGTACTTACCTCTTCCCCACACCACCTCCCTCTTGCAAGTATCTACTCGACAATCATGGGCAATGAACTCCTCCTCATAATTGGCTTCACCATCTTCTCCCTCGTCGTCACCATGGCTTGGGTTGGGGGCTACCTCGACACGTATCAACATACACTTCAAAACGTCATCCTGGACAAGACAGGCGAAAACAGAGCCTCCTACGGTTTAAAAAGTATGTTCATGAAAATAACAGGAGTTTCTTCTGTCCAGCGAGCATTTGCTGATCCCTTCATTGTTTCAGCTGTACTCACTGGTCAAAAAACCGGCGACCAAGACCTCGATGCTGTGCAAGATGGAGTGGGGAGTGGAGTTGGGGGCTTGGTAGGGAAAGGCGGTGTAGGAGAGAGTATTGGGAGCACGTTGAGCAAAGGACTGTGACTTGAGTCGACCTCAGGAGTGGCAATGGAATGATTTGATCAGCATTTAGCTTGGCTACTAGGCAGGATCTGAATGCAGATGAGGCGAATAGTTGGAGATACCTGTCAACAATCAATGCCATGTGCCATTTCGTTTACCATTGGCAGTGACGTTTCAGAGATCATGGAACACCAGTTGCTTTGGGTTTGGTCCGTCCATAAAGGTGCAATCCCCGGAGAATAAGCCTAAAGGGTACTGCTTTGCGAGCTCAAGAAAAATGCAACCAGGCACAAGACCTGGGTCTCGGGGTCTCGAACCCTTGAAATTGCAGCTTCATATCCCAGTTGCCTCCATGGTGACGGTAAAATCAAATGTCCTCATTTTCAACTGATACTCTTCGAGGGTATCCGGCCCACACGAAGCACTCCCTAGACCATGGTGATCATCATCAATACGAAGAACAACGCCTTTACTCCCTTCCAACTCATGTGGATGTTGGGCCTGATCCAAGTCTACTGCGGTGTATTTGGAGAGAGCGAAGTCAAAGCGGGTCCGGTTTTCCGACCTTTGACGGGGTCGATATACGATCTCCCAGTCATCAAATGGCGACGAGGGTTGTTCGGCCGAGCCGTTGTCGAGGGTCATTGCCTCCACGAATGTGTCATTCTCTTCCCTTTCTCCCCGTTGCAAAGTCGTCTTGATCCCAATGCCTTTCTCAGTGGTGACTTTCACCCATCTTGTCTCCGTTCTATTACCATTCTCCTGCGGCATTTCATAATTGAACATCACATCGTCTACACCACATTTCCATATGCCGATCTTACCGGCCTCCTTCATATCTCTGTAGCTTTGACCTGGGCCCAACCCAAACCACTGAGCAACACTGCGATCTTCCGGCAGTATCATCTCAACCCCTACTCTAGGCAAGATCTTTGGTTGGTTTGTGCCTTTGGGAACTGCGTGAACATGGATCACCAAACGGCCCTCGCTGGGTATCGTGTATGTCGTAGTCGTTTGGAACCCCCAGGCGAGGACAGGCGGCGCTATCCAACTCTCCACGATGATCTTAAAAGAGCCTGTATATTCACAATGCTGATGTTTGACTGAGCGAACTTGCTGCGTCATCATATGCAAGCCATGTTCTCGCCAGATCTTGGCAGCGAACGGCTTATCATTATCCGTGGGTGCACGCCAGAAAGTACATTGAGGACCCGCACCTTCGAGGATCAGGTCTATGCCTTTGTAGCTCCATCCAGTAACCCTGGCCAGAATGGTATCGAACGTCATTGCAAATCTGGGACCGGAGATTTGCAGCAGGCTATGGGATTCTTGAAGCTTCGCCGCCTGCACATTTTTGGCAAGGGCTGGTTGCGAGCTTATCTTGCCCTCGCCTCCATGAAGACGAAACTCAGCCCATGCAATCTCATGGTTCATAGCGGCCCATGGTAGCTTCTGTCTGGTCATGAATTTGATCCTAAGCCAAGTTTCTGGTTGGCTGGTATCGCATCTCATAAATCCACTCTGGCCAGCAAATTCAATCGGGAATGTGGAGCCAGGCCCGCTTCGATCTCCCGGAATCTGTCCTACAGACGATGCGAGATTGTGTTCGTCCTCTCCCGAGAAGCGGGTGACTTCATATGCATAAAGTAAGTCTCCCAACGACGCGAAGTCATGTCGGTTTTTCACAAGGACGTTATTCCCTTCTCTGTGAAAACTGACGGGCTGATAGACCTTTTTCAACTCAATCAGACCGGGTCCGGGCGCATGTTCAGAGGTGCACAGCCCATCCATAACGAAGTTCCCATCGTTTGGCTCATCTCCAAAGTCACCACCATAGGCGTAGAAAGACCTGCCACTGCCATCGTCAAGCTTCTTCAAGAGTCCATGATTAGCCCATTCCCAGATGAAACCCCCTTGAAGTCTTCGATGTTTGTAGAACGTCTCTTGGTATTCCTTCAATGCTCCCGGACCATTTCCCATAGCATGACCATACTCCTGGAGTATTATCGGCTTGTCGTATTTGTCTCCATCGCGGGTGGCTAGGTTGGCGAGATCTGAGATTGAATTGTACATCGAACTGCAGACATCAGAGGCTCTATACTCATGATCACCTTCGTAATGAACCAGTCTCGTAGGATCGTACTCTTTCGCCCACTTGTACATAGCAACATGATTCTGGCCGAAGAACGACTCGTTGCCCAGGCTCCACATGATGACACTAGCGTTGTTCTTGTCTCGATGGACGACTTGCTGCATACGATCCAGATAGGTCCTTTTCCAAGCAGGATCGTCTGATGGAAGATGCTCGAGATCGACGCCCATACCATGGCATTCCAGATCTGCTTCGTCCATCACGTAAAGCCCAATCTCGTTTGCAAATGATACGAGCGCTGGATGATTGGGGTAGTGTGAACAGCGAACAGCGTTGATATTGTGCTGTTTCATCAATACCAGGTCCTGCTTTATGAAGTCAATTGGTACGGCGCGCCCATATCGAGGGTGGTGGTCCTATATGAATTCGCAGTTAGCAGAACTCTTCTAGAATTAAACCCGACTCGTGAGACATGTTCCGGGAGTGTTTAACTGCGGCGACATGTTTTGCAACTCAAAATGCAATACGAATGAGGAAGAGATGGCTAGGAAAACATAACTCACGTGGCGGTTGACGCCTCGAAGGTGGATCGGCCGACCGTTGACTTGAATCAAACCGTCCTTCAACTCAACAGTTCTAAATCCGACTGGTTGATCGATGACCTGCAAAGTCTGCCCATTTGCGGTCAAGGTGATACGCATGTGGTACAAATTCGGGTGCTCAGCCGTCCATTTTAGTGGATTCGAAAGTTTCGCCATACTGCAAACGTGCTCTGTTTCCCCTGAATTTAGACCATATATCTCAGGCTGACAGGCTTCTTTCCCATTTGCATCGGTCAACTCCAGGAGAGCTTCCGCCGCAGAGTTGAGCTGGATCTGGAGCTTTACCTGCAGGAAAGCATCCTGGTATTGCTTATCCAATTTGGTTTGAACAAAAAAGTCCTCAATGTGACCCTTGATTGGGATGGCAAAGAGGGTGACGTCCCGAAATATTCCTATAAGGTTGAGCCAGATCGCACGAGAGATGAGTCAAGAGCTACTAACCAGACAACCACTGATGACAACACTGGAGTCAGCATGTCGTTCTCGAGACATAAATTCGACTCTCAAGACAAGTTTAAGGAGCAAAACACGGAGGTTATCCCCTTCTGCGACTTCCAAAACGTGTCTCATGACTCGGATTGTGTGCCAGCTAGGAGCAAATAACTCCGAGATGTACATACCCACATGTCTTGATCTTCAATATAGCTGCCATCACACCATTGATACGTCTTGACTCTAAGAGTGTTAACCTCGTCTTTTCTTACCACATTGCTTATGTCAAATTCTGCAGCATTTCGACTACCCTGACTGTATCCAATCATTTTGCCGTTGACCCAGAGATGGTAGGCACTGTCCACACCCTCGAACCTAAGACGGTACAAAAAAACATCATTTTGCCAACATTTCGGGACGGAGAAATCAGTCTCGTACAGGCCTGTTGGGTTCTCAGACGGAACAAATGGCGGGTTCGTGGGGAAAGGGTAGTTGATATTCGTGTAGTGTGGATGACCATGGCCTTGGAGCTGCCAATGACCTGGAAAATTTCAGACTAGATCTCCGTAGAATCAAGGCAAAATGTCAGAAGACGTCGCAGTAGAAGAACGCTCTTATTGCTTTTTTTGTACATAATGATAATGCTCAGACCAGGTCATTAGCAGGCATGATGAGATGGAAGCTCTGGTCCAGCTGTTTCTGGATAGCATGTTCTCTCTGCAGTGCTGATGATAATAACTATTTCCGGGCTTTGACCTCGCAGGTGATCAATTGGAGGAGAGCTTGCCCCTCGAAAGAGCTCTTAAAGAGCCTCAAGACCAGCTTACCTGGAACGTCAATCAGGTCCCAAGCGCTATCATCCACCGGCTCTGGCTCCAACGGGCTCGAAGCATAGTGAAATCTCCACTTTCCAGACAGAGACGAGTGCTCAGCAGGTAGGAAGTATGCCCGCGGTGGCAGACGGTTCCGATGAAGCACACGCTCATTCATGTAATCGGGACGATCTGTATCATCCATAGCGGCATTTTCTCCATCGATTGATTCTTCCATGCTCGATATCAAAAAGTACGTCTTCGCTGAAGCTGAGATCAATGGGATGGCGATTCTGGCTAAGGTACCTTAGGGGTGTCAAAGCGGGCGCTGCGGGCGGGCCGAAGCATCTCCGGGGTACCGTGCTCCACAGCGACCCAGCCTACAGTATTTTAAATAATACGGATCCAGATGGGATGGAGCCTTCAAAATACCCTATTCCCCCTGACTACAGCGGTGTACACGTTATACAATAACGAAAGAACGAAAATCCCATCAGTAGCGACGGCGGCCTTTAAAAACGGCCGCCTGACCGTCGAGCTCAGGCACGCCACTGAGAAGGGCGTTTGGGGAATCTCGCAGACATCATTAGAAAATCCTTTACTGTGACAAAGTACGATCATCAATCAACTAATCATTGAGGCTAGCTCTCTTTGAAAAGATGATGTGTGGTCTTTGATGGCGCTGTGAGAGCGTAAAATTGTCTTTGGTTCTGCCCAATCACAGAAAGCGAAGCCTTCTTTTCGAGAGATGCGTATTGATCACGAGCCAGCCAATATTGAAGCTTGACGCCTGTTCTAAATTCAATTCTAGCTTACTTAATGAACAAAGTACTTAATCAACGAAAGTTATAGCTGCTTGTGCAACTTCAATCTGCTAAGCCTGACTGCGAGTTTGCGTCAGTCACACACCAAAGTATCAAACTCATAGTACACTTAACGTTAGGAGCTTTTTATTGGGTTACGGAGGGTTTAAGGCGAATTTTGATTAAAAAAATTCTGGTTTTGTTGCTCTTGTATAAGCTGTTTCGCAGTCAAAATCGTCTCCTCCCTGCCTTGGTTGTGGTAGACGGACGAGTAGGTCATGTAACGCCCCGATCTCATTATTTTCCAAGCAGAAAGCACACAAGCGTTCATTTCTCGAGTCATCTCGTTATCAGAGAATGCACGCTTATTACCATGAACAAAAAGCAGTCCTCGCCCCCCTGTGTCGTTCTCGTAACCTCTCCAAACCTCCTTTCACGCACCTCAATCCATCTCTCCACCCCCTCAGCCCTAGGAGCAATACTCAAGAACACCTACATACGGGCCCCTACCATCCTGGATACATCCAGATGTGATGGGAGAGGGGTTACCCGGTGGGTTCTCAGCGGCAGCACATTTTAGTGTTGGCACACCATCATCACTCACACCCATTGGCAGCGACGATGAGTAGCATTGATCGTCTGGGGTTTGCGGCCCGTGAATGTGTTGTTTGGGTGGCCTAAGATGGTGAGAGTTTGATTGCATTCGGTGAAACCATTTGGGACGAAGCCGAAGATCGTGGAGTCGTTGCAAGCGTCGCTGTTGGAGAAGAAGGCGATGAATGAGTTCCTAGTGCAGTACCTATAGATTAGTATTGCGTCTCCTGTGAGGTCAGGGATTGAGCTATTGGAGACTCGTTTTGGGAGTACGAAAGCGGATTGATTATGAGTAATTGAGAGGGGCGATAACACACTGCGGAAGACATACTCTGGGCCACGCTCGTAGAAGCGGAGATAGATTGTTTGGAGGGCCATTGTAAGGGGTAGGGGGAGACAAGGAAGAGGGAGTAGAAGCGCATTATGATTGTAGCCGTCCGGTAGTGTTTTCGAGGAGTGTAATACAGACTTTCCGCTTGATCATATTTTTCGTTCAAGCACGCCAGATACTTGTAGTCAACCTTCTTTCTTGTTTCTTGCTCGTTTCTTATGTCCTGTTTTGTCACATCTCAACTTCCCGTCAAAACGATCATCTTAGCAGATTGGCGAAAAGGGAAGTCATGGCCAATTTGATGCATGAAGCTTGGGGGCTGGAAAGCTGCTGCCAATCTTGTATCGCGGGTACCGCACACAGCAGGATGTGTGACATTGCAAACCTCCCATAGACGGTGGTTATACACCATCTTCGCGAAGATGCCACCCAAGGAGGCACCCAAAGTTCCTGGATCGCTTAGCGAAATAACCAAGGCACCCCTCGCGTAGTTTCATTCACGTCTTCGAATCCTCTGCAAATGGTCCAAAGTAGTCTACTGAATCTCCAACTCCCTGTTTATGATGGTAATGTCCCATCGATCGTGCCTCCCGGACCCCTCTCAAGAACTTCGTTTTTACTCTTCGACGCCGAAGGCGATGGTTGTTCCAATGCTGTCTAGGAATCGGCCCTCGAGGGACGCATGAAGGCTGAGCCATATGATTAAGAGAGGTAAAGACGGTGATGTATGGAATGGATATTTTCTACGATGCAATTCTGGTCAGCAGTTGTGCTCTGAGATCAGGATGGAAGATCTACTGTAGACCCATTTGTTGGTGTGCGGCAAATGATGACCGAAGTACTGCCAGGTGTCTGCTGCAAACATGGCCGCAGCGTACTGGACGGCTGGCACAACACACCGGTAAACGATGCCTGCAAATGTTGTCTCTCATGCTTTACAATTTGCCTGATTCATGTCTTGACCATCCATCACGGCTATGTTTGGGGGCTTGGCAAGCTCGTCATTTGCAACGAGCAGCGCAGCCAGTCCCTTACCGGATCCAGCAAAGTTGCGTGCAAGACCCTCAGCGTCAATGCCAATGACAGAAAGGAGGCCTGGAAGCATGCAGCGTGCGGCCTTATTATCCTTACCCAAACAGCAATGTCAATTTCACCCTTCCTAGCCATGTCTCCAAATCCCGACATCTCAAATCCGATACCATCCACTATTCAGATAACTTGTTTGACTACCTCACCGCGGAAGCACTCCACTCGTGAGTAGCCATTTCGAATCTGCTCTCCGGCCGAGGTGTGTAGTTTGCATTTCTGACCATATCCAAACCAAATAACCCGGTGATAGAGGAACAGGGAAGATGGGCGGAGGAAGTCCAAGAGTTCCAGACCACGTCACCGACGTTGCACTCGAAGAGGGGTACACAGAACAAGGCGAACGCGAAGAAAGCGAATCTGCCACAGCGGCCAATGGGATGTATACCAGGCTACCAGCCCCAGGCGCTACGGGAGTCTATGCCATCTGCAGGAAGGCGCGATGCGTTCCGTTTTGGAGACGGTAGCGACACAACAGCACTCCACTTTACAACCGTCTAGTCAAGCCGGTTTTTAATGTTTGGCCACCTTACTACTTTGAGAATGCCTCGGCTACCGACTAGTCCGGATTCTTCTCCATCAAGGCTTCGAATTGCATTGAGATCTCCGGCACGTATCCAGCCTAGGAAAAGATCCTGGGCTTCAAGAGCGTATCCACCACCCTGTTTCATAGTATCGGACTGTCTGTGTCTGAACTTATGACGTTGTCATTGAGTTGGGCGTTGTTTGGTTGGGGACGGCGGTGCGCGAGAGGGAAGTTATTTGGGGCGTCTGGGAGTGTATTTAGTTCTGAATAGCTTCATAATCTCCGAATCGAGACACTTACAGATGAAATGGACAGTGATGGTATTCTCGGTCATGACTTGCAGGATGTAGAGTGAGGATTGTATGTAGAACAGGTGTGTGTGGGGCTTGAAAGTGTGCCGAGGCGTTCCCAAAGTAGTAAGGTGGCCAAACATTAAAAACCGGCTTGAGTAAGGTATCTAGTGGGGCCACGATTACCGTACCTTACTTTAGGGTCCGTAGAGGGGTTTTTAGGGTTTCTCACTAGTTGAGTCTTGGCAGGGTTCTTGGAGCCGAATATCTCGGGGGCGTCAAAAGTCACCGTTTTCCGAGGTTTACCCAGCCACTCTGGCATCCCCCCAAAAAAGAAGAAAAAAAATTTTTAAAAAAAAAAAAAAGGACAAAAAAAAACCCCCCCCCACCCCCAAAAAAAACCCCCCCACAAAAGGACAACACCAAAAAAAAAAAAAAAAAAATAAAAAAAAAAAAAAAAAAACCCCCACCCACAAACTCAAAGATCTTTGCATTCAGAGGAATATTCCACCTAGTACAGGTAGAGATTGGGTACGACTTCGAGAGATAGCTAAAATGCCTTGGCGATGTCGTATGCTACGTGCAGGTAATCACGTTAAGCTAATCAAGTCAAAGCTATGGTAGAATTGTATGTAAATAACTTCATATTTGGTGGGATGCCAGAGTGGCTGGGTAAACCCTCGGAAAACGGTGACTTTTGACTTTTGCCCCCGAGATATTTCGAACCAGTTCTGACACCGCAGGTACCGTGGTGACCTTACGGTGTATGTGTGTGTGTGTGATTCCTACATCGGAGGGGCGCCCCTCTAGCTATATAAGCAAGAGTAAGACCGTTTTTCCCCCCCCCCCTTTCGGCTATATCCGGTTTTTATATACAATATACTATCTAGAGTAATTATATACGCCTAATATATATAAAGATATAGAGAAGAAAGAGAAGAGAAGAAATATATACTAATTAAAGAGTTATCTTCGGGCTATACCTCCTTAATTCTATCTTATCTCGCTTTCATCGAAGTTCCTTATTTATATTATTCGTTCTATTATCTTTTATTAAATATTAATTAATTAATTAACTTTTATAAAGTTACTCGAAAGATAATATCTTAAATATCTTTCTTAAAGTAATTATTTTTATACTTTATAACTATTATAATATAAGATAACGATATCTATAGAATATATTCTCTTTTAAAGAATTATTATTATATTATAATTATACTTTAGCTACTATAATCGCTAGATTAATTATTTATATCTTTTATATTCTTAGATTCTATATCTAAATAGAGTTATTATATTACTTCTCTATTTATAATATTTAATCTAATACTTAAATAATTTCTATCTTATAAATAAGCTTCTAAAAATTTATTCTAAAGATATCTTCTACGTCGGCTTCTCTAAATATATTACTATTATATTATATAGTAAATATTAAATATATTCTTTTCTATATATTAATAATTATTATTTATAATATCGTTTTAAAATAATAAATTATATATTTACTCGAGAGTAGGTTAATTAACTCTACTATAAAATCGTTTATAAAAAGATTTACGCTTATATTTATTATAAGAATATATTATTTCTTTAGATTCTTATTTTATATAAAGACTATAGCTTTAAAGCGAAGATATTTAAATTTAATTATTTATTATAAATTATCTAGCTTCTCTAATAAAGCGATATAATTACTATTATACTTCTTTAAAAGAATATTTTATAAATCTTTAATAGTATTATAATTAATCTCGATTTTATTTTCTTAACTATATCTAAAGCTATAAGCAATTATCTTTAAATATAATAATATTAATATATTCTATATTATATATAAAATATAAGTATTTTTATATCTCTTTAAATATCTTAATTATAATAGTTATTATTAAAAGTAAGAAGATATTATAGAATATTATAAGCGAGATTAAGAATAATAAGATTTAACTTAATCGATTAAAGATTATATCTAAGATTTATTAATATAAATAAAGATTTAAGAGCTGAAAATTAAATATAATCTATATTAAAAGAAAGATAAAAGCTTTAAAGTTATATATAATCTCTTATTATAAGTTATAACTATTAACTATTTTATTAATAAAGTAATTATTTTTCTAATAATTATCTATAGTAAGAATATTTTATATATACGATTTTATCTATTAGTCTTATAGATAGATATACTATAAGCTATCTATTTAAAAAGATAAAATTAGAGAGATAAGATTATATTACTATAGATAAATATTAAATTCATTATATTCTTTTATATTAAATCGAGATTTAATTAATCTTCTCGAGTTTAAAAGCTCTCTCTCTTATTATTATTCTCGCGAAGAGAATTATCTCGAGAAGATAATAATATTAGTATTAAAGGGGCTTTATAGTCTATATTTAAATCTATATAATATATATCTTATTTTATAAAGTTAGAATCGAGATATTATTTTTACTCTACTATTTAAGACTATAATAGAATTACGAGATATTTACTTTTCTTTCTAAGATCCCCGAAAGTCTTATCTTTTATATCGTTTATTACTTCTAGTATTATACTTATTCTATTAAACTTATATATTTATTATTTTATAGATTATAGAATTATCGTATTTAATTATTAAATTAAGAAGACTCCCCGCTATAGCGCGTATCGGGTTTTTAAATATAAAAAGACTAATTAATATAATTAATATATTTTTAGCTTACTTAGAGATATAATAATTATCTTTAAATAAATTATAAAAAATACTATATTTAACCTCTAGTAGTAAAGATAATAACTTCTAATAATAATATTTTATTATTATTAAAGGGCGATAATAACGAATAAAGATATTTCTTATAAGAGCTAATTCTTATAAGATTTCTAAGATTCTTAAGACGTCGCGTTTAATATTTTTAATTAATATTATATTAAAGAATAGAAGATAAATATAAAAAGAAAAGAAAATAATATTAATAATATTAATAAAATAGTCTATAAATAGAATAATTAAATATTATCTACTTAAGAATATTAAAATATATAAATTAAACTCTAATTTTACGGCTTTTTAGAAATATACTTTTATCTATAATATTTATTAATATCTTAATTATAGATTATCTTTAATATCGAATTTCTTATTATAATATCTATATTTATTAAATTAAATTATAACTTTATTAAAGACTTTTAATATTTATATTTTTATTATAAATTTTATTATCTTTATTATAAGATCTAATTTAAATAGAATATTCTTAATATTAATTAGTTAATTATTTTAAGTAATTTATCTATCTTCTATATATAGAGAATATATTATAAAAATATAATTTCGAGTCTAATTATCTTCTCTATAGTTATACTTAAATAAATTAATTATCTAATATATATAAAGAAGATTTTTAAGAGTTAATTTCTTAATTTTTAATTATATTATTATTAAGCTTATAACTTTCTTTATCTTTATATAGAAGACTATAACGCTATAATAGAATATAAAAATAAGTTACTTAAGCTCGATATCTTAGATATATATCTTTTAGAGTACTTACTAATTATTATAAATTAGCTTTCTAATACGCTATTTAACTATTAAGAGTAAATAAAACTTATTCCCTTCGATATCTTTTTTCGATATCTATTTAGCGAGTTTATTCGTTATTTTATTCTCTAAGACGTTTTTATAAATCGCGATCTATTATAGAATAATAGATATATTTATTTCTTTAAACTTTACTAGCTTCTCTACTATTTTACTAAAAATATATTATTTTACTTATTCTCTAAGATTCGCTATTAATTATATTACTACTTAATTATCTATTTAGATAATTAAGTCTAAAGAAATAATATTAATAGCTATTTTATATACTATATTAATTTCTTCTAGCTCGTCTACGTATATAGTATAGTACTCGCTATCGCTAAGATATCGTATTTAAATATTAATAACTTAAGAAATATAGATAAAGACTTTAATTTTATTTTTTATTTTATTATTATTTATATATATATATAGCGAGATATAATTAATATTAATAATCTTATTATACTACTTAATAACTTCTTCTCTATTCTTACTAATTATTATCTTTAATAATTTTTATTATAGAGGTATAATATAGGGGATATATTATTCTATCGAGTTTTACGCTTATTATCGATATATAATATCTTTAATTTATTTTAAAAGACTTTTAAGCTTCGCTCTTTTATTAATTAGCTTTTATTATTTATTTATATTTTATATAGATTTAATAATATCGTAGTTAGAATAAATTTAGATTCTAATAATAATCTTTATAATAGCTTTTTTTAAGGCGAGATTAATCGAGAATTAATAATATTCGATATTTAAGACGATCTCTAAGATATTCTTTTATTCTTTTATAATAATATATATCGCTCTTTTTTATATAGCTCGAAATATCTTAAATATCTTTTATTCTTTACTCTTATATTCTATTACTAGTAATATATATTAGATTATATATTTAAATAATAGCGTAAATAAAATTATTTCTTAATAGAGTTTTTATAAATCTTTATAAGAAATATTTTAGACTAATCTCGCGTAGTTTACTAGTTTATTAAATTTTATAATAGCTTTAACTTCGAATAATTATATATAATTTTTTTATTCTAGCTTTAAAT